CCGAGATATTTCGAGATATTTCGAGATATTTTTGAATTGATTTCCTTTCCCCTTTCTCTATCAGCAATCATAATCACTTCAATTTCCATTTCTTAAGATCATCGAATTTTCTAACAAATCCCCGGAATTTTTTTTATTAATTAATTAAAAAATCGTGGAGTGATAAAAAAACTGTCCTAAAATTCCTCCGCCATTTCAGTAATTATTATCAAAAAATTCTGGAGTATTCCTTTTTTATAACTAGAGCGTTATCAGGAATAGAAAAATGTGAATAGAATTGTTGAAATTCTTTAGAAAGCCTAAACCATCGATTTTCCCCATAAAACCACCATCTGGCCATAATCCTTCTCAATTCCCCATCCTAAACGAAGAGACACCTTTAACATGACGCATCAAAGCCAATAAAAGTTTCGCTAACACCTCCAAAATTTTCCGTACTCACGAGAGAAATTTATAAAAAAAAAAACAACAAGTACTGACAGCGCAAAAATATAATGCACCATATAATATTCCCCATATAATTATTTGCCTTTAATTATTACAAATACCTCAAACTCCGATATAACAACTAAATTGGGATTAAAATAAATGCACCCTATGGACAAGTCCGTGACTGAAAACGCTGAAAAGAAATCGGTAAAACGAGGGGTTGTAAAAAAATCGGCAATCGGAAATAGAAAAGCGCGACGCGTGGGGCCGAAATTGGGGAGAAAATTAGACAGGAAGAGGGAGAAATGGGGAAAAGGTATTACAATTTGAAAATTAAGTATATTGTATGTACTTCCGAGGTACGGTCAGTGATCACCGAAGTGTGTAGCCCATGCCAGTCTGAACCACCGGGGAAACAACTTGGGGAAACAACAACAGCGCTCCAAAGAACTGACTCTTCATCATATCGCGAGACTGGTTAACTTTCAGTTTACGCCGCGCGTTTCAACCAGCCAGGTGCATATTCCCTGGTACCTGAAGATAGTAAAGATTAAATAAAATTATACCCAACAACAATTGAAGAAAAAGTGCAAACAATTTTCCCACCGCCGATCTTGGATTATCAAAAAAAATCGTCCACATACTGGTGAGAGTCGCATTTATTTGTAGCAATTAGCTATTTAATTTAAGTAACCGGAAGTACTCTTGATTACTTTCCCCCTGTTCGTGAAACGTCAATCAAATTCAACTGATGCCGCACAAATCCTGCCGACACGTAATTAACACTCGGATTACTCTTTGCATCAGAAAACTTGGCCAACTTCTAAAGCTGCATACGTGGTACTATAATAACTGGCAATTTTGGATTTCCTCTGTTCATGGTATACATTATCCTTCTGAATCACTCATTTGTACGGAGGAATTTTTTAATAAATCACTTTGGGCTAATTGCGAATGGGTGAGAGTTGGTGTAAATGCGGAAATTTTTATTATCTTTGATCGTTCGAGGTGATGTAATAAATAAAATTAGTGATTGGGGATTTGTAGCGTGCGATTGAATTCGTTATATTGTGGTCTAATTGGCGGGAGAATTTTAATTCCATTGTTTTTACAGAATTATAACTTTTACCCACATATTTTCTCCGATCACGAAGACAAAATCAGAGCGAATGGAATTTGTGATAACAAGTGAAAATATTTGCGTAAATGCTAAGAGAAAATTTTTCGAGAAATTTACTCCTGGGGATTTTAAAATAAAATAAATCACGCAAATTTTCCATTTTTCTCTGCAATTTTTATTATTCTTAATCATTTTTATGAGTTAATTCAATTAAAAAATTCAGTGATTTTTGATTTTTGGAATATTATAAATAAAAGAAAGAATAATTATTGTTATATGAATTCAAAAATTAAAATTTCCGATGTAAAACTTAAATACCGCGAAATTTTTATCGACTTCTGGATTAACAAACAAATCATTACATTTCTTGAATTTTTAAGATCAATGAACAATTAATAAAAAAATTCATGTAAAACCGTAATTAATGGAAATTCAGATGCAATTGTGACGGAAATTTCCAATAGTACATATCCACTTGAATATTAATTAAAAGTCCAATGATTCGGCTTTTTCGGATGAATAAAAAAATGAGCGAACATTTTTAATTGAAATTGATTAGAAGCCGTTATTATCAGAAACTCAGATGACGTTGTGACTGGAATTTCCGGGAATTTCTACCAGAAAAGTTTTGGGTGTCTGGGGTCGTCACGCAACGGTTGTTTGGTGTTTCATAGGGGGATGAGAATGAACATACAATACGAGAACGTAAATATACCCCGTATGGCTTGACTATCTTCAGGGGGGGAAACACGCATGGCAGGTGTGGGAAGTAAAATCCTGATTATTTTGCGATCGAAACTCCTCGCCGCATTAAAATAAAAAATAAAATAAGAATAAACGAGCAGAAGGTTGAATAAATTACCCACCGCAAGCGAAATCCGCGAATTTGTGCCAGTGGAAGCGATGAAAATTTTCAGCTGAATTAGCAGACTGTCAAATCCCATGATTATCTCATTTCCGGACCGCAGAGCTACCGACCAAAACCTCCAGCTTGCATAAACCCAGAGGAATAATCAATGAGAGGAGAGAACACCTCATGACGAAATACCGATGCTTCCAGGTTTAATTTCACCGCACGCGCGATTATCTAGAATTTTCCTGAAGATTACCCTTTCACGTCGATAATACAAGGAGATAATTAATCAGAAGAGATGTGATATAAAAAATTATTCTTTTCAAATGGTCAATGGTCATAAATTTATTTAACAAATTATTCATAAAAAATAGGAAAATATGAGAGAAATTAATAATGGGTTTATGATTTTTTTTAGTAGGACAATCATTCTTAATTATTTCATTGTTCTAAAAAAAAAATGGCTGTTAGAAAAATAAATTGCTGTGTTGATAGCTTTTTTTTCGAACGCCTTGGAATTGAAACCCTCAACTCTCACAAACCAGTGAATCTAGATCGTCACCTGAAGAAGAATCCAGCCAAGAGGATTTCAAAGAGTGATACTTTCTTGAAACGAGAAAGACACGTTGGAAAGTACATGAAAAATTCAATGACAAAAACCTAGTGCACGTGCAATAGTCTTGTTCAATGCCCCATTTAAGAAATAATCACATATAACGCTTCACAGAAAGTGATGATTGCGCAAGCGATTGCGCGAACTTCTTTGTTTCATACGATAATGCCGTATGCAATTTTTTGACGCGTTACAATTGCATCCCAGACTGTCCACCTGGCTTTCACTAAAATCTAACTCGAGTAAATACTGTTATTATAAGCGTCACAGCAAACTCTTGACATTGTGTCTCGTGAAGAAAGCGTTTCGGATTTTCAGAAGGATGTTCTTCCTTCTTCAGGATTAAAATCAAAAACCAAACGCATGTACGTGAGGATAATAAATCAGAATTGGAATTAACACACCGTAAAATATTTAATAATTAATAAAATACCGAATGATTATCTGTAATTTTTGTGTGAGAATTTGAAAAAATAGAAATTAAAAAATTCGTAATCAAAATTAATACGATATGGATTATTATTGAATAATAATTGAAATTGAAATTATAAACATTTTAAAAATAATTCAAAAGAGAAAAATTTTTAAAAATAAAAAATTAATTAATTAATTAATTTGAACAAAAAATATATATATATAAAGAAATATTTCCGATCGTTCAAATTTATTAATAACAATTGATTTTTCCTGTGCACGTGCTGTGAACTAATTAAATCCATAATATTATGGAATACAATCTCTCGTATCGATGAGTAATTTCCAAGTTATCGATAGTAAATCTCCGAGAATCGATCAAAAATTATGAATTACTCAGCGAATTAGTCTGAAAAAAAAAGTAATTATTTAATTCACATGATGAACATGAAATTTAAAAAACTGATAGCACACGATGCGTCACTTTCTTACACATGATGTGCGCAGGCTGCAAGCGCTCACGTGCGCGAAGTATCAGGCTAACATACAATAACACCAATCGCACTTGTATAAATCGTAATATTCTCAGTACCCGCGCGTTTAAACTACTTGATCACTGGGTAAAATCCATAAACGTTAATTACCCGGAGTAAAAAATCATCGGAGAGTTATCCGTTACCGAAATATCACCGAGCCGTGACGTCTGCAAAACATTACGCGAGAATGTTCAATGTGCAATGATACAATAATTGCGTGTTTAGATTTTAACGGTTTTAAATTAACTTCACGGTAATAACCCGCGGGTATTATTTCGATCTTTCAGGATCGAGGGCGAAGTGATTTAGAATCGAACATCAAGTTGAATAACAGGAAAGGTATAATTGGGTTAAGGTATAATTTTCAAGCAATGTCGTTGATAATTATTATGTATTTTGGATTTTTATCAATGAAATACTCGGGGTAATGAAGTGGAGAACATTTTTTTTTTACGTCCTCGTCCATTCACTCCCGTCCAGTGATTACTCAATTAATTCTTCCGGTAATTATTGTTTGATATTTTTTGAAACGCGTGCACGATTTTGAAATCGATAATTCTGAGTTCTGGAGAACTCATCACGAGAAATTTCCAATTAATATTCGGAAAATGAAAATAATTACTGTATAATTAATTAATTAAAGCAATCCGATGCGCGCATAATTAATCATTGGATTCCCCAGGCCAGTTGAAATAAAATGAGGTATTAATGAAATTATGCAATCATTCCAGGCGAAATGATGAGCAGAAAATGGAGGTTGAAGGGGCAAAGTTGAGAGCCCAGCTGTGGATTAATTAATTAATGTAATTAATCGAGATTGACGACATTTTCATGAACCGATTGGAATGTTTCTGCGAGATCAGACGATGTCCACGAAGGAGAATTATTTCCAGGATTGAAAATAATTGTAATGTATGAAATTTCCATAAAAATTCTGAAAAAATCCCGAATTAATGTATTATCATCAAATAATTATCATCAATTTAGAAAAATAAACAAAACATATATCTCTCTATAATTTTTACATACCCCTATTATACATTTCAAATAGATTTTCCAGAGATGAATTTTGTGTGGATTTTCCCCTCCCTTTTTCCAGTGTAGCAGAAAAAAAATCGTATCGTTGGTGATTGAATAATGTGGAGACATAGTTGCCTCGGACAATCGAGAAAAGTTCGTCTGAAAGTGGATGCCGTATTCATCTGCGTGTTCTCATGTCTGCTGTCCCTCTCGAGTGCGAGGAATCATCCACCGGAATTCCTCATAAATGGACAGACAGAAATTGTGGTGAGGCTGAAGGAGGGCCCGGAAACGCCAGTTGGTTTGTATTATTTCCAAGCCACAAGTGACATATGCATCGAAAAATGACATGTTTCATTATTTACCCCAGGTACATTGATATACAGACTGAGAGGAATTGATGCCGATGGAGATGCTCTGACGTTCGGTGTGAAGGATCAACCTGGGGCTGATGTCATTCGAGTTGAAAATTTTGCCACACAAGAGGCCAATGTATTTCTCAACAAATTACTTGATAGAGAGGTAAGATGATGTTGTGGGGTGATTATTGGAGGCAGAACGCAACTCAAATTACGGAAATATTCCGTGTTACTCTGGTGAGTTTAGCGTAGCGTAAAAGAGACCATCCGCCTCTTGGAATCGTGACCGTTCCACTCGGACTCCGTCGCAACTGCGAATCGAATTGCCATGGGGACACGCAGTAATAAAATTGTCAATGTACGTTTGAGTGAAATCTTTGAAATCTTACCGAGGGTCCATTGCGCGGTCAAGTGTGACAGCCGAATCAATGGACGTTTCCGGGTGATAATTGAGGGTTTGCCGGACAGGAAGATGCGATATTCAAACCTGAAATAGAATAATAGAAATTTTTAACGAAATCATGTGTTCGTAACCCGTACAAAAAAAATTGTAATCGGACTATTTTTTCCAAATTTTCAAAAAATTTCTGGAAAACTTTTTTATAATTTTTTTTTATCATTTTCTTGAAATTTTTGCGAATATAATTTTTTTTTTTAATTATACTGTTGTTTTTAACTTTTTTGATTTTCCAAATTTTAGAAATATTTTTCAAAACCTTTCCCAAAAATAAAATTTTTTTATTTTCCGATTTTTTTTTTTTCATAAAAAAAAATTTCTGAAAAGTTTTCCCGAAATTTTTTGAAAATTCGGAAAAAATATTCCGATTACAATTTCTTTTTTACCCGGGAATGTTTATTTAAAAAATAAAAAACTGATTAATTTATTCATTTATAGGTGCAAGACGAGTACGCGTTGGTTTTGACGTTGACGGATCACAAATTGGGTGACGGAAATTTTATAACCCAGAGTCTTCTGCTTCTCGTGGAGGACATTAATGACAACGTACCTATTTTCCGTCCACATCCAACTACACTGACAGTAAGAGAGAACTCTGGACACGGAATCCTCATGACCGTTGAGGCCACGGATGTGGACGAAGGCCCTCACGGTCAAGTGGTCTATCAGCTGCAGGAACTCGATGGAGATAATGATCTGTTCTCAATTTCCACTGTCAATGGAAAAGGGGTCATCCGACTTGTTGGCGAACTCGATTACGAAAGAAAGTACTTGTATCAACTCCGAGTTCTCGCCGTTGATCGAGCGATCAGTGGAAAAGTAATTCACTTTTTCCTCACTCCCTGAATCAATAGAGATCTCGACAAATCGGTGAAAGAATTTCGAGTCGATTTCTCCCTTCATTTATTTATTTATTTATTTTTTAATCTTCCCGTGGCTTTTGAGGACTCCATCCAGTCACACGGAATAAAGAACGAATGATTCATAAAAAATAAATGAATGAATGATTCATAGAAATTAAATGAATGAATGATTCATTAAAAAAAAATCCGTGAACATTGACGAATTATTTTCTCATCAACAGGTAAATACCGGGACCACTGCGATTTTAGTTAAAGTCCAAGATGTAGAAGACCAGCCACCGGAGTTCATTGCCATGACTCCAGTTGCAAGAATTAGTGAAAATGCGAAGATTGGAACATCCGTTCTTCAAGGTTTGTTGAGCATTACTCTTTTCTCTCATACAGAATAAAAATATCAGAATTACCAGACAGCCTGAAAGTTATCCACCCGAGCTATTTTCTGATATCAACGACTCCAGTTGACTCATCTGAATTATTAAAAAAAAAAAAGAAAACATCCCATCCACTTCTACAATGCAATCATCCCCGCATTCTCCTCATTAATAATCCCGATCTTAACAATTCACAGTTCGAGCGATCGATGGAGATAAAGGAATTAATAACCGTGTATCCTACAGCATCACAGAAGGTCCGAGATACCTCTTCGACATCGATTCGATCTCCGGGGTAGTCTTCACCAGAGGGCAACTAGACCGTGAATCAGAAGACAATAACGATGGTACCTTCATCCTCGAGATAACAGTCAAAGAAGTATCAAAAGTCACCCCGACGCCATCAGTGACAACAGAAGTGACGATTATCCTCGTCGACGTGAACGATGAGACCCCGAGATTCCGAAGTGATCGGTACCTAGCTGAAATAAATGAGAACGCACCTCAGAACACACCAGTGAATTTCATCGGTGATGCAGTACCCGAAGTCTACGATCACGATTTGGGCACCAACGGGACATTTCGTATGTTTGTCGATGGAGATGGTGGAGTCTTCGATATCACACCTTCCAGGGGCATCAACGAGGCCCCGTTCCTCATTCGAGTCAAGAACCCGAAGAAACTGGACTTTGAACAGACTTCTATCATAAACTTCACTCTCATAGCTAAAGAGATTGTTCCCATCCAGCCGAAATTCACTATTGTCCCTATAACAGTTCTGATAAAAGATCAGAATGATAATTATCCAGAGTTCACTCAGAACGTTTACGAGGTGAACATCCCGGAGAACAGTCCAATCGGTACGACAATCGCTTGGGTCCAGGCACTGGATGCTGACAGTGGAAATTACGGAAGCAAAGGAATCAGATACACAAATCTTGGTGGAAGCATAGCCTACGCCCTGAGATTGAACGGAACCTCTGGTGTTATTACCATCAGGCAAACAGGTCCAGGTTTTGACCGGGAATTAGTCTCACGTCATTACTTGACTGTTGAAGCTCGTGATGATCTTGGAAGAGGGAATCGAAATACAGCACAATTAATCGTGAACATTGAGGACGTCAACGACAATCCGCCGATTTTTCTGCAGAACAAATACGAAGCTGTTTTACTCGAGAATAAAAGAGAGTTCGAGTCATCACTGAGAGTCGAAGCGTTTGATATCGATCTCAATGGCACTAAAAATAGTCAAATTATTTATTCAATAGTTGCGAGTGAATTCTCGCGAAATTTTACGATTGATTCCAAACGGGGAGTGATAAAGCCATCGTCGGCGATGGATTATGAGGCTCTGCCGATCAATCAGGGGCACAGAGAGACTTCGATTCGAGCATTAAAATTAACTGTACGAGCTAGGGACATGGGAACCCCCAGTCTAAGTTCAGACGCACCTTTAACGATCTACCTCAAGGACATCAATGACAATGAACCGATGTTTGAGCGCTCTCTTTACCAGAAAAATATTCCTGAAGACTTGGAAGGTGGGACTACTGTTCTTCAGGTGAAAGCATGGGACAAGGATCTCTCAGCTCCAAACAACAAAATAGTTTATCGAATTCAGAGAGGTGCTGGTGATAAATTCATCATTAATCCAGAGACTGGTATCATTCAGGTTGCCCCGGGTTCCAATTTGGATCCCGATCTGACATCTCCGAAGACAGTAAACTATGTCCTGAGGGTTGTGGCAATAGACAGTGGAACAGAACTACAAAAATTGTCTGACGTCCTAGTGAACATCACAATAATTGACGTTAACAATAAACCACCGATGTTCAAAGATCCTGGAACAGTTGTGATCAGGGAAAATACTCAGATTGGAGCTTACGTTCATCGAATCGTAGCGACAGATCCGGATATATCACCAATACTTCGATACCGAATAGATTCGAATTCATCGGAGGCCCGAAACGAGGAAGGAACGCTGATCAGACACCAGGAGTATGATTACCTAGCTGCTCTCGAGTTAAACGCCATCGATGGATTGTTGAGAGTAAAAAGACTGATCGATAGAGAAAAAGTCGAGACAATCAAGCTTGGTCTAGTCGTCGAGGACCTCGCAGCGGTAAAAGGTGTGCAAACAGCATCAGCAATTCTGAATATTTTAATTGAAGATGAGAACGATAACAATCCGAAGTTCCGACGGCCTTTCTACAGAAGATCATTAACTGAGAACAGTAAAAATGGTGTTCACATTGCCAGCATCGTTGCTGACGACGCTGATAAGAACCGAACCATCACATACTCCCTAGAGTGTCCACCAGAGATAACAGATTTGATTCATTTGGATTCTGAAACTGGTGAAATGGTTGTGGCGAATAAAATAGATCGGGAGGTCTTCGCCTGGCTCAACATGACAGTTCGTGCAACGGACTCGGGTATTCCCCCAAGATCTAGCCTCTCTGAAGTGTATGTACAAGTTATAGACGAGAATGATAACAATCCTTACTTCATAACTGATATCACTAACGTCACGGTATTGGAGAATGCAAAAGTCTCAACTGAAGTAGCAAGAATTGAGGCGAGAGATCCGGACAGTGGAGATAACGGTAAAATAACGTATCTGCTAGATCGACTCTCGTCGCAGGGAAAATTTTCCATCCATCCGGACACCGGTGCAGTAGCCGTAGCGGATATCCTGGACTGGGAAGTCAAGCGCAGTTATCTATTAATAATCGAGGCCTGGGATAATTACCAATTTGGATATTCAGCTGGAGAGTCTAGGAATGCGTTCAAGCAAATAGAAGTTATAATAGAAGATGTTAATGATAACTCACCGATTATCGACGTTCCAGAAGATTGCGTAACGATATCAGAGTTTCATGACGCCAGGGATGTGGTTGTTCTGGTGAAGGCTGAGGATGCTGATGATCCAGCGGGTCCTAATGGTCGAGTGGCGTTCAGGATTAGTTCTGGAAATGAAATGGCTCTGTTTATGGTTGAACAGGTTGACTACTGGTCCGCTAAGATCAAGACCACTGGGTCTTTGAGAGGAAAATTTGGCAACTACTCGTTGAATCTTGAGGCTCGAGACCTGGCCAGCCCTTCGAATAGAGACGAGAGGGTGTTGCATATTTGTGTGACGGATTACAATGATAATCCACCGATTTTTTTGAGTCCTCAACATAACACGACGATAAGAGTACCTGAGAATGTCACTGTGGGGTCATCGATCATTCAGGTTGAGGCTGTGGATGCTGATACTGGATTGAATGGAGATGTCCATTATCGGTTGAAGCAAGATCTCGCTGGTCACTGGAGGACCTTTCATATTGACGATAAAACTGGCGTGATAACGCTGAAACATCCGTTAGATCGTGAGACCCAAAAAATGTACGAAATTCGTGTTGAGGCGTACGATTTGGGAATTCCAACTCCACTCAGTACAGATCTTGATCTCATAATTTATGTTAAAAATATCAATGATTATGAGCCACAGTTTATGGTGGATGTGTTCACGGTGATGTTTTTGGAGGAGCAGTTTCCTGGTGCAGAGGCTGTGGTCCTTCCTGAGACCATTGATAAGGACGAAGTTGATGATCTTGATGATCCACCAACGCAGGTGTGTTACTTCATCGTTGGTGGTAATGATGATGATTATTTCACTCTGGATACGGTCACGCATGAATTGACTACTGGAAAAACACTGGATAGAGAGGAGAAAGTGGATCATTTGCTGCTGGTAAAAGCGACAGAGGACTGTAATACAGTTCCGGTCAATCAGAGCTCCTTCAGCGAGGAGGATGATACACTGCTGAAAGTCGTCATTACTGTGAGCGACGTTAATGATAATCCTCCGAAATTTACGAGTAGAGTATTCACCGGGGGAGTTACAACAGCTGCCGATTTTGGGACACAATTCATGCACGTGAAGGTAAGGATATTTTAATAGCAAGGATAGATTAATGATTAGATTATTTTTTTATTCTGTACTGACATGTAAAAAAACTCGACAGGCAATCGATTTGGACGAGGGTGATAACGCTGTAGTGAGTTACTACCAGATCGGTAAGATCCACATGACTCTGACGGAGGGGCTCGACGATATGAATTTGCAGCCCTTCCTCGTGGACAGGCTGACAGGTGCTGTCAGTCTCAACTTCGACCCTCAGCCGAGAATGAAGGGCTACTTCGACTTTATGATTATTGCTAACGACACCGAAGGTCTTCAGGACACGGCACGCGTCTTCATCTACTTGCTACGAGAAGATCAACGAGTTCGATTTGTCTTGAGACAACATCCACCCGAAGTTCGAAACCGAATCGATGCATTCCGGGAAATCCTGGGGAATGTCACGGGGGCAATCGTGAATGTCGATGAATACAAAGTTCATGAGAATCATGATGGATCAGTCGATCGCACGAGAACCGATCTCTATCTCCACTTGGTAAATCGTCAGGACAACTCGATCCTAGATGTCTCACAGGTCCTGGCTCTCGTCGATCGTAATATTGAGAAGTTGGATAATTTATTCAAAGAATTTAATGTGCTTGATACCCAACCTGCTCAATCATCACCGATTGTACAGTACGAACAGGCAGGCACTACCCTGTGGTTGTTGGCACTGACAATTTTTCTTGGAGCACTTTTGATGCTCTGCATTGCTCTCTGTTTGTCTCAGAGGGCGTCTTTCCAAAGACAACTCAAAGCTGCCAATGCCTCCCCCTTCGGCACCACCGACTCGGAATTTATTCGGGGTCCTGGGGGAGTTCCAAATACCAATAAACATAGTGTTGAGGGTAGCAATCCCATTTGGATGCATGCTTACGAAAATGAGTGGTTCAAGAGTGATGAGTCATTTAGTCACACATCGGATAGGGACTCTCTTGATGAGAATGCCCTGAATAATGAGGAGAACACGAATGAGGGAGGATTGGCATTGAGAAACAATGAGAATCCTTACTGCGCTATGTCAGGACACAGACGTTCTTCTATTTCTAGGTAAAAAAACATTTTTAGTATTAAATACCGATCTTCAACTCTTAAAGTAAATTCTGAAATTATTCTCCCATTTTTAGAGCGTTAATTCAGGTATTATGAATTATTTGAAATTTTGTTTCTGATTTATTTATTTATTATTTTTTTTATGTTTTTATTTTATTTATTATTATCATTTATTCAATGAAATAGAAATAAAAAATGGTGATTCAAGTAGAGAGCGAAATAAATAATTTAATATTGTTTATTGTTACAGTAGTGTTGAAACCGTGACTGATACCCAAAATGCATTCTGCCGGGAATCCCCGATTTATCAACACCAGAATCCAGTACCAAATAATCCACTCGGCAAAAGAGTGGAAACCACAGAATTATAGATTAATATCCAACTACACTTTGTAAATACTCAGCTACATTTTTCTACTCAATATTTATTCGTGTCGGTATTTTTAGAATGCCAGACGCTATTTATCACTCGTCTCTCCTGGAACTCCGATAACCTCTCCTAAGAGACCAAAACAAATATAACGGACCATTAAAATTTATTTATTAAAAATATTAAAGGATGTCTTAGGGCAACCAAATTAATGTAAATGTATTGCAGTGATTTTTATAATTCCATTTGATTGTAATGTAAATAAAGTCAAATCGTTTTGGAGAATTGGCGCAATGAACTTTCGCCCGGCCCTTTTCCGAGGTGATGATGCCCGACAGAAGAGTGATTTTAAATGAGAGAATCTCATACGTTTAAATGCAAATTGGTAACACGAAAGGCGGTTTCGCACAGCCAATCGCAATCCAAGGTCCAGTAATACACGGCACGATATCAATCCTCACGCTATCCCCTAAATGCTTCAAAATTTTTCATTCTCTGCATATTTTCACATTCCACCAACGATAAAAAAATTATCATTACAAGAATATTAATTCTTCCAAACGAATTTTCACCCGTGGATTTTACTCACACGACAATTCAAGTCGCGAAATATTTTTAAATATTTTTCGGTTTATCTTCATCAATATATTTGTTTCGTAATCAATACTCATTATATTTATTGACAGGACAATTCTCTCCAGTTGGACATACGATTTGGTGACCCCATTCTTTTTCAGAGAATCGATTCTATAAAAATTCTCGCTCTGTGCATTCAACACTCGAATCAATTCCAATCGACTTTCCTTTTTTATTATTTTATTAACTCCATTAAATTCGTATTAAAATTTCGCATAAACATTAATCTGAAGATGAACACCGACAATTTATTCATTGATTCAATGACATGTCAACTCTCTGGGGTGTGTTAAAATGGAAAGATAAATAAATATGAGACAGAATATTCTTTCACAGAATATAAAAAATTGAGATGTAAATTTCCTGTTCTGCATGAGTTTCCTCACGCGTTGGAATTCTTCTGTCTCTTTCACAGGAACTTTCATTATACATTGACCTGATTCATTTACCGATCTATAAAGATTAAAAAGGTTACAGTCAGGCTGGGAACAACTGGAAAAACCGAGAGAAAACGAAACTACGTTATTCTCTTATCGTCTTCCTGGACGTCGCGTGCAGTCTTATGGTAATTCGTTTGAGCTAAGAGTTCGCCCGTCGGTCAGTCCGGATCGCCTCGAGGGCTCTCAACCCTCGTTCCACCCTTGAGGCAACTGACCCAACCACCCAGCCTATCCACCACGACAAAACCCCCACATTATTTCCCTCCTCGAAATTTCTTGAAATTTCAACCACAATGTCATCTGAATCTCCAATTATGTCAGTCGTAATTTCATTTGAATTCACGGAATTTCTCAAATTTTTCATGGCCATTAAAAATTGAAAAAAAGGAATTAAAACAATTTTTTCAATCAATAACTTGAATTCCGAATAATTCCCGTGAATATTCAATTAATTATTGTAATTCGCTGTTTCCATTCGGATTAATCTAATTGAATTAAAATGTTCCTGTGTTAATTTATTTTTTCAGATTTTGAGATTTTGAGAATTCTGAGATTTCACACATTAATTTTAATCAATCAATTAATTAATTGATTATTAAACGTTTGTAATTCTTTCAGTTGAAATTTAAATTGAAATTTTTGTTGTATTTCACTCGTTCATTAAAATTCTCAGTGTAAGTCGGGGAATAGAGGATTTTCCTCATAATTAAAAGGGAGAAAAGCGAGAGGGTCCTGTTCTCTGGGGGTGGAGGGTAGTTTTTATGAGGTGGTTTCACTCCTTCACACAATAATCACGCAACTTGCTCTAAGGCGGAGGTCGAGCCATTAAGGGCCTCTGAATTATCACGACTGAGTCATCGCGCATATACAACGTGTGTTGCCACTGGGTTCATTGATTTTCGATCATGTTTCATGACCCTGTTGACCCTTAGGGTTGAAGAATTGAAAGACTAGTACTATTTCTGGATGGAATTCCATATTCACAATAAATTCACGACGAGTCGTGGGTAATCAGAAATCTTTCAGAAAATCCCAGAAAAATATTTTTCTAGATTCGAGAAATTTTTTTATTTTTTGCTGAAAATATATTTTTTATATTTATTTTATTTGATATTTTTTTATTTTTCACAGAAAATACTTTTTTTCTATTTATTTTATTTTACATTTTTTTATTTTTCACTGAAAATATTTTTTAAATATTTATTTCATTTATTATTTTTTCATTTTTCACTGAAAATATTTTTTTTATATTTATTTTATTTTACATTTTTACATTTTCCGATGAAAATTCAAATGTACTGTATTGATTGTTGTGTTTCACTAACGAATGCAATCAATTCAATTTACCGGAATTTACGGAGTTAACAATGTGCATTTTGCATGAATTAAAAATGAAGCTCTCCCCTCATTGCCCTCCCCTCCTTAATTGATTGTTCCGCTTTCGCACGAAAACCAGAAAAGATCATTCAATAATATAAGTCCCTAACTATCAAAGAATCATCCATTAAATTCGTCAATTAAATCTATAAAAATTAAGCATGTTCATCATTCAGGTCGAAATAATTACTAATTAAAATAATTCTCTCCCCTCCACCTGTTTGCAAATGATTAATTACTAAATAAACAACAAATAGATTTCTGGACTGCTTTCCATAAAATTAAAAAGAAGATAAACTCTATTTTTTTTTTGAAGCTGAAATGAACTTTCTCACGTTTAACTTACCGGCCTTAATGACAAAATTTCCGATATTTCCGCGAGCACTTGGAGACCGGTATCGGGAAGTAGAAGGGACAATAAATAAAAATGGTGAACGTCCATCCCGACGATGATCATCATTATCAATAACAAACAGTCCGAGACAGGCGAGACCCCCCGGTGTGTTGTTGATCTAGGGGTGGTTAACCACGACCCCCCTTTTTTACCCCTACCCCGAGCTGGAGTGCACGCCACCCTCCACGTGACGACGCCTAGGGGTTGGCGTCGAGGGGGTCACCAAGTCGAACACTGCGACAACCCCTTCACATGCCAAGGAGTCTACCTCGTGGCCACGTGCGTCAACCTGGAGCACCCGAAAATGTCGTTATCAAAAAGTATACCCCTCAAAAAATTCACCATCCCCTAATCAAATTCAATTACTTCAATTCCTTCAATTGTTCAATGAAGTGCGGTGTGTTGACGTCAAGTGTTTATCATTGTTGATCATTCGTATTGTTTATTTATGACGCAGTGCAGTGTTATTCATTATTTATTTCCATTATTAATCAGTGATACATTTGGAATAGAATGAAAAAGCGGGAGAGAGAATAATTAATTTGTTTATCTCTCGGAAAAGGTGAGAACCATTTGAGGATTATATTAATATTATTAACAAATCGTTACAATATTCCATTATATTTAACTTTAGAATTAAAAACTCATGCGAATAAATCCTGAAAGACAAGCTTCCTAGTCCATTTAAATGTTTAATTAACAACATAAAAAATAAGGATTCAAAAATATACTAAACATCCAAAACATTATTATTCTCCATTATATTTTATTATTACGATATTATTATTTTATAAAAATTAACAGTGAAATTAATTTCAAATTCTCGCCACCAAATAAATCATCGCAACTGCTTGATCTGACATGAATTTTTCCATTAATTATAATTTATTAATTATTATTATCTACGGATTTAAATGGGTCATGAGGTTTTTAAAAGGCGGTCATATTTGCCGAAAAAATAATTGCACGTAGAAAATAACTGTTTGCCAATTCTGATCCGACCCGATTCCCGGTCACGCACCGGATGATGCACGTGGATATCTCCTGCCTCCTGTTGCATGAACATTAAAAAAATAAATAATCCACCACGATTACAACAATTTCATGAGCCAATAGCGTTGATTTACACTTGAATCTACGTTAATTATACCAGTGTCAAAAGGGGAGTAATTCCCCATGACTGAAGAAAAGATAAGCCTCACACACACGAATACACACTTGGATAATGAATAGTACCGACCTCATTTCATGATTATAAAATCGATATTAAGGACTTTATCGGCTGGCAAAATCATTGGTGACAAAAATTACCAGTTACATTTCCATATTATTCACCAGAAAGAGAAAGAGGTAGATGAAAATAATTTTTGCGTTATCGTTGAAGTATTTTTATCATCTCTATAAAATAAATTCCATTCAATGAAACCCTTTGACGCACGAAACCACCATTTTCCGTCTTAATTGTAATAATTAATAATTCAGATAGCACGCACCATCGGACCTACATATCTCCATTCAGAAATCGATTTCGTCCTGAAGGGAAAATTCGTGTTATTCCTGATGTCCATCGTTTTTTAACACACAAACCGGAAACACCTGTAAATACACGAGGAAAGTTTAATTAGCAAAGAAAGTCCTTTAATGATTAAACGAGGACTAGTGACCGACTTGTTGAATTATAAACGGCAAAGGCACTAAAGCCTTTGAAAAATCCATTTATTTTCCTGTAAATCGATCACCTCCGACCTAAATCGATAATAAAATAAAATATTAAATCATAATTATCGGTATATTGTACATCTAATTGCACCTGTACTCAGCGATTTTTTATTTAAACAAATCCCATATTTTTGCTGGTCATTCCTGAAGGGGAATTCTGATGTTGAGTACAGGTGAACAATTAAGAAAATAAAAAATTAAAGACCAGCGATTTGCTCTATCACGCTATTGGAGGCATTGACCACGAAATCCCGTAAATAATAAATCTGATAAATCGATCGAAACGCCAATTTTATTGGCAGAATGCCCTCGGAGGAATGGGTGAGGGTGTGGATCTACCTGAACTTTGTCCTGGGGTTGACCAGGAGTGCACGGCCAAGGTTCGACACATCAACGGATATGGGAATGGTGCTGGTACCAGCCGATGCAGAAATCGAATCCGTTATTTTTCGATTACGAGCTACAGATCAAGACGCCGATTTTCCACTTGTCTTCGATATCGCAGGTATCAAACGCCCTGTAATTAATTCCCGCATCAATTTGGAGTTTATCAATACGAATCAGGAATTTAATGCAATTATTATTTATCAGCTACGGTAACTCCAGTGGTGAGGATAGAAAATCTGCCGTGCACGCTGTACAACAAGATCTGTCAGGCAAACGTCATCCTGACGAAACGACTGACGGCGGGTCGTCTTCACGATTTTGCTGTACGTGTGAGGGACTCCAAGGGCGATTTCAATTCCATGCAGGCCACCATTTCCGTCACAAATGCAACCACCCAGCGTGACAAAATATTTCCACACATACCTGCCATCATCATGGTACCTGAGGTAAGTCCATTCACCACTGTTCCTCCCAAGGGAAATTTTAATATCCCATTTCCATTCAGGATGCCAAACCTGGAAAAGAACTCGATTATGTTCTCGCAAGGGCCAACCAGTGGAGCGGCAAACCTGTTTATATTGAATTATGGGTAAGTGATTTAAAAAAAAAATACAATATCAACTACTCGGTAATATTTTATTAGAATTGTCGCTGAAATCGCGGAAATTATAAAATGAATAAATATAAATAAATCCCGAAGTCGCGAAAATTATAAAATAAATAAATATAATATATAAATAAATTATCGAAGGGGAAAAATGGATTCTCTTCTCAATTTATTATTTTTATTCGCATTTACAATACTGAGGGGATTGTTAATATAATAATGGAAATTGCGTTGTCTGGGTTTAGCAACCGAAAGAATTATTCACAATCAGACAACGACAGACACCAACCCAGACCCGAGGAGTGATTACTCTCATTGGTGAATTGGATTTCGAGATGCAATCAATGTACACACTCACCCTGTACGCCACGGTATGCCAGAATGACGATGAATTATGCAATTGTTGTTGAATGTTGCAAATGTTGTTGAATGTTATAAATCATACCGCAGGATCCTTACACGGAGCCAAAAAAGGATACGAGGAACATCGCGGGTTTGCATCTCGTGGTGATAGTGCAGGACGTGCAGGACGTGCCCCCGATCTTCACACATGCTCCACCACTCACAAAAATCAACAACACCATTCAGCCGGCAAGTTGCTAAATTATTACTCAATATTTTTTTGGTGAATGACAGAAGTTAAAATAGATATTGCCATAGGGGGATGTGATTCTGCGGGTGCACGCTGAAGACGGGGATAAGGGCGTGCCAAGAGAAATTACGTATGGTCTCGTCTCCGAGGGAAATCCATTTGTCCCATTTTTCAATATCTCGGAATCTACCGGTTGGTAAAACAATATTTTTTAGTATTATTTATTTGAATTTGAACTCCCGTAAAAATTTGAAATTTGATTTTTTTAAATACCATTCACCGAATTCGAGATATTTTCGGGAACTTCTGAGGATCAATAATTGATTAATTGTTATAAATATTTTGTGTGATATTAATTATTTATTAAACATTCAATGTTTAATAAATAAAAAATACCCACTGAATATTAATCTTCACGATGAATCCGCGTCTAGATGAATAATTAAAATTAAAAAAAATGAATTTCTCAATTTTTCCCCGTTTTTTGAATTTTGAAAATCAAGAGTCATGAGCACTGATTCAGGGGAAAGTGAGTCACACGAGGTGATAAAATTATACGACTGAAAAAAACCGAGCGTTCAAGGTATCGATCGAGTGGTCAAGTCCCTGAGGAACTACCACCAGCCCCGATCCTTATCTCACGTTTCTAAGACGCATGCGATATCACGAATGAAACCTCCAAGAATGATATGTAAACTACTTCACCCAACACATGCTGGAATATTTATGTTGATGAGGCGAATTAAATTATTGCAATTACCGAAGAATGATGAATTGGTGGTTCACCGATGTTGTGGAATTTTTACTGCAATAATGCCGCATAATATACACTTTTCCGACAGGTGAAATTATTCTGGCAAAACCGTTGAAGGAGTTGACGCAGATAACACATGTTGGGGCACCAGTTGTCCTGAGTGTTGTAGCTGAAGAGATCAGGAGATCCCCAAACGAACCACCAGCTCAAGCTACAGTTGTCGAAGTTGGATTACTTCTTGGAGAACCGGGGAACAGTCCACCATATTTTGATAACGACAAGTACGTCCCACATTTTACAATATCCATTTTAATAATCTCCCTCAGAGATTCGGTAATACCTCTAGAAGATGACGAAGAAGATGAAATTCCATCGAAAATCCATCGAATTAATTTTCAACTGATTCCAGTTTTTAACTGATTATAAAAATATTATTATATTTGAATGAATAGAAATAATATTTGGTGGAAATTTAAAGTTACGTCGCCTGGATGGATGAGAACCCTGAACCTGGATCTCCAATCATCTTCAGCGAGCTGTACTCCACTGAAGTTAAAGACGAGGATATCGGCAAGGCCGGTGTATTTGCCCTTAAGCTGGAGAATAATAACGGCACATTCGAGATTAGTCCGACAGTCGCTGAGAGAGTTGCGAGTTTTATTATCAGTGTGCGAGACAACACCCTAATCGATTACGAAGTTCACAAGAGTCTTCGGTTCGAGGTGAAGGCCGTAAATTGTTTCTCAATTCAATTCCAAAGTGATAAACAATTCCTACTCCCCAAATAACTCAACCGATCCTCACAAATTTCACTAATCAATGAATTAATTAATTTAATCAATAGAAATCGTCATGGAAGTCGACGCCTCCGCGTATTTCGCCGGTTGAAATTATTATCACGAGTTAATTAATTATTTGCTTAATTTTTTTTCAGATAGTTGCTCAAGAGGTGGGACCTGCGACGAATCTCTCCGCCTCGGTTCCAGTTACGATATTTATTCGTGACGTTAATGACAATTCCCCGGAGTTCCAGGAGACGTCGTACGAAGTAACTCTATCGGAGAATGTCACTGCTGGAACACGAGTGGTCCAGGTCCACGCCGTCGACAAGGACACGGGATTATTCGGGAGAATTCAGTACACCAGGATAATAGGTCCGGGTAGCGATGCATTCGTTATGAATCCTGATACCGGTTTTATTTCTGTGGCTATGGGTGCTAATTCCATACTCGATCGAGAAATCACTCCACAGTTTGAGCTCACGGTGGAAGCGAGAGATGAGGATGGAAAGGGCCTCAGGGGATCAGTCCCCCTTATCATCAAATTACTCGATGTCAATGATAATGCTCCAGTCTTCGAGAAGGACAGCTACAATTTCGTCGTCAACGGGGACTTCACGAACTTCACAGTTCCTGCAATAATAAAAGTATTTCATCATTTATTTATTAATTATAATATTAATTAAACGAACCGCCGAATGTCTTGGCACTTGAAAACAAATCAACCTGAAGAACCCCTCGAAATAATTATCAACACTCGAGAATTATTAATTATATAATAATTAATTAATAGAAAATTTGTGTAATGAACAGGCGACAGACGCCGACGCAGAGCCGCCCAACAACGAAGTGCGATATGAATTGATTCACGGAAATTACGAAAATTATTTTCTCCTCGACGAAGTGACCGGTGAAATTTTTCTCAGTAAACAAATAACAAAAGCCAGGACTACTAGACACAATCCTTACCAAGCGCTAGCCACGAAATTCCGAAAAGCTATTTTTCCGAATTACAAAGGTGTGGACATGCGTAACGATTCGAGTGTCCACTCAACAGCATCTCCAATTCCGAATAATAATCAGACAAACTCGGCCAATGAAACCGACAAAATGGTGCGGCGAAAACGACAAGACACAGACATGGAAGTGCTTTTCACTCTGACAGCTAGAGCCTACGATCTAGGTAATGCAAATAAACTGCAATTATGAATATGTTACATAATTATAAATATTATATTATTATAAATTATGTTACATAATTTTGTTTAATCAGGTGTTCCGCACTTGTCGGGGACGACTCAAGTGAACATCCTGCAGAGTCCTTTAGCCGCTGGACGGATCGTCATGTTCGTGGTAGCCGGGGAGAACCCGGATCCAGTGAAAACTGCTCAAACATTGGCAACTATTACCGGTGGTCACATTACAGTCAAGGAAATCAGACCATACGTACCGGGTACCAGTATTAATGGACACGAAATTACTCGACCTACCACCGATGGTGTAAAACGGTGAATACATATTTTTCATTAAACGAGTAAACCCCATGCAATTACAATGATTACAATTCTTTTTTTAATAAATTTCTTCAAAGATTTTTCTACTAAATCGAATTTTTCATGGCCAGGAGTTGATTTAATAAATATTCATTCCGTAAACGATGGTGAAATAAAAAAAATCGGGAAATCTGCAGGAATTGAATTTAAATTGAACTTGAATTTTTAATTATTTATTGCATCTCTGGTGTAATTATAAATATTTATCTGTAGATTTATTTTTTTTATTAGTTTACTTAATCATGAGAATTCTCTCGAGTTTAGAAGTATCGTGATCGCTCGCGTGGAGCCAATAGGGGGTACCTCCCTCGTGGACATTGATAAGATCAGAGCAGCCCTGGCTGCCAACGGAGTAGGTGTTATCGGTGGTGACATGCCATCTCCAGATCCGAATGCCAGTGGCACAACGATTAATACCAATAACACGATTACATCAATACACAGTGAGGAAGTAGTAAGTAAAAATATCACGACGAACCCCGTGACAAAATAAAATAAAGAATAAATATTAGGGATTCCCTTCAGACAGTGTACAAAGCTGAGAATAAACTGCTCTTCTGGCTGCTAATTATCCTGGGTCTGCTGATACTAGCAGCAATAATCGCTCTCATAGTTTGCTGTATCTGTCCCGGATGCCCGTTGTACATGGCACCAAGGAAGCGACGGATCCATTCGTCTGAGACATTAGTAGTGCGTCCAGATGGAAGACCAAAGAGGCATCTCCATCGAAAGTATCCAACACAGTTGCAAGGTACTGCGTTAATGAATTATTACTTGGACATAAAGTCCTAGACTGATTTAATTGAATGAATTACACCAGATCCCAGCTGGTCCGAGAAGAAGCAAGCCTGGAGTGCAGACCCAATGAGATCAAACTGGCAATTCAACCGTCGAAACACGAGACAATATGGATTAGCTTCGCTACCAGGTGACGTAGTGCGAATTCCAGATGGTAACGAACGCTGGCCCCGAAAAGCGATGTCCCTCCGAGGTGATGCCCAACTACCAGTCCCCATGAATGATCCTTTATACCCTCTACGACAACAAGAGGAGCATCGGATCTACATGGAGAACATCGAGAGAGCGAGAGAGTACGAAGCAGCGGAAATGGACTCCCTCCGTCGACACGAATTCGAAAGAGGGTCAGATTTGGGACGACAGCAAATGCCGACATTGCTGAGACGTGAACCCCATTTCTACCGAGATGGAAATGCTGAAGTAATGAGACTAGTGTCCAGAGGTGGAGCTGAAGAGACTCTGGCAACCATGCACAGACCACCAGAGATCATAATCGATCAAACTGCAAACCAGAGATTCGATGGTAAGGATATACTTCTTCGAAGATTCATCGAGGACCAGAAATTCCGAGGAACCGGTAAAGACTATCAAGAAGGCTTCCAAGAGGATTTCGAGCGACAAAGTATGGAGTCCCACCAGAGACAACGAGAACTCTCCATGCAGCAACATCAACGAGAATTGCTACTGATTCCAAAAAAACTTGAGGTAGATCATCGACAGCATCTTGAGCAGTTAGGACCAGACGTTCAGAGATTGATAATTGATCACGGATCATACGAGAAGTCAGGGTTGGATAATCGTGAGCAGCAGGATATCCTGACAGGGCCTACGTTGTTGATTCCGATGGGGAAACCTCTTGGAAAACCCAAGGAGACGAGTTCTCTGAGTCTTCATAATTATACAAGGCATGAGCTTGAAGTGGCGACTCAAAATGCTTTATTGACTCGACTGTTGCTGGAGCGAGATGGTCGAGTAGGTGCGAGTGTCGCAGATCATGCTAGTTATCTAGAAACGCAAAGTCTTCCTGGTCAAGTCGCTGCGGGAACGCAGACAGATAAAACTGCAGCAACGCAAACTGAATATCATAGTAGGAGTAGGAGTGATAACGAATCCGAAGAAGACTCGAGAATTCGTAAGAAAATGAGATTCATGAAGCGATATGGAGAGGAGCCTAAACGCATCAGGACTTTGTGGATGAAGTCGCCAATTGAAGAAGAGGAACGTCAATGCACAGGAAAACGTTCGACCGGGAGTCGGAGGAAGATGAGGGATGTCACGGATGACAGGACGATCTCCATCGAACCTGAAGTGCTGCGAGAAATTTCGGATTCGTTGGATGAGAATGTCGAAGTGTCTGCGGATTTTAGAAAAGCCCCGGACAGCTTGAATTCTCAGGATGAATCCAGAGAGGAGGACATACCTCGGAGAGACGATTCATCGTCGATTGAGAGAGTACAAGGGGCTCATAAAAAAATAACCAGAAGAGGAGAAAAGGAGGACAAGAGGAGAACGAAATCGAGGAGTGATTCGACATCGGGACCTAGTTTTCATATTCTCGAAAAAGAAATGAGTTCTTTGAGTAGAAAATTGTCTAAATTGACAGGGCGAAAAGCATCTAGTGAAGAAGACTCAGGTGAGAAGCATAAAATGCATCATCTGCAGAAAGACTCGGAGAAAATTCAATCCAGAGACAGTGAGTCACGGTCTGGAAGAAAAATTATCCAGAAAGCTGTTCAATCTGTCAGTAAAAAACACGTGACGACGAAAAAATCGGTTTCGGATAAATCCAAAGTAAAACCGAAGTTGCGGAGAGTTTTGCCAATGAGTACTGCAAGTTCGGATTGGGAGGAGTCAGTGGATAAATCGGTTAAGTCAAAGGCACAGGACAAAACCCAAACTTCGAGGCTTAAATTACCGATGGGTAAAGCGCACGCAAAATTACGGCGACAGGGGAAAATGGAGACGAAAGGGACTAAAAAATCGGTAAAAGAAAAATTGATCAAACCCGAGACTCAACCGGTTATAAATTATGATAGTCAGCAGACTGATATAAAAATGGCTGAAGAGAGGATTCAACCTCCGGAAGTTCAGACTAGTATACACGAAATAAAAAAATCGGATGGTATGGGAAGATCTTTAGAAATTGAGACTGAAAAATATTCAGATTATGTAGGAGCTTCTGCATCTGGTATGCGTGAGGATAAAATTATTGAGTCAGTGAAGATTAAAAGTCCGAACGATAGAGTCGATGTAGAATCGAGATTAGAACTCTCTGATGAGAAAAGAATTACAAGCCGCCATGATATGAAAGGGATTGAATCGATTCCGAAGGCAGAAATTCATTCGGCCACAATAGAAAATATAAATATCGCCTCTCCCGGAACCACAGAAATTAAATTAACAAAAAAAATAACTCCACCCGCGACTGAAATTAGTCTTGATAATATTTTGATTAAATCATCGAAGAAAAAACGGGTGAGACTGGCAGTTGGAAGTTCTGAGGAAGAGACTGAACGAACTGGAGAATCAAATGTGGACATTGAAGAAGCAGAAAAGGGGAAATTGGATAGAAAGAGAAGAAGCTTGAGACAACGCACGTCGAAGATAGATAAGGATTCGGAAGATCAGTCTATGGTATCTGACAGCAATGAAAAATTGGGTACTTCTGAGAAAAAGGCCCCAATCGGAGGAGACCCCAACCAAGGCCCCAATCAATTGGAGGGCAGCTTTGAGAAGGAAAGAATATCCATTATAAAATCGCCGAAAGCTCCAGCGCTCACAATTCCAGACGTTCAAACCATAAAAGCAGCAATGGATGGAATTATAGAAAAAGCAAAAACTGTTGTTGCAGGCACAACAAATATAGTGGGGACTACAGACGATGCGAGAGAAATTGCAAGAGAAAATGTAGAGGAAATAAAAACTGAAGGGGCAGAAGGGAAAAAAATTATCGAGAACGCAGGAGAAGATGGAGCTAGTGGAATTGAATTTATAAGAATTAATAGCGAAAATGGTGACAGGCTCAGCCCGAAGGCAGAAAAAATACCAGAATCAGGAACAGGAGTTGATGATAAAACAATGGAAGTTGTGGATGAGGCAATGAAAGGCGTTTTACAGACGGTACGAATGACTGCGGAAGCTACAGAAAAATTTCTTAGCCCAAAACTCGACTTTGACGTTCCTGAAACGGGACAGGCGGAGGTGAAAGAAAAAATTGCAGGAGATCTGATAGATGGAGGGAAAAACGTCGATCAAGAAGTTGAAGAGGAGACTAATTTAATTCGTGAAGATTTCGGAGATGCGGTCCTTAAGGAAATGAAGAGAAATGAAGAGAACATTTCGGAAGGGGCAGGTGGGATGAGCGATTATATTGTTAGAGATTCGCAATCGGCGGGATCTTCAGTATCTGGGATGGAAAAATATTCTTCAACAGCATCAATGTTAGGAAGAGAGTACAAAGTTGGGGTTGACCCTGAGAAATCATCAACGCCTCTTAAAGATACTTCAGCAATACAATCAACAACTCCTGAAAGCCAAATGTCTCCGAGAATAATTGAATCAGGAGTACCTGTGGATGTAGAAATAATTGCCGATCCGGAGGTGTCCGACGGAACTTCATCTCATCTTCTGGGAATGAAGATAGAACTCAGGGATGATTTGAGGAAGAGTGAAAATGCTTTGGAACCGAGTGAGTGGGAGAGTTTAGAGACAGCCTCAATGAAATCAGAAGGCAGTCAGTCATCGAAGAGTATAATCATAATGAGAGAGACATGTTTTCTCAGTTCTCCCAAACGAGAATTACCTAAACCCGATTCCATCGCGAAATCGGAGAAGACCGATGATAGAACCGAAGATCCACCCGAAGTTGCTCAATCAGAAAAATCATCGGAATTCCAGCTTCCGGATTGCAATATGGCGTCACCGATTTCCGGAATGTCTCCGGAACTCTCACATTTCGGGGAAATGCAAGCCGATCGCGGAGGCCTCGTATCGGAAGATCGATCCGATCTTTCCGCTTCCGGGTCGAAAAAGATTCAAATGAAGATGCCAATCCTGGAACCTTCCTCGATCCGTAGTCCGGATTCCAACGTGGAAGTGGCGACTCCGGATATTCCGATCGAGTCAGCAGAATCGAGTGTAAAGAAAGGTGTGATTGAAGTCCCTGTGGTCGAGGATCCGTCCATTTTGACGTCAGAAATAATAAAAATGGTCGGGCTCACGCCAGAACAATCAGACATCCCAATTCCGGATGTAAGTATTGAAGCACCGACTCCTGAAGTTCCTAGTGAGCCTGTGGAAATAAAAGAAAAAGATGAGATCTGCGTACCGGAGCAGCAACCGGACTTGCCGGATTTGTCCTTGGAGATGCTTGAGGAAGACAGTGATCTGTCGAGTGAATCATCTGCTAGAACAACATTTATTGCTCAACCATATGGCACTCCTCGACACAGAAAATTGATTAGGATGGTACCAGAAGATGACTCGGTGTCGATTCCGATTTCAATCGGTGAAGGAATGGTTCCATCGCAAGTAGGAAGTGAAGAGAGTGGAAGACCGGAAGAAGCGAATCTTAATGAAGACGATGATGATGCTGAAGCTAATAAAATGATAAATACTGGAGAAGTGCAGAAAGAAACGGATGGAATTCGGGTTGAAAGCGAAGAAGTTGATGTTCGTCTCAAAGAACAGGAAGTTCTTGTGGAAAAGGCAGGGCAAGCTGCACCTGAAGATCAGAAGAGAGAGAAAGAGGAGATAGAGCCAATTAAGGTAGAATCACATTCTATAACTCCTCAAGAAATATTACCTGATGATGATGGCTCAACTTCTCACCTTCTTCCAGATCTCTCCAAAGTTGCAACACGGAGGAAAGAATTAAAAACTTCAGATATCCCGAAAGTTTGTGGTGCTATTTATAAAATAAGGAAGCCTGTGTCCAGCGGGTCTTCAAAAAAAATTGAAATCCCAAAAGAAATGAAAGATAAATCTTCTAAGAGCAGAGGCTCTCTAAAAGAATCCAGAGATGGTAAAATGCAACCGGGAAAATCGAAGAAGATTCAGAAAATATTTACCGAGGGACCATCGACGTCCAAATTAGAGAAAATTAAATATCACGAACGGGAAAAATTGGTGCCACTGGAGACGACGTCTCGAGTTATCAATGATCCTTCAAGACTGCCTAGAAAATCAAAACGTGATAAAGAATTCCAACGGGAGAAATCGAAAACAGAAAGACCAGCGAAAATTCTGTCACCGTTAGGCGACAAGGAACACTCTGAGAAAAAATCTCCACCAGCCGCTTCCAGATCTCCAAAGAGGATGAAAAATATCCGTCATAGATTATTAAAATCGGATAAAATGAAAAAATTGCCGTTGAGTACTAAATCAGAAAAACCTGAGGAGATCCTTAAAAGAGATACGTTTCCTCATTCATCACGAGATGTTTCAGCAGAGCCTAATAAAATGGATTTATTTTTTAAAGTAGAAAAGGTCACAACAGTAACGACAGGGGAACCTACAGTTGAATCATTACCAACTACCACAGGAGTAGAGACGACGATTCCAATGAGTTCTGTCGAGCAACGAGAGGTGCCCCCGGAAAAAGCGGAAATTTCCGTATCACAAACCACGACAAGTAGTTCAGACACCCCCGAGCAATTGCTTGATCAATCATTCCCGCCTGATGCAAAAGCGGATAAAGCTGAAGCTAAAGTGGATCTGCCATTAATGCCTGAAGTAATTACTGACGTGAAACAAACGGAACTGCAAATGCACGACAAATTGGAAAATTTTCCAAAACATTCCAAGCATTTGAAAGAAGATACCCCGGAAGCTCAATCCCGGTACATGGCCTGGTACAAAGAAATGCAAGAACGAAAAGAAGGTGATGATCAAGAAGAGCCGCCTAAATGGCTACGCAAAAGTACTCGACAAAGATGGTTAAAAATGAGTCCCGAGGATCGAAAACACTTTGACCTGAGAACCCCAGAAGTGACGCCCCTGGCGCGTCGAAAAATTATACCATCAAAAAATGTGGAGTCGGAGCAGCTGAAAGCCATTGTACGTCAGGGAAGAAAACTGAGACGAGCAGAAGGTGGGACAATCGATCCGCAAATCGAAATTTTCGCACCCGAAAAACTTCCACCACTCGCGACAAAATATCACCACTTAATTCAACATTCAGAGTACAAATACGAGAAAATTCCATTTTACCTTCACCCACCGCCAGTTCCTCATCCGTCTCCTCAAGTATCTCCACGACCTTTTGAGGACACCAGTGGATCTTGTTCAAGGCAGTTCAGACGATCCGACGACGATGTGGAGACTGGGATTATTCTCACGACTTCCACTCCACGACTCAGGCATCAGCAACTCCTGGAGAAAAAAAGTGTCTTTGATATCGCCTACAGTGAAGCTGCCCCTTCACAATTACGCGCAGATAGCACGACTCCTCCATCGTAAATTTATAAATCATCAGTGGGTGTTTGTTTTTTAATCTGTAACGTAAAGAATTATACATAAATTTGATATTAATGTCTGTACCACCGGGATTGCTCCACACTGCCCAGAACTAGTAAAATTGTTTCTATTGCCAATCTTGTAAATAAATTGAATAATCAAAAAAAATATTGAGGGCTTGAATGCGATATCTATTTGGTATCGCTCGTGGAGTTGCTCTTCGCTCTTCTGCTATCCTGTCCCAAAAGTATCCTCGTTCTCGACTTTACCAACTATCTTCAGAACAACCAGTTTATCTGGTGCACGATTCATGTACCCGACGCTAAATGCCGGGAATGGCGAGCCAAACTGTCAGGGTACCATCGATTGCCTTTACCATTCGGTCGGTATTATTCGCTGAAGAAAATATCGTGAACTTTTATCGTGGAATTATTTTCACTCTCTGTTGAGGAGGTATTGCCGATATCTTCTCGGTTTTCTGCTTTTTTGGGAATTTCCGGGAAAAATCGGATCGGAATAACCGGAAAAATTTTTTAATTGTTGCAAAAGTTTATTGGAGTCGTAGGAAAATTATTCTGCAGTAATGAAACTTCGTGGGACATTAAATAATAATAAAAATTCAAATATTGTATGGAGATTTTTTATTCCATCATTTTTTCATCAACCGTCTCTCAGAAATTTCTACACATTTTAAAAATGAAGAGATATCGGTAATAATTTAAACATCACAGAGACAAATATTCAAGGAAAACTCTATTTTATAAAATTTATATAAAATTTTCCATAAAAAAATAGGAAAATATCAAGACAGAAAAAAAAATGGGATAAAAAGAAAAAAATTCAATAATTTCTAAGAAAAAAATCATAAATTTTCATTTTTTTTTTCGGATAATGTTTATTACAGACTTGTTCCTCCGTGTGTGATAAGACAAGCGGAAATGACCTCGCGACCTCGTCGAGATGGAGCCGCGAAATATCGCAAGGCCCCCCACTTTGCGAACAAATCCCCGAAGAAATGCCTTTAAATGACGTAACCCCTGACGTCTCAATCCGATGACGTCCAAAGGATAAATAAAAAAAAAAATCTGTAAAAAACCTGATGACGTTACCGATGCAACTAACCTACCGTAATCAAAGGCATAATGGTGCATCAAACATAACCGGAGACTGGTAAATCTCATTGCTAGGAGTCCATGAAGCGGTAGGAGATACTTCAGCACTTCCGCGGAGTATAATCGGTACAAGTGATAAAAAAAAAAAAAAAATGCGAGACGCCCGAGTCTCCGGGTGTTGAGCTACTCTCCTGATCGGGGCGTACGTCAACGGCCGGCCGTTTGTTGGCAACAGATGCGATTTGCAAGAGATGATTGGAATAACAAGTTCAAGTGATTCCAAACACCCAAGTGGCTATATTATTAATGACTCATTAATACTACGGGGATACAACCTTAATGAATATCCACGGCCACAACATACACCGAGCATTCGAACCGTGAAATAACAAAATTATGAATATAAACGAGAGAATTATCTCATTGAATAGCACCATTGCACTGCATTGAGCTTCAATTACCGAAGTTTAATTGTTACTCAACGATAACGATGGCAGTACGATCTGGCGAGTCTCCGAGATTGGAAAAACAACTGTTTATTCAATATGATATCCTGATGAATGACTAACGGTGACTCCGATTGAATAGCACAATGTGTGTAAAATCGGTAAACTTATTAGGATGATTTTAATTAAGATCATAGCCGATTATAGCTTAAAGTAACGGTCCGGATAAACAATGTATGAATGTTAATTGTTGTTAATAAAGAGCGGTGTATGTTGCTGGGGCAACGGCGAACAGAGCAGCGAAGAGGCAGTCCCCTGTACCAGCACCACACTCACCAGACAGATGCAAGCTCACCTGCAAAAATTTGCAATCTCCCCCATCCAGTGCCACTCACTTTTACCAATCAGCAAGTCCCCCACTCTTTTATTTATTTTTTTTTGCTTCAACGCAACAGCTGCAGTCCACCGGTTTCTTACGATCCACTTTGCTCAGATCACTGATTAAACCGTCAAATATCAGAATCATCATCACCATCTCCATCATGGACGTCATCATCACGATCACACGTCCTCCAGGTGCCCAAACGATGATTCCCCTCTGAGGTAGCCTGTCCCTTAAAAATCCTCAAAAATCCCCGGATTTCCTGGTGATTAATTAATTTATTAATCAGACAAGAGAGAATTTATCGGAATATTTTGTATCTGGGGCTACGGGGGAGATGTCTACGCTCCTGGTGTGACCTGGGCTTTTTTTTTTATTGAAAGCTGTCGTGGGGGTGGTGAGGTGTGATGGGATGTGGAAATGATACGGTACCTCAGGTTGTTGGGATGGGTTGGCCACTGGGGTAATAGCCATCAATCATCCCCGAATTTTGGCAACGCATTGGACAACGCCGGCCGCAGGGAACTATCACCAATGTAGAGTTCTCCGGGTCCACGGGGATGTCGAGGTGTGATGTGGGGATGGATGAGGGGAGTACGAGGAGAAGCCACTGGTTCGATCCGTCGAAAAAGCCCCGGGTCTGGCACACCCACTTGAATCTATTTTGGTGGGCCAATTGAATTCGAGAGTTCATTGTCAGTTAGACGATGATGATGATGAAGATGATGACGATGATGGCGATGATGGGGAGGATGGCGATGATGGCGAGGATTACAGGAGGATTATTGGAGGATTACTGGAGGATTACTGAAGGATGACTGGAAAATAACTGGAAAATCACTGGAGAATCACTGTTAAATCACTGACGAATCACTGGAGAATGACAGGTGAATCGACTCGAGTGAATCGACTCGCACTTTCCAAAGAGATTTCCCCACGTGAGAAATTTCACCTCCGGCAAGAGTGGGAATCCCATCGATTCCAGATGCAACTGCTGCCAGTAGATTACCAGTAATTGAGATTAGTAATTACCCAGACGACCTGGCGTGAGCGATTGAATTCTCCTATCCCTCATCGTCGCTAGTAATTCAGATAGTCGCAAATGATAGGAGAACATATCGGGGTTTGAATTTCCGTGGAAAATTCCTCGTTCAAACGGAGACGTTGATTACAAGATCTAGTCGACGTATTACACAGTAAGTTTAAGTTTGTCCGGGGGTAATTACTGAGGGAAGAGTCTCTAGGGTAGCGAAGACGTAGATCAAGGAGTGAGACATCAAACAATTCAACAGCAGTGGTGTATCTTTGAGAGTTTATGAGTCGAGGTAATGAGAAAATTTTAAATAAAACCGAGGGGAGGGCACCTTTTGTCGACGCTTCAATGAATCCAACTGCATTGCACGCAATTTTCAAGTCTGTATGACGTAACGCACGTAATTGTCGGTTGTACATGCACCAGGGGAATATGCGAGATAGGAAGATGAAGAGACCTGTACTGCAAGTACATACTGGGACTTGTTTTATTAAGACGATCCTTCAAGGTAGTATGTGAACATGAGGTTTACTCCTGATACTTGACGCTCTGTACATCGCCCATGGCTCATTATTGCTCATTATTTCTCATTATTGCTCATTATTTTTCAGAGGCAGCACAATGACTCGTTGCTCTTTACCGAGCTTTCAATATTTTGGTCGTGATATTTTTGAGCTTCTCGGAAATTTGAGAGTTTGGAGTTGTCATTCACGTGATAGAAGAGTATTTCATCTAATTTTTGTTGCGTATCTCTTTGCTCTCAATTTTTTATTGATCATATCCGAAATTTTGGATGTCGGAAATTATCATGATTTGTCTAGCTTCGCTGCTCATATTAATCCCCTGTTTTTACATTTTTTGGGACTTTTTAAATGGAGCTATTGCATTATTCGTCGTGCCGATATTGTGGGCCTTGTCGAGTGCATGGAGAGGTGTCACCTTTTGGCGCAGCAGATTAATCTGCAGGATGTTGGTAGCTATTATTTATTCAATTATAATTTGCGATTGGAATAAAAAAATTAAGAACAAGACAATTCGGAGTTTAACGAGCGGAAATGTCGGCGATAAAAATTCCCGCTGGCGAATTCCAGTGAATATCAATCTTGAAATTTGATATTTATTGTGTAAACAATTATTTGGATTATTAATAATTATAGTAATTAATGATTAATTATAATAATTCATTTTTCAGACTGTTGGGAGTACAGATTGAAGTTAAACAGGTGCCAAAAGTACTCGACTTTATTTATGAACGTATGGCTCTTCGTGGCAATCGGTGGTGTATGCCAATGGTGCACTAACCCAATTGTTTACGATTTTTATGAACAATATTACAGCGGAAAAATCATCGAGTCAAGTGCGATGAGGCGTTTGCCTTATCCCGGATTATTCCCCTGGGAAATAAACAGCATTTCACGATACGTCATGTGTTTTGCTTTCCAATTATGGGGTGGGATTGCATCGACTGTTGGTGTTGCTGTCTTTGATATTTTAAATTTGACATTCATGATGTACGCGTGTGCCCAATTAAATCATCTCAAGGACACGTTAATCGCGAAAAGTGAAAAGCCAGATGAATCCTACAATAAAATTCAGATTCATCAGTTGGGGGAGAAATTGATGAGATGCATCCGCCATCATTGCCAAGTTTTGATGTAAAAGATATTTTATTTATTTATTTTATTTATATATTATTTATTTATTTATTTATTATATATTTAGTAATGATTTTGGGAATTTATTAATTAATTCGTAGGGACTCTGTGATTTTTCAAAATGTTATTCTAGATTTCTCAAGAAATTGGAGGAATTTTCATCCGGCCCGATGTTTGTCCAGTGTCTCGGAATTATTGTCGCACTTTGTTTAATTTCTTTTGAAGCCTCGACTATTCAATTCAATGTACGAAGCATCAATATTATATTATCGATATTTTTTAATATCAAATATAAATCAAATTTTTGAATATCTTTTAGTAATCACAACCACTCGAATTTTTACCAACAAAATTTTCATATTAAGATTACATATATGATTACAAATATATAAACATAATCTTTATGCTTATATATTATCTATATAAATCGATTATATTAGATATATTCTAGTATTAATATCGAAATATATTTTTCTGCCAAATCTTAATTGAATTTTTATCTCAATTACATTTAATTGGAAGTAATAGTTTAATTAGGAATTTATTTTAATTTTCAAATTGAATTTGATGGAATTAAATTTTGTACAGGGCAGCATCGAACCTGTGATGAAGACAATAATGATGTTCGAGTACTGGTGCAGCATTGTCGCTGAATTATTTCTGTACTGCTACATGGCTTCCGAACTTGGACAATTAGTTAAATTCAATTATCTTTACTCCACTGATAAAAACATTTTTCCCAAGGATAAATGAAAATTAATTAATTTCATCAACTTAAATTTTGCATTTACCATTAAAAATTGCAAAACATTTGAATTTTCCGCGGAAAAAATTTTCTCAGTGTTATCAACATTTTCTAATAATTGTCTAATAAATATGTAAATGTAAAAATATCAGATTTATGTAGACGATATAATACATAAATGGTAAATACAATTCGCTGAGAATAATATAGAAATAATATATAATAATAAATATTATGTAATGATAAATGACAAATTGCGAATTGATCCTTGGGGAAAATAATTTCATGAGAATTTTATTGAATTATTATTTAATTATTCGTTGAATTTTATTTATTCAATTTATTTGATTTGAGGGAATGGAAGTCAGTCAAGCGATTTACGCCTGCCGATGGGAACAGTTTTATGTAAATTACTCGAGTGATTATGAGAGCAAACGAATGATTTCCGTGATTACACATATCATTCGATTCAGTATCATGCGCAGTCAACGACCAATTCTTATCACTGGTGGTTTTTATGTTCTCTGTTTACCAACATTCAAAGCTGTAAGTGAACTTGTACTTAAAAAATAATTACCGAATCAATTTAGAGTGGATTTTATTCTAATTGATCAATTTAGTCGTCATTAATTTTTGCGGGTGAATGTCTCATCTCTGGATCAAGTGATGGAATCTTTCTCTCACTCATTGAATTATTTTTTAATGCATTAATATTTTTATTTGTTTAATATTTATGGCGTAATTAATTAATAATGAGTGAATTCTGTTTGCAACAGCTGGTGGGACTCTCTGTCTCGAATGCCCTAATACTCCGACAACTTACAGGGGATTAAAATAAATGTACGTAATGATTTTGATAACTGAAAAACTGAAGTTTGATAAAAATCCACCTAGCAATTTGTTTACAAATAAAATAATAAACAATAAATCAAATGAAATTAAATCTTTCAATCGAATTCGAATTCATGAACAACTTTGAATTTTTACTCTAGCCAATATCTCGGAATTGAACAAAGATAGCGATATTTCTGTGAATACCTTTTTTATAGAGAATTTCGAGAGCTACAGAAAAGGTGGTGATGGAAATTTCACTATCTGCCTTTGGTTCTGAGATAATTGGAAATTCTCGGCAGCGAGAAAAAATGCACTTCGGATCGAAGAAGTTCTTGTCTCACGAAAATTTGAGGTAATTAAATTTGAGTTTCTGGCGGTTTTTGGGGGTTCAAATTCGCTGACAAGATTTCATCCAACTTTTCATTACCATTTCCGTCTTATGTTCCCCTGATATTTTGTCGACAATCCGCAGATGATTCGCGCAGTCGGCGTGCGCGTGTCATGACTAAACGACTGCGCTTTCATCCCGTCTTCGAAGCCACAAGTTCCTTATCGCAGATTCAATCAAATTGTTTAAAAACAAATACCCGATGGTCCCGAGAGTGACAGAAATCGTCGCTAATCATGTGCAGATTTTTCCAGGGGTTCTAAAATATCTATTCTATTTTCCAAAAATTCATTAGAGCAAGCACCACATGGAGGCATCGCAAAAGGTACATGAAAGGCCTGAATCTGAGCCAAAAATAGTGGGGGAAAGAAACTGAGTTGTAACTTCATGAATAATCAACAATGACTTGCCAAAAAATTGGATTTTCTAAAAAAGGACTGACCGCTAAAAATTTTATTGAATAACAAATTTTTTTTTCCACTTCTCCAAAAAATAAATTATCCAAATTCTCCAAATTTTATCACAAAACCTTTTCCTCAGCCATCACCAACCCGTGCACTGATATCGCCTGGACATTAATTTCAATAAATAAATGACGAAATATCCACTCCTCAAAACTTGAAAGACAAATGTCGCCTTGGCATAGACTGAAATACAAAATCAATATCCACTGAGGGGATATTTTATCGATGGCAAAGTTCCCTCGTGGGAACCGTAGCTCCTGCCAATAACTCCTAATTGTTTCCGGGGTAGAATCGATGAGCGACATAATCTTAACCATTAAACATGCAATTCAAGATACCAAGGATAATTAGTGATGAAAGGAAAGTGCTAATCAAAGAGCTAGACCAGACTACAAAGACCTTTCATCATTCCCCAGAAGACTCCAGAGTTTCTAGAATGAAACGTCCACCTCGAAGAATAAATGACATAACTCCTGAAGAGACAACACTCCCCTTCAAAGCATTCATCTCCCACGTGTTCGCCACCCTGAGTCATTTAAAAATCTCCAAAAACTCCAATTCCTCATCATTAATCAATCTAATCGACACCTGTGCAACAACTTGTTTAATTACTCTCAATTTTCTCCTGATTATTTCGGAAGCTATGGACGTTAAAAATAGTTATGATTTACCAAGTTTCGCTGTACGGTTGAATCCCATTCTTTTTCACTGCCAGGGATTCATTAAGTGGACCTATTGTTTAACCCATTACGTGGAAATCCAGGAGATCATCGATAGCATGGAAATATGCCATGAAATGTGTCAAAAGATTGACAGGAATGACAAAGGTAAAGTGACAGAATAACCTCTAATAATTCAATTCTCGATCTCGTAACTGTAATCTAATAAAAAAAATTCACTTAAATCATCAGACAATACAGAAATAACAATAACAACAATTATGATCAATTATTAATTATCAATTGATCATTGTTATTATTATTTAAATCATTTTGGAGTAAAACATAATGAGACTTGATTAAACGTTTTATGAATTTGATTCAGGTACCAGTCGTTACGAAATCAAAATGGCGGATTGTCAAAAAAATTCAGTTGCATTCGTAAATGTATGGATGATGGTATGTGTATTTGGTGTAGTGCAATGGTGTGCAAATCCCATAATTTATGATTTATATGATGATTTGTACGGAGTGAAAAATATTAATTCAACTTTTACGAGGCATTTGCCTTATCCGGGTATTTTTCCCTGGGCTGTTAATGGATTTAAGATGTACCTAATTACGTTTACGTTTCAATTCGTTGGTGGCATTGGAGCTGGCATAGGAATTGGTGCTTATGACATCTTGAGTATTACATTTATTATGTACACATGTAGTTATTTGGAGTACCTCAATGAGACATTGACTAAAGAAATAGTCAATCGCAGGTAAGAAATTGCTAATGAAGCGGATAATAATTAGATATCCAATTAGTACTCACTGAAATAATATCCATTCAATCGTTTATTTTAATTAATTTTTGGGTGGAATTGAAATTTTATTTGCGCAATTGTCTGAATTTTTGTAAAAATTGAATATGTGTTTTAAAAATTGAGAGGCATTTGATTATCGTTGGTTACATTGTTGTTATTAAATTGATGGAAAATTATTCTGGATAAGAGATGATCCAGCGAAGATTGGGTCATTCGAAAGGAAATTGAAAATATGTTTCCGTCAGCATCGGCAGATACTGGAGTGAGTATGTCGATTCGGTGAATTATTCGTAGGATTTTAAACAATTTTCACTCCACTGTAGAGCTTTCGAAAGGATACAAATCATTACGAGTTTTCCCATGTTCATACAGTGCTTTAACACAATTATCGCTCTCTGTTTGGTTTCTTTAGAGGCATCCACAACGGAAATAAACGTAAATGTAGAATTTCCTCGGTGAAGACCCTTTTGGTTGCGAAAATTCAAGAGATATTTCACATTATTGTTGTTAAATAAATATAACAGGTCAGCGAAAAGGATCTTCTCCGTTTAAGAGATCAATTTCACTGGTGTTGATAATCTTATAGTGTGAGATTACTGTATTTATCATCAGTCTAGTGTGGAATGCGTCATGAAATTACTGAGTACTGCAGAATATTGGAGTGGTATCAACATCGAATTATTTTTCTACTGCTACTTTGGAACTAAAATTCAAGAACTGGTGAGTCGAAATGAAATTTTTTATTTTTTTAATTTTTTTAAATAAAATTGTGTGTAATATTCATTTTGGGAATAACAATGAAATAATTTTTCACTCTCTTGGAGCGAATGTAAATAATTTTTTCTTCAGGGATCACGATTGAGTGACGCATTCTACTGCTGCAATTGGGAGCTAATTACTGGTGATTACGAAAGTAATAGACTTGGAATAAATAAAATGGTGGTGCTCGGTATAATGCGCGCCCAGAGACCCATGGAAATGGCGGGTGGACCATTTTACATTCTGTCATTAGAAACCTTCAGAGCTGTAAGTAAAACCGAAATAAATATTAAATAACAATTGGATATAATATATAATTACCTGCCAAAATTTCCACAAAACACAAATTATTCCGAAACATTACAAGAACAAGAAAAAAAACATAATTAATTGTTATATTTAGTATAAAATGAGATCGCAATATCTTGTAATATTTTCGCAAAGGATAATTAATATATTTTTACAATATTTAAACTTGTAATATTTCTTTGGAATATTTTGAGGGCTCTTCAATATAATACACCTCCATATTTCACTCGTTCTATTTTTTAAAATTCAGTTAATCAGTCTGTCTCTCTCCAATGCCATAATACTTCGACAACTCTCGAATTGAAATAACTACAGACAGTGCAAGTGTCCAGGTAATGAGGATTAAACCCTGAAATTCGGTAATGAGATTGAGTCCTACATTCGATTACTAATTGCATCTCATGTTTTCCTAGTAAATCGTCGACGATCCGCAGATGACTCGCGCAGTCGGCGCGCGCGTGTCATGACTAAACGACTGCGCTTTCAGGTCTTTCAAACAACAACTAGTAATAACTATATCCGAATGTAATAAATAAATAATTGAGAGACACGTAATGGATTTATGATGGATTTTACTGATTCCGTTTTATTTAATTTTAAAAAAAAAATCGAGGAAAATCCAATGAATCGTCTGTTTGTAATCCATTACTGCCGGTAAATCGAGTAACTGACAAAGGGGATTTGTGAAGTAGTGGGGGATTAGTTGGGGATGTGGGAGGGGGAAATTGTAGATGAGGTGCAGCTGTTCACCTACAACCGTATAAGGAGGGCGCGCAAGTATCAGGAGAACAGAACAACAGGAGTTGAACCAATGACTTGCGTAGCTATTCTGATACCCTGATACAACTACCACGTGTTCTGATGAGGCATTTCTGTCAAGAAAATCCATTCTCAGTGGTGGACTGCTATCTTCTTCGCTGTCATATTATCCTGGTGGGTACAAGACTGCTTTTGAATGCACGTGGCTGATGAACGTCAATCAAACATCCACACTAGCTTGTTAACGTTTCCTTCATCGACTTCAATGGCTTTCTGGTACTGAAAGTAATTAGAAAATATTGGAGAATAATTAGGCAATGATTAGAAAAAAATTAGTGCATTCATATAATTTATGGAGTCAATTGTTGTCATGTGAATTATCATTTTTAACATTTGGAATTTGAATTTTTGAGGGGAAATTCAAGGTGTCAAACTGTCAATCGACTTGGGTAATTGATGGGGATGTGCAGTCTTGAAGGGTCGATTTTGATTGGCTTTGAGGTGTAATTGATGACTGGGTAAATGAAAAAATTATTCGGAATAGTGAGATTTGAGGCTGAGGTTGTGGGTGACAGAAGTTGGTTTAGTGGAATTCCTGACTTTCTGGGGATTTATGATTCCCTGGTCGTGAATCCGTGGCGTGCCGAGTCCTTGTGGAGGCTTCACTCATCCAACTTGCATTTCACCCTGTTTAGACCGCGGTCATAACAACCGTAGTACTTGCTGCTATCGTTATCGATATATACGTATATATTGTTGACACTCACCAAGATTCCTCACCTGCCCATCAAAAGACGTAAAGTCATCCACATTGGCTACCCAGGGACCAGGAAAGCATGAGGCTAAGAGCGTTTGGAGGTCTCGGATTCAATTATCGTGTGGTTAACCTCTTGCATCTCATTATCTCCTGTACGTTCCTTGGCGAAATGTGGACGCCTTTCGGGAACGGTTTTTCTTAGCACCCTGAAGTATCCGAACCACCAACCGCTGCTATCGGTTTTTGGACAGAATTTCAGGCTTGACCATGATTTAAAAATTTTTTACGGAATTCTGAATTTCGAATTTTGTTAATGTGGGACTTAATCGGGGTTTTCCCCGGAGGTGGATCGAAAAATCAAAATATTTTTATGAAATAAATGGGACATTCGTGGGATGGACAGCTTCACATGTTGGAGTTCATATTTTAGACTTGAAGGGCTTCTTCATTTACCATTTTGACTGCCCACCGGGTGTTAGCAGAGGTATGACTTCAGTTCACCGAGAATCGAGTGGCCATTTTTACGCAAGTCATGCGTTGCGCGGGAAAATTTGAATTGTGAAAACTGTCAGATGAAAAAAATTATTCAATTCATTTATTCAAATTACCCAATCTGTTGCCTATAACAGAATATTAAATGAAAATTAATTATCTCTTGTGAAAAAATAAAATCCTGTTGTGAAATAAAACAACTCCATTTTACATGCAGGTAGAAATTTTGCTCTGCTTGTCATGACTTGTCATCGAGATTAATTCAGGAAAAGTCAAACGGATAAATAGCTCCAGGAAAAAAAATGGACTGCACTTAGGATAGATGTATTGAATGATTTTTAAATTGTGGATAAATAATTTATTTGACGTGTACGCTTTGTTTGATAACTGTGATGTTTTTACCCGAATGTAGTTTGAAAAACCACCACCCATCAGCACCGTCACCCCTAGTCAGAATCAATTGTAACCTCTCATTTCTGTTGTCATTGTAATAGAGTTGAGAAGAAAGCATCAAAAAATTATTCATAATTTTCAAAAAGCTCCACCAAAGAAGAAAATACTCCTGAGATCTCAACAACTGGCCTATCGTAAATCCATTAACTTCACAAAATGGTAAAAATTTTTGCAGCAATTCAATCAGCTGAAACATAAGTATATCTTATCAATTTAACCTATCTATTAATCATCATTGATCGGTTTATTCTCTAGGACGTATTTCTCATGATCAGGAGGAAGAAGATGACTATTTTTACAGATGCTAAGGACAACACAACTGTACTTGAGCTGAAGCGAATCATTGAAGGTAAGTCAGGTATCAATCTCATTTCTATGATCAGTGGCTAAATATATTCACAATAAAAACAAATTGCGCATTTGCAATTTAAATCAGAAAATTCGCACATCCTTCATGAGTCCAGAAATCGCAACTGTCTAGTGAGAAAATCTCTCAGAGGATAATGATAGAATTCCCGACTGTTTTATTTGGTGGACAAAATATTGACGATTTTCTTCATGTTGCAGGAATCCTGAAAATTCCACCGGCGAATCAGCAATTGTTTAATAAAGAGAATGTACAGATGTCAGATAGTAAATATTTATCTGATTACGGTCTTACGGCTGCATCAGCGAAAGCACAGTGTCCAGCTCTAGTGGGATTAGCAATACGTCAAGAGAATGGACAATTTGAGAATCTCGAGATTACGGCGTTCTCGCTGCCACCCGATCTACCCGATGTCATGAAATCACAGGAGGCAAATGGCCAAGAACAGTCTCCCTGAAGTTCACCCATGATCTGCACGATCATTATCAACAAAAAAGCCCTTATTAATAAATAACAAAGCTCTTCACTTCGTTAAGTTCTTGATATAAAAAAATTACTAAATAAAGTTAATTGATGTAAAACATCGAATTCTTTCCTGTTTGTATTGAGCATAGGAACTCACTGCAAAATATTTGCACTGTAATACACAAACTCTATTATCAGCCGAATTATGTTTTTTATGAGATCAATGATATTGATTGGACTCCAGGACTTTGAGACTCTTCGGAGCTAAATTTTCCGCTTGTTTCGACTTAATAATTTATTGTGATTGGTTTAAGTAATTAACTCACTGGAGCCATACATTTTTCAATTTGTGATATAATAGAATAATTAACAATTAAAATGGGCCTTTTTCCTTGTAACACGGAGGTTGCATCCTAGCTGTGGATCTCTTTCTAATTAATATTACTCAGGAATTGGACAATTGGTGTTATGCGGAAAGTTCTAGTTGACGAAAATAACATTTTCTGCAATGTGGAATTAATCAGCGAAATTGCCGGAATGAAATCTTCTTCAGCAAGAATCTTGTAATGCCTTGAGACTATTATCACCGAGGTGCAAGTAAGGAATATCTTTTTTTTTTAATGATGATATATGAAAATAGCCATTTTTACTGAAGAGGTGGGGAATTTTCCACATTTTGCATTTGGGTGCAATAATTACGGTGAATCCATAAAAAATCATAAATTAATCGCAAAATTCGGCAATTGATTGATTAAAAATTTCATTTGAAAACTGAATGAGAATGAAGAAAAATAGTCATCTGTATAATTTTAGAAAATTAACAATAGTCCATTATAATATCATTTATTTCCGAGTTAATTTCATAATAAACTTCGAAAAATACATGATACAGTCGTCACTTCGTTGCCAACTCCAATTCTCCTCCAAGTGTAAATAAGAGCTCCTATTACACTCGAAAAATTGAAAATCATGAATACTCCACCGATAATTCATGAATGATGATGATTTTCCACTATACCTCAAAATAAATAATTATAAACTTGTCCTAATCAAATACTTTTCATTTCATGATCATCAGTTTTTCCCTGCAAAACTGATTCAATCACTTATCTTGTGATAACGTAGAAAATCCTATCAAAGGAATTTTTCTCAAAATTCATTAATTATTTTCATTCATCTCATTGAAAAAATCCTGATATATGTGTTTTTTGCTCGGCACGTAGTGTCCTCCCTCGTGTATCACAAGTTTTTTGTTAACAAACAAATCACTGAGCTCTCTGGCCATTTCTGTAAACAAGAAGTCCTCATAATTATCTGTGAAAATTTTTCTTCCGCAATAAATAGACCTTTGAGTCACGTTTCTACCTGTTGGGATGATTTTATCACTCTCTCCAAATACGTGAAGAGTCGGTAAGTCAATGGGTTCATCATAGAATTTCTCATGGGGTGCGCAGAGCGATTTAAATCCAGATATCAAAACAGCGAACTTGAAATTAATTGGCGACACTGAAAATATAAAGAATAATTTATTCAGTTCTTTTCTCCTCTCGAACGTTTTCACAATTAATCTCTGCAATGAATTTCAGTTCTTTTATTCATAATATCTCAACAATAAAATAGAAACTCACATTTTTTCTGTTGCAAAGCGCAAAGAATTGAGACGAATGACGCGCCCTGAGAAAATCCGAGAATTCCATCGAAAGGGCCTTCCTCTTGGAATAGTTTCTCAATATATTCCAGACTTTCCTCGTAACCAACTGATAAATTACTCGGCTCTGTCGCTTTGAAGTAATGACTTTCCGTATTGAACCACCACCCCTTTCCTTGGAAAAACGAGACATAAAAATTGATTAAATCAATGAATAGCATGAAAGGACTCAATCCGACATCTTTAGATACGTCTGAGTAAATATTATTACGAATTTCCCTCCACATCAGAGATAAATCCCAAATAAACAGACGAGTAATTAATTAATTAATTAACAGTAATAACATTCTTCTCTCCCATAATAATATTACCTCCACCTGCCTCTTCCCCGTCGTTCGCAAATTGTCCTGGAGGCACCGCATGTGGTGCTTCAGCAAATACAAACTCAATTTTCTTGAAACCTTTCCTCAACGATCCTAATTTCGACCGGAAAATGGCGCCGGATTGATAATATCCATGAATAGCAAGTATCTGCGAAACATAAGAATCAATTATCGATTTGTTATCGAACAATTAGAAAGAACATGAAGAGCAGAAGGAACAAACCTTCATTTTTCTATTCTCTGCACTCATCTCCATTCATTACATTTTTTTTAATACTCGGTATTCAAAACACTAAATGTGGGTTATGTGACGACCAAACCGCTGGGGTAAACCTCCAGAACTGAGCCTCTACTTTAGTCAATCCTCTTTGGCTCAAACTTTCCACGTGAAACTTAACCTCACTAGCTTAATCATCAGGAATTGCAGTCAAACTAAAGAGATTGTACCAGTCTCTAATTACTGTCTACTCCCATTAAAAATTCAATTCCTCAAGGACAAATTAAATCCACGAAGAACTAACCAAGGTGAAATTCTTATAATATTACTGTCATAATATTTCCACTCCTTAAACATTTATCTGATAATTAAGAAAGACAATTAATTCAATGTTACACACAATTAATTCAATGTTACACACAATTACTTCATTACATCAATCATGTGCATTACCTACATCTATATTGTTATAAATTATATTATTTATTATACTCAAATTGTACGAGGATATATAACGAAATAAAATTCCACAACTCGATCATCTGTTATTTTTTTCTCAATCATTATCTAATTTCGCGTTTATTTTATTACAACAATGTTGTCAATTGTTTGAATTATTTGTAAACAGGAGACAATGTCAAAAAAGAAGCAGCAAAATCCTTACGATTCGAATGGGCTGCAGGATTGGGTAAATATCGTAATACATAATCCCAAAATTACCGTTTTGTTACTGAATTATTATTCAGTGCATTATGAATTATTATTAATCATCAGTTCAGTTATACATTAGCAGAGAATATTTATTCTCTGTTGATATTAAATGTTGATTACTCCAGGGCACGTACATGGCAGCGAAGAAGTCCAAACTGGAGGAACAATTTGATAAATTAGCACAATCAGAGTTCCAAGATGCCACAAATCTCTTCAGAGGTGTAGCAATATTTGTTAACGGTTACACGAATCCTTGTGCTGATGTATTGAAACGTCTGATGATGGAGCACGGAGGAATTTATCATACCTATCAAAGCTCCAGGAGCACAACTCACTTGATCGCCTCGAATTTACCATATTCTAAGATAATCCAATACAGAAAGAGCAAAAATCCATTGCCTCTGTGTAAACCCGAGTGGATCACTGACAGCATAAAAGCTAATAAATTGCTGGACTGGAGGCCGTATTTATTATACAACAATACATCAGTGACTCAGCCTCAATTGCAGTTGAAAAATCAGACAAATGATTTGGCAAAAAGGCCCCAAGATCCCGACATGGGACCATCAACAAGAAAAGAAGACCCAGGGCTTACAGTCGACCCTCAAGCTCCACCACTTGAATCCTCAAAATTTTCAAATAGCGAAAATCATAAAGAAAAATCTCCAAAGATTCGAGAAGAGCAGGCAAAACCATCAGGGGCAGCTCTCTGCTCAAAAAACGAGGAATTCCTCTCAGAGTTCTACAACAACTCTCGTCTCCATCACATAGCAACAATGGGAGCAACATTCAAGGATTATGTAAATGAACTTCGATCGAAAAACGATGGATCATTCCCAGGTTTCGATCGTCTGAAAATTTTGAACAGGAAAAATTCAACTGGAGCATCAGCTCGAGACAAGAACGAGGACTCAGATTCCGATGAAGACTTGTTCTCCCCCAAACTCCAAAGAAATAAGAATAAAAAAGAATCAATTATAATGCACATCGACATGGATTGCTTTTTCGTTTCAGTGGGCCTTAGAAATAGACCGGAGTTGAGGGGCCATCCGGTGGCTGTGACTCACGCAAAAGGTAAAGCTTCTTCGAGGGGTAAAGAAGACGAGGAGCTTGGGTCTATGTCAGAGATCGCTTCGTGCTCTTACGAGGCACGAAGAGCGGGCTTGAAGAACGGAATGTTCCTGGGACAGGCTTTGAAGCTCTGCCCCAACCTGAAGACCATAAAATATGATTTCGAAGGGTACAAAGAGGTCTCTTATACTCTTTACAATACTGTAGCTTCGTATACTCTAGATATTGAAGCAGTTAGCTGTGACGAAATGTACGCGGATATTTCGAAAATCCTCGAGGAATCCACTCTGACCCCTTCAGAATTCGCTGCCATCATTCGAGCTGAAATCAAGGAAAAAACCGGATGTCCTGTGTCCACGGGATTCGGTAGCAATAAACTCCAGGCGAGATTGGCAACGAAGAGGGCAAAACCCGATGGGCAATTTCATTTGAAAAGTGATGATGTGGAATCTTATGTTGGGGGAATTAAAATTGGAGACATTCCTGGGGTTGGGTGGTCCACTATGCATCAGTTACGGAAGATCAATGTGGAATTCTGCAGGGATTTGCAGAAGATCTCTCTGGGAGCTCTTCAGGAGAAGTTTGGAAAAAAACATGGGGAGATGTTGTTTAATACTTGTCGAGGGATTGATCATTCCAAATTGAGTACCGAGCATGTGAGGAAATCGGTTTCGGCAGAGATTAATTATGGGATTCGGTTTGAGAGTGATGATGATGCCAGGGGGTTCATTATCAAGCTGGCGAAGGAAGTTTGCTCGAGGCTGTCGAAAATTAATGCCAAGGGAAGATGTGTTACACTGAAGCTGATGGTCAGAGAAAAAAATGCACCGGTTGATCCAGCCAAGTTTATGGGGCACGGGTTGTGCGATAATTTTACTAAATCCAAGAATTTTATGACACCTGTTGATGATGAGGTGATCATCACCAAAGATGTTCTTCTTCTTTGGGAACAGATGCAGCAGCCGGCGCATGAAATACGAGGAATTGGAATACAAATATCGAGATTGGAGAATTTAAAATGTAAAACGGTTAATAACAATTTAATGAAATTCATTGAGAGGGGAAGAGCGGTGGAAAAAAATCGGGAGACACGAGAGGAAATTAAAAATATTGTGATTGCAGAAAATAAGAATCGTATTCTTGAAGTTAAAAAAAATGTGGAAACGAAAAGAAATCGGGATCTCAAAACATTTTTTTCAGCAAAAAAATCATTGACGGAAAATCCAAAGGGAAAAGCGAGTTATGTAGAAGAGAATTCGAAAATCGATGAATCGGTTTTGGCAGAACTTCCGGAAGATATCAGACTAGAAATCCTGAAAATCCATAAACCTGACATTAAATTAAAAAATCCATCGACTCACGATAAATTAAAATCCCACCTATTGAATACTGAATCCAAAGAGAATAAAAATATTTCAACAGAAAAATTTTTACCCCCATCCCAAGGGATTGACGGGGACGTACTGATCGAGCTTCCCGAAGAGATAAGAAACGAAATTCTAGCATCGAAACCAGTGATTAAAAAATCAGAACCAAATGCAATAGATCATTACTTCAAGCACAAAAAATGTGAAATCCGCTCGGAAGCAAAAATGCCAACAATGCACGAATTAGATATGCAAGTGTTAATTGAATTACCCGATGATATCCGAAACGAAATATTGAATGAGTACAAAGACCACAAGACTGAAAATACCTCAACCACAGAAAACCGCAATTTGCCTCTGCAAGAGACAAGAAAAAATATCGAAAACACGATAAACAATAAAAATCCTATCGACGACTTGAATTGTTCCTTCTCCCAAGTGGATCCAGAGTTTCTAGCAGCCCTGGACAACGAGACCCGAAACGACGTGAAGGAGTACTGTCTCGCGAAGAAAAAAGAAAAGGCTTCGAAGCTGAGGAAAATCGACGAGAAGCTCCAGAATTCTGCGCACCCAATTCCAAAAAAGCGGGGACGAAAGCCAAAAGCTGTCCTTTCATCTGGAAAAAATTCCAAAGCTCTACCTCGCACTAAAAAAAAATCGAGTGAAAAATGTGGGCCTCATGCCCCGAAGAGACATAACAGTTTTTTAGAGAATGAAATGAGTATTTTAGAGGGCAATGGGCCTCCGAGGAATGACCCAGGAAATAAAATCCAATGTTATCCCTACAATTCACGTGAGAATGCTGTCAATAATTCAAAGAACGCGTTGAAGACTGAGCAACAGCTGATGTTAAATACTCTAGTAAATTATCTCTTCAGTCTTCCCTTGCAACAGGTGAAGAAACAAATACAAACATGGATTAATAACTCAGACATGGTAAACGAGATTGATTCATTATCCATAACAACGTACCTCAGCATGCTGCCAAAAGAAAAACGAATTGAGGATCTACACACTCTAATGAAGACCATGCACAGGTAAAAATGATTTATCACTTGAAAAATGTCTTTTATACTCAAGCGAAATATTTTTTCTCATTCGTTTAATCAAGTGGATATAATAAAATAACACTCGAGGCATATAATAGGGATTATTTAATTTTTTTTTCTTGTTTCATTGTTTCTCTCCTTTTTTTTTCTCGTAATAAAACAAAAAGTGGTATTATGATAAAAATTACATTAAAATTTACTACATGTTTGTTTGTTTAAGATGTATGACCGAGACTGGAAGTTGCGTTTGGCATGGAACCTATAGGAAAACGGTTGAACACGTTCAACAGTGTATGCAGATTGAGTACAACAGCAATCTAATGTTACCAGCAATCAGATGCAACCTTCGCGAATGCAGAAGTGATGGTGTATGACAATGTGTATTTTCTTTTTGTATATTGCGGTTTTTTATCTGTTGGATTTCTGGTTCGTTTTGTTTTTTTTTTTTCATCTCTTTTATGTCTTGAATAAATTATTATTTTACAATTGACCTAATAGAAACATATTTACAAGCAAACATGATATACTTACCTTCGACCTTAATGTACACAATACCACCATTCCTTAATCAGCGCAATGACTTATCCATTAAAATTGTGTTAATAGTTTCTGTTTCTGTTTCTCTCTCATTTCTGTTTGCTACGTATCAAAGGAGGAGCAAAATACATCTGCTCATACTGAGTAGTCCCTCATTGATAATAGATTTGTTTTTTATCTGCTTTTTTTGCGATATAAATCGGTAAGAATTCATAAATTGATCGGATTCTCAAATGCCTCATCTTTACTTTTCATAATAGATATATTCTTTTAAATATAGTTCTTGTTTTACTTTTCGGTTGTTGTTATGCGCAATGGATGGTGAAAAAATAGAAAGAGGGGGGCTGGGATTGATGTGGGAATCAATTGTTTACTACTCCCACTCGGTTGTGCCTGGGGGCTTCGATGATAGATCGTACAAAACACGAGAGATACCGGGTACGGTTGATATTTCAGTTACGATTTTCTTCACCACCTGCAAATAAATTATGCACAACAATGACCATATTCTCTCTTCAATCGATATTTTCAGATGAATGACTTGAGGAAAAATGTTATTTTTCTTATGATTATGATTGAATAAACGACAGAAAAATACTTACATGCACCGGTAACTGATTTCCTGGTATGGCAGGTGTACCAGTCATGAAATCACTGGAGCAGAATGGCCTGAGTACGACAGAGCGCTGGCATGATGGTGCTCTAGAGGCAGCGTCACGATCAAAGTGCACAGGAATGAGAATAACAGGCATTTGACTGATTGCCCCCATGCAACCATTACCAACCAATACTTGATTAGCTAAATGATCAGCCTGCCTGAGTGTTGATATGACATTCGATGTCAAATGTGTTGGGGTGATGTCTGTTACTGGATGATGTACCATCGGGCCAAATATGTAGCAAACACGATTAACATTATGACACACACGAGGTATGAGTCTCGCGAGGAAGACTAGGTCATCCCAGTTGATGGCCTCTGGTGCAACTTCCTCGAGGGACAGGCCAACTACGTAACTGTAACTTCTTCGATCGCCTTGAACACCAACGCTACGAATTGGCAAGAGTGTTGCTGCGATATGGTGACTACTCGATACCCTTCGCAAGCACTGACGTTCGCCATCACTTGTCGCACCCTCAACGCGATTCAATAATGCATGTTTCTTCTGAAGCATTTGCTCGTACTCTGCCATTATTTTTACAATTACTTGAGTCTCTGAGAAATCTTTGTCCATGAATGGGTCAACAGCGCAGAGAATACGAATTGCCAGTCCAGGGCCAGGGTAAGGGTGTCGTTGTACGAGAGGAGATGGTAATCCAAGGTCACACCCAATTTGTCGTACTTCATCCTTATGAAAATCTTTCAGGGGCTCCACAACTCTCCCCTGATCTCTGAGGGCTCTGACGAGCTCACTGTCGTTGTGGTGAGTTTTAATAGCATCAGCTTTGCCTGTCAAACATTTGAGGAGTGAATTAAAATGATTAAACACTGGAGTAATAATTTCATAAATATTCTTACCACTTGCCAATGCACTGGCGCTCTCGATAAGATCAGGTCTGAGTGTTCCCTGTCCAAGAAAAACCTCTTCCGGTTTGAGTCCCATCTCAGCCATAGCATCATTGGCCACCCTCACAAAGACATCACCAATGATCTTCCTCTTCTCCTCAGGATTCGTCGTTTGACACAGCATTTTCGTTAATCTTGTCCTTGGACTTATCGGCGTACCACCAATTCCCTTATTATTAACAGCATTAGCTGGCAATATGTTATCAAGTGGTACTGAAGTTGTGCCCTCCATGAAGTTGTGAGCAGCATTAACAATCCGAAGTTTAATACCCAATTGAGCCAAACTCTGCTCAACAAATGGTGTTTCACCTTTGCGCATGAAGCCATTATTTATGTGCAATGGAATAACTTGTTCTTTATTCAATGCTTTATGAAGTAGTGCAGCACAAACAGTTGAATCAACTCCACCGCTTACTAACAGCAGTACTTTATTATTACCAACTGTCTCTCTTATGTACTGAATGCACATTGCCTCGCGTCCTCTCATTGTGTAATTACCGGACAATCCAACAACGCCGAATAAAAAGTTGTGTAACATTTGTTTTCCATTTGGTGTTAAATCTACCTCGGGATGAAATTGTACTCCGTACAGATTCATTTTATCACTGGCTATACCAACAATGAAGTTAGATGATTTAGCTGTTGTACGGAAACAATCAGCAACCCTGTCTATACTGTCACCGTGGGTAAGCAGCACTAATTGGTCTTTCTCAAGGCCTTTGAATAACAGGCACTTGGTGTCTACTTCAATCGAAAATTGTCCATCCTCTCTGCCTTCTTTTCTTATTACCGTACCACCGAATTCTTTATTCATCATCTGCATCCCATAGCAAATCCCAAGTACTGGAATACCTATTCGGAAGATATCGCCGTCGTATCGAGGCGCGTCCTCGGCGTACACTGAGTTTGGACCGCCAGATATTATTATGGCCCTTTGTTAAAAAATTTAATTACATTTTTTATTCGTTAACAAATTTCTTTAATCGACATTGAATAAATTGAATAATACGCAACTCTCGAGAAATTAAAAGTTTAAGTTGTATCGAACTATCAATTTTTCAAATTTTATAACGCGTAGAAATCTCGAAATCTAAGAGGGATACAGAAATTTTTATCAGAACCTTTTCCATAGAGCCAATGAAGACCTACAAAAAAGTTCCTCAATAAAAATCGCCATCTCCCTTCGCTCCTGAATTAAAATCGAATGAACATTGGGGTAAATTTTATTGATAAACTCACTTGTATCCTTTTTCTTTCAACACATATGCCGGTGTGTCTAACGGTAGAATTTCACACTCAACATTCAATTCTCGGACTTTACGATCGATCACCTTCCCATACTGAGCACCAGCATCAAGGATAGCAACTCTCTCATCGACATTGGCCAGAGTCATTGGTACATCTTCAGCACCATTATTTCTGTCTGAATGGAACGTCAGTCCATCGGTTGTTTTGTCCATTGTAACGTGCAACGGTCCCAGGATTCAGCGATAACCACGCGATTCTCAGTTACACTGAAAAATTCATTCAAATTCATGAAGTTTCTTTCATCCTAGGTTGCCCCATAATCTCTGATTATGTCAGAGGTTATCAATCCGCTTCCCTTGCAATTTCATCTTCATAACCCATTAAATCTCAGTCGTAGAAATTCCCTACCATTTCTAACGCAATTGCTACAAAATCACTTACAACCCTTTTCCCAGTAATTAGCATAACGAATTCCAGAATAATAATAATTTCCAAAGGTAGTTCCAAAGGTGTAATTATCAAGGGTAATTATGAAAAAATGAGTGATTATCGATTTTAATATTGATGAAATTCGTGAGATTGAGTTACGATTATCATTAATTTAGTGGAAATTGGTGCATTTGATATGCTAGAGGTAATTCTAGAACTTTGCAAACTATATATGCAGAACGTCTGCCATAAGCGGTTTCTTAATGGCATATATATCCCAGACTTCAACGTCAACTCCAAAAGAATTTGTCAATACATATACCCCGCCTGTAATATACCTCGGTGAAATAATTTCGGTGCATAATGAACGATTGATTTGCCCTCCGACATATTTGAGATAATAGAGAATAAAAACAAGTCACCGGTTTAGCTGTTGGAGGTGAACACCACGTTTCGGAGCAACGAAAGACACTCGAGTGTGAAACTATTGATGAATTATTATGGATTATGTATTTACTGTTGTACATTATTGACTGGTAATTATTGATTACTTACCTGTGTTAATGGGGTGATGATTATTTTTATACACGCTCCACTAAATTGGAAATTAATGAATTGGAGAAAAACAGAGTTGGGGCACACTGAAAGAGGCGGCCATTCATCGCCACAATCAGCCACAATGCCAGTAAACCACTGATAATCATTTTGGCTTACATAGAGGGGTAAAACAGTTGTTGGAGATGTCGCTGGCGATCGTGGGGGCATCTGCTTGGAGAGTTTGGCGATTCCAGACAAAATGTGATCCATAGCCTCAAAGAATAAACGTTTTGTTGTTTCCACTTTCCCAAGTGCTATTCACTTTGCAAGACAATTGCTTCGCTCAAATTTTTCAGTTTAACTCAGTGAACCTGAAAGTGTTTTTAATTGAAAAAAAAAATGGAGATCGATGAGGTAGCGGAGCTAGAACGTCTGTCCCTGGTATCAAAAATCTGCGCTGAATTGGAAAATCATTTTGGTCAGAACGACGATCACAAAGTTCTCGCTCAATTCATTATCCACCTCTCCAAGAAGAACACAACCTTCGAGACATTCAAGAAAGCCCTCATTGAAAATGGTGCAGACACATTCTCCGATTCCTTCATCTCCAATATTCTCCGTATAATCCAGCACATGAAGCCGTTAAAAGAAGTTCCAAATCCAGTGATCAAGAGCAAGCAGGATGAATTGGCGTGTAAATTTCCGGGTTTAGCAGCAGCTAATCAAGCCCCCGTACCAGCAGACGATGTTGATATCGTGGATGATGCGATGGCTTCGCTCGAGGAATTTGCCCCATCGTCTCTTCAAACCAACGGTGAAAGTGAACCAGTGGTAAAATCCAGGGAAACACCAGAGAAAAAAGAGAACTCTAGGCGTGAACGTTCACGAGATCGCTCGAAAGACAGAAAACGAAGATCTAGGAGTCCCTCTCGACGAGACAGACGACACAGATCTCGATCTGTTGATCGCTCAAAACACAGACACCGAGATAAACACTCGAGGGATCGATCCAGATCCAGAGAACGGAGTCGTCGTTCTCGTGATCGATCGAGGTCTAGGGATCGAGATCGACGTCGTCGTAGATCTCCAGATCACCCTCGCAAACATAATTCTCGTGATTATTACAGAGATTCAAGACACAAACGTAGTCGTTCACGTTCACGCTCCAATGAGGAAGTTATTCCGATGGATCCAGAAGTGGGTAAAGTCTACACTGGAAAAGTAGCTAATGTCGTGCAGTTTGGATGCTTCGTCCAGCTGGAGGGTCTCAGACGAAGATCCGAGGGTCTAGTTCATATTTCTCAACTGAGAAGGGAAGGAAGAGTGGCCAGCGCCAGCGATGTTGTATCCAAGGGTCAGAAAGTTTATGTAAAAGTCCTCAGTGTTGCTGGACAGAAGATATCTCTCAGTATGAAAGACGTTGATCAAGACTCTGGACGTGATTTGAATCCTATTCTGGCGATCACTAGAGCTGAAGAGGATGAGAAGCACTTGAGAAATCCAGATCGACCGACTTCCTTGTTGGAACTCGAGGGAAATCTCGAGGAGGACGAGACCTACTCACGACCTCGTGTTCAACGTCTCTCTTCTCCGGAGAAATGGGAAATAAAGCAGATGTTGGCTGCATCGTGTATTGACAGGAGTGAACTTCCAGAATTCGACATGGAGACTGGAGTTTTGCCTCGTGAGGACGATGAGGAAGAGGACGTGGAGATTGAACTCGTGGAGGAAGAGCCACCATTCCTCCATGGCCATGGGCGTGCACTTGGTGATCTCAGTCCAGTTAGAATCGTAAAAAATCCTGATGGATCTTTGGCACAGGCTGCTATGATGCAGAGTGCACTGGCTAAAGAACGGAGGGAGCAAAAAATGCTGCAGAGAGAGCAGGAAATGGACTCAGCGCCAACAGGATTGAATAAAAATTGGGTGGACCCTCTGCCGGATGCTGAGAGTCGTCAAGTTCCTTCCAACATGAGGGGAATCGGTCTCCAGACTCAGGATCTTCCTGAGTGGAAAAAGCACGTAATTGGAGGTAAAAAATCGTCATTCGGAAAGAAAACAAATCTCACATTGTTGGAGCAGCGCCAGAGCTTACCGATTTATAAATTGAGAGATGATTTAGTCAAGGCTGTCACTGATAACCAGATTCTAATAGTCATTGGGGAGACTGGCTCTGGAAAAACAACACAAATAACTCAGTATTTAGCAGAAGCTGGATTTACATCTCGAGGAAAAATCGGTTGCACACAGCCAAGAAGAGTTGCCGCAATGTCAGTGGCTAAGAGAGTTGCTGAGGAGTTTGGATGTCGTCTGGGGCAGGAAGTTGGATACACGATTCGTTTTGAGGATTGCACAAGCCCTGAGACTAATATTAAATACATGACAGATGGTATGTTGCTTAGAGAATGTCTTGTGGATCTAGATCTCAAAATGTACTCAGTAATTATGTTGGACGAGGCCCATGAACGTACCATTCACACTGACGTTCTCTTTGGATTATTGAAACAGGCAGTGGGTCGACGTCCAGATCTCAAATTAATCGTCACGAGTGCAACCCTCGATGCCGTTAAATTTTCCCAGTACTTCTTCGAGGCTCCGATTTTCACGATTCCTGGGAGGACATTTGAAGTTGAAGTTATGTACACTAAAGAGCCAGAAACTGATTACTTAGATGCCGCATTGATTACAGTAATGCAGATTCATTTGCGAGAACCACCTGGTGATATTCTATTATTCTTGACTGGTCAGGAGGAGATCGACACAGCTTGTGAGATTTTGTATGAGAGGATGAAGTCACTCGGCCCTGATGTACCTGAACTCATTATCCTACCTGTTTATTCAGCCCTACCCTCTGAAATGCAGACCAGAATTTTCGAACCTGCACCGCCTGGATCGAGAAAAGTCGTTATAGCAACAAATATCGCTGAAACAAGTTTAACAATCGATGGTATTTATTACGTAGTCGATCCAGGATTTGTTAAACAAAAAGTGTACAATTCAAAAACTGGAATGGACAGTCTTATCGTGACGCCAATCAGTCAAGCAGCTGCCAAACAACGAGCTGGAAGGGCTGGACGCACTGGACCTGGAAAATGTTATAGATTATACACAGAAAGAGCTTACAGAGACGAAATGTTACCCACACCTGTACCAGAAATTCAGAGAACGAATTTAGCAACGACTGTACTGCAATTGAAAACAATGGGTATCAATGATTTATTACATTTTGATTTCATGGATGCACCACCAGTTGAGTCCCTCATAATGGCCCTCGAGTCATTGCACAGTCTCAGTGCTCTCGATAACGAGGGATTATTAACGAGACTAGGTAGGAGAATGGCAGAGTTCCCATTGGAGCCGAATTTATCAAAAATGCTGATCATGAGTGTTCATCTTCAGTGCTCTGATGAGATATTAACGATCGTCAGTATGTTGTCAGTGCAGAATGTTTTTTACAGGCCAAAGGACAAGCAAGCATTCGCAGATCAGAAGAAAGCCAAATTCAATCAGACCGAGGGAGATCATTTAACTCTTCTGGCTGTTTACAACTCCTGGAGGAATAATAAATTCAGTAATCCCTGGTGTTACGAGAATTTTGTACAGATTAGAACGTTGAAACGAGCGCAGGATGTGAGGAAGCAGCTGCTGGGGATCATGGATAGGCACAAATTGGATGTTGTTTCAGCTGCAAAGAATACAGTGAGGATTCAGAAGGCCGTGTGCTCCGGATTTTTCAGGAATGCTGCCAAAAAAGACCCTCAGGAGGGATACAGAACACTTGTTGACAGTCAAGTGGTTTACATTCATCCCAGTAGTGCTTTGTTTAATAGACAACCTGAATGGGTTATTTATCATGAACTCGTGCAAACGACTAAGGAATATATGAGAGAAGTTACGACTATTGATCCTAAATGGCTCGTGGAATTTGCCCCTGCTTTCTTTAAATTCAGTGATCCTACGAAATTGAGTAAATTTAAGAAAAATCAACGACTTGAACCTTTGTATAATAAATACGAAGAGCCTAATGCCTGGAGGATATCCAGAGTTAGACGAAGACGGAATTAAACTTTTGTACATAATATTTTCTTTCGTTCCATGTTTGCAGCAATTAATAATTATTTTTATTGTAAATACAAATTTATTACTTTCTTGATATTAATTGTAAAGGTGTAAAATTCACTGACGAATTTCAAGTTTGATCAATAAATTTATTAAATAAATACATTCAAGATAATCATTCATAACAAAATTACAGTAAAATTTTCATCTCTGTTTTGTTTCTGATAATGAACATTCTCGTTTTTTTTTTTATTTACATGTCAAGAGTGTCGAATTTTTTCAAGGAAGATTTGTTGATGCGTTCGTACTTTTTCATTGAATGAGCCTCCAATTAGATATTAAGTCATTAGAGGGATTTTTGGTCCTAGGAGCGTTGGTAGATTCAAGGGGAAGCTGGTGACGAGAATCTGTTATCTTTTTTACATATGGAGATATTTGGAGATTCATTGTACCTGCTCTTGGGGCTGTGACTTCTTTTTCACCAGCTCGACTAACTGTCGATATCTCAGTTGACATTCCTCCTTCGTCTTGCCATCGACGCAGGCAGCAATTTTCTCCCACCTATCCCCAGCAGACCCTTTCGGATGTTTCAGTAAAGCAGACTCCAGTGCCTTCTGCTGCTCCTGACTCCAGTCAGTCCCCTCAACATTTTCCGCCCTTGTTTTCACTTTCTTTGGTTGCAGATCGACCGGAGGCTCATCAGCAGTCTGACTAGGTTTAAACCCCTCGTCCTTCACCTTCTTCGCCATGTGTGTCACTTCATAAACCGTTCTACTCATTGCATCAGCGATTTTCTCCCATCGATCTGGAGTCCCTCCAGGAAATTTCTTAACAAGTCTTATCAACTCCAGTAAATCATCATCAGTCCAGAGGCCCCCCACAATTTTAGGTTTCTCGTGGACGTGATTTGGACGTGTGAATTCCCTTTTTACTGTTTCTGTTGAGTTTCCACTGTGTTCTTGAGGTGTGAAACCTTGTCTCCGTCTTCGTGGACCTCTTAGGATCGGCTCAGGGTCGGATTCCTCCTCCTCAGCTAGAGCCGCCTCTTCCTCCTCCTTTTTTCTGCGTTTTCTCTCCTCAATCAAATCCCTAATGGCTCGTATCGTCGAGGGAATTCCAACTATCGAGTAAAATGTCCAACAGGGCAGTTGAAAGGGCAGGGTATTGTAAACGCTGGGTGTTGGGATCTTCTGCAGAATATCTGCCAAATCTGGAACCTCCATTTTCCCCTTTTTGTTCTTCTTCTGGAGCTTTTGGAGTTTACTACCTAATACCTGCTCGTATGTGTAGCGTTTCTCGAAATAGGCAGCCCATGCCACGAGATATTGACCGATTGTGATGATACTGAAGAGGATTACACTCATCTCCAGGAGTCCCATCTTCCTTACATGGCGGTAATAATATACCGCAGATCTCCAGTTGGGGAGACCATTGATGAGCACATTATCATAGTGTTTTCTACGGTTTGGATCCTTCAGAACTTCGTAGACCGACACCAGCTGTCAATAAGTGATTCAGTTATTTTTTGGGTAAAGTTTCTTGAAAAAATTCTATACTTACGTTTCTAAACTTAACATCTGCATCTGCTGCATCGTTCTTATCAGGATGAAGTTGTAAAGATAATTGACGGAATGCTTTCCTGATTGTCGGGCCATTTGCATCCTGAAATTGAAGGGAATTAATTAACTCGGAAAATTATTAATCTTAATTTCAAGGGAATGTCTTCTGTATTTTCTGTTATCATCTTATCACAGATCTCTCAGTACATGATTTTTTATACCTGCGGCACTCCAAGGAGTTGATAAAAATTTTGATTAACTTCCTCGACGACATCGAAGACCTCCAATTCCTCGTTGTCCCATGCAGACGATAAATTGCATATGCTCAAAAAATAGAAAGCACCAAATATGTTTAATAATAAATTCATCTTGTTGTATTGATCACACACATATCTCCAGGATTTTGACAGTTTTGCTCGTCCACTCTGGCGTGACACTTTTTATATTTTTTTATAATTATCTGAGTTTTATTTTTATCACAGAGGGAATGAGCAGTTGTGGAGTGGTTGACTGAAGCTATTCAGTGAGAAGTTTTGATGATGTGGAGAGGTTATAAACGTGAATTCCGATGTCATGTAGTGCCACATCGCCCGAAAATTCAGCTGGAGAGGACAAAATTCAAGAGCTAGAGTCCCTATAATCTCGGTCAGAGTAAATACTCATTCCAAAGACGATGGTAATTTATCACAGGAGAAGATAAACACCTGTACCGACTGAACAACGCTCATTTGACCGCCGTTTTTCGAAATTCCCTAAAGTCACGACAAATTCGAAGACGAAAAATCGCGGAAAAATCTCACCATCTTTCATTTTATCTAGACTCAAAATGTTTTTAATTAAAAAAACTATTACCTGTATCATTAATTATCTACATCTAAAATCTGCAATCCTCCACTCCAATTATTTCGACGATGTTAATTAGATTTCAATTACAACAATTTTTTTTCCGGAATTCTGGGTTTTTTTTTAGAAATAAATTCAATTGATTGTTTAATTTTCAATAATTACGGATAATTAAGGATTTTAGCGGAAGAAGAGGGCGAAGGGATTGTCTTAGAGAATGGATAATTGATAAAAATAATTGTTGTTCAGTGTATAATTATTATTGAATGATTTCAGTTACAATCGGGTAGAATTGTGAGTTTCGTCTCGTCTAGAGCTTCTCTGACGTAATTCTTACTCGTCACTGGTAGATACATGGGAAACTCAATTAGAAAACTTATTACAAGATCCCCACGACGAGTTGGCTCGTGCATTAGTGGTAGTCCCTCCCCCGCCACGACTTTTCGATAGTTCGGTCTGCTTGGGAATTCAATTTATCAATCTCTGATGTGAAAATTAATTTTTTCTTTTTATTATTAAATTTACGTGATGATTGACGTTATTGGGATGCGCAGAGTCCTGGCGTCCAGGGTATCGATTTTAATTACGGTACCAGTCAGGGCTTCGTTGAGGGTGACGCTCGTGGTCATCAGGAGATTGTCGTTTTCTCGTTGGAAGGTTTCGTGGGGGGTATCTGCCGTAATGAAGACAATATCCGCTGGAAGAAATAAATTTCAGAGATAATTGAGGGAAGAAAAAAAAACGGAATGAGATCGAGGGAAAATTGAATTTACCTGGAATTGTAGTTGGATTTTGATTTCCTTCCTCCGGGAAAACTATTTTTGTTCCTGTTTTCAATCCCGGCTCTATTTTTATTGTGAAGATTTTTTCTTCTATTTTTGTGAAAGTTTTCTCGGCGTCCGCGAAAACCAATCTCTCGAATTTCAGTTTTTTCAGCGCTCCACGAAATATCTGCGTAAAAAAATTAACAAGTGGTACCAGTTAAACGAAATATAAATGCAATCGAAAATTTTTTGAAAACCAAAATTTATATTGGAATTAACCATAAAAATTTGAGTATTACAGTTGATTTTTAAAAAATTCCCTAAATAATTGATGTTCACCTCGATTAATTGCAATTGCAACGATATCTCGAAATCATCATCCTTCCTGTTGATTCCCTGACCTTTAGTAATCCTCTCCAGCAGCTGCTTATCCTCCAGGAAGTCCAGTAAATCGGCATACGGACTCTCGGATCCAAAGAACTCGCTTATGTTCAAATAAAAAATATTTATTTATTATATTATAATAATTAACGAAATAAAATGATGTGGGAATAAAAAAAGTACTTGTAAGTTTGCATTGGGTTTCCATGGAATACATAAGGGGGAATTTGTCCATGTGGTGATGGCATACCGATTTTCAAACCGATCTCACCGTATTGATCGTAGATCGATCGCTTCAAAGGATCCGATAGCACCTCATACGCCTCAGCAACTAGAGTAAAAACATCCAGGAAGTCTCCATTCTTCCCTCCCACAGGATGATAATCAATCGCTAGTCTCCTGAAACTGAAGGGCCGACTCAATTCCGAATCTCCAATTTTATCTAATTATTATTTTATCTATTCATAAATTATTGATACACAAACTATAATCATTCATCCTTTTCATAATTTATATAATTAATAATCTGTAATTGAGATTGAATAATTTTTTAAGAGCACTGGGATGCGACATTCTCTCCTCAAATGAAATTGTAATTTAATCCTCAATCTATCGATTTTGCAATAAAAAACTAGAACGAAGGATAATTAACTAATAATCCATTGCATTTAAATTCGCTGGATAAATGGTAGTGGCTGTAATATATGAATTTAATCCACTGGATTAAATTATTCCCCAGGACTGATAGGAGTGGCGAAATGTCAATTAAATGTTTTAATCAACTAAAAGTGGGTGAATAATAAAAAAATGTTCAATACGCTTTTTTAATTTCGAGATCTGTACAATCTCTGGTTAATCTCAATACTCCGTAGTAATCGATGTGGCATTTTGGTGGGCAGCAGAATGGAGAGCACATGATTTAGTCTTTTTGGAATATCTGAAAGGTTGATAAATAGCGACTGAATGCAGCAGCCAACGACAATCGGCTGTCCTTTGTTGAACAATCGGATGTGCAGGAAGTATTTGCCACATCCAAGGGGTATCTTTCTTTTATTTCTATGACACATGCCTGGGGGAAATAAAAAAAAACAAAAGATACGTTCGACGTTAAACAGAGAGGACTCGCACTTGACAACGAAACAATCTGACGGGTCAAGAGAGAATTCACCTTTTCTTTTTTTAATTCCAACAACTGTACGATAGTCTCAACAATTTCGATTGATATTTTGTTTCCGGTAATAATTGCGGGACATCCTGGTCCATTTATTTCCGTTGTGTTCACAATTCAAGGGAGAAGTTATGGCTGTCTGAGGATTTTTGGAAACAATGAGTAATTATCAGTTCATCGTTTTTTCAGAGAAAGGTATTCAATGATTACTTATCGATTATTAATATATTTAATAATAATAAAGAGCAGGGAACGAATTCAGTGATTTGTAGATTTCATGAAGAGTTGTGGATTTTTTTCAAGAAAAATTCATCCCCTTCGTGAATCTCATGATCCTAGAGACCGCGATGTCATCCCCTTGAGGGGGTGGTTCTCATTTTGTTAATTAGGTCAATTTATTTTTCTCAACCAAAAGGATTTTTTATTTCCAGTCATTGATCTGGGATATTTAGTTTCTTTGAATTATTTTTAAGGTCAGAATGGGATAAAGTCGAAAGAGGTTTCGAGGTCATCATCATCGGAGATTGTTCCTCCCTCGAGTCCAAAACAGCTGATCACTCCTCCAGATGAAAACACCCACCCACACCGTCGGGATTCAAAGAAACAAATTCGGATTGAACCGAGTGGTTCGCGCAGACGCGAAATTCCCGGGGATGATCTCCATGCTCATCAGCAGTATCAACAGGATTCCGGGGACAACGCAGGCGCATCGAAACGTGGCGGGAAATCAACGAGTGGAAAAGCTAAAATACCAAGACCAGCGAATGCTTTCATGCTCTTCGCTAATCACTGGAGGAAAAAACTCGCTGCTGATAATCCTAGGGAGTCTAACAAGGACATCAGCGTTAGGCTAGTCCTCAGAAATAAAATGTCGAGGATTGTCAATTTATCCTGTCATTTTTACCAACAGATTGGGGACACTCTGGAAGGGACTCAATAAATCGGAGAAGGAGAAGTATTTTGCACTTGCTCGGGAAGTCGATGCTGAACACAAACGGAAATATCCTGGTGAGAATTTCTCCAACAAAAATTGATTATCTTATTTATTTGTCCCGGACAAAGACGTCAGGAGTTTTCCTTCAAAGAAATCTCAAAGAATATCGCGCTCATTGAGCTCGCGCTCAATTTACAATTAATATAATTATTATAAATATTATAGGAGATTAATAATTATTGTAAATTACTGTGATATTCCGAGATATTCCGAGATATTCTTTGAAGACTTGACACTAAACTAGACTTGAAACTAAAAAAGGTTTCGAAATATTATTTTTTTTTTCGTTTTTAATATTTGTCTTTTCGATATTAGAAAATGGTGGGGATTTTTGCGCGTTTTTCTCACGTCAATTTCGAGGTACCACAGGGTGAGAAAATGAAGAGATAAAAATCGAGCTGGAAAATGTTATTTTATTTATTTTGTCACTCATCCAGTTGAATCGTTGAACGGAATATCTGGCTTGACGCCTTCCAAATGTGTTATCACCGCGCGGGAAAAAGGGAAAATCAATAGTCCTTCAACCGGGGAAACATTCGAAAAAAAAACCCTCGAATATAACGCCCCATCGTTCAATCCTTCCCCCATGTCCCACTTTTTGCAACCAAAAACTCCAATCCAGGGATTACGGAACCTGTCTGCTGCATCAATTTGTCAACTGTGTCCTAAAAATTGATAAAAACCACTCACGGTTCGGCGATCAAGGGAAACGAGAGCCGTTGTCTTCCAAAGTGTTTGCGTTATCACGGACGCGTCGAACCGAAATCTTTTCAAAACATTCCATCGAACATACCACGTACTGGGGCTTTGTGTACTAACGGATCGATCAGGTTTAATCGTTTGACCAATCGCCAATTTAGTCGTGATATTTCCCAATGTCATGGCCGTTTCGTATTCGCATCTTCAGAAATTTTGTGTCCACCGAACGAATCAACTCAATCCAGAGATAAATCCCCTGATAACCATTGACGAAAATTCTCTATAAATTATCATGTCAATATAACAATTTTCAAATTAAATTATTAAATCGCTCCCTTGTCCTCCAATTACTCCAATTGTTCTGCTCTAATAAAAGGAATAACTAAAACCGTCACGTATTAGAAATAATGAAAAATAATTGATTCCCGCGATTAACAAAAAAATATAGAAAAAATATCTCTCGTATTTGTTATAAATCCAAATAACCCCCAAAAATCAAGTCATAAAACGGTCTACCCCCCAAAAAATCAGGAGAATAAACCCCCAATAGTCAGACGTCCCCCGATAAAATTTCCACGCGGAAATGCGTGCGGTATATTTCACGTACGAAGTTGTCCGTACAAGAATAGCCGGAGATCGAATGGGGTGAGGGTGGGTAGCGCGTCACAGTGACGGTTATGCACATCGAGACCGACGAAAAAGAGAGATAAAAATTCCGCTGGTGAGAGGGACGTGGAGTGGATCGTCGAAGAACAGCGATGGGTCAAAAGAGAGAAGGAGCGATGAGACCTGGTCCGCCGGTGTAAAGTTCCAAGGGGTTGAGGGGGATGGATGAGGCAAATATTCTGAACCGGAGGTTGCCAGGGGCAGTGTCGGGAGGGGAGGTTGGTGGGTGGGGGTGGGAGGAGGAGGGGTATCAGGGTATTGATTGCGCCGCGACTATACGGTCATGCCGACAACAGAATAGAACGCGCTCAATGGTCGACGCTCGCGGACCATAAAGTGCGCGCGACCATTTCCCTCTTGCACTATCTCATCTCACTTCCTCCTCCTCTTCCTCCTCTTCCTTCTCTTCCTTCTCTTCCTCCTCTTCCTCCTCTTCCTTCTCTTCCTCCTCCTCCTCCTCCTGCTACACCACCTCCTTCACCTCCTCCTGCTACACCACCTCCTTCACCTCCTTCACCTCATCCTCTTCTCCACCGGCACCTCTTCCTCGTCGGCCTCCATTCACCCTCTTCTCCTCCTCTTAAAATTTACCCTCCCCCGCACTTTCTACTGATTTTCACCCTCTACCCCTCTGCCTCTACTCCTACTCCTTCTACTTTCCCTCTAATTCACCCCCTACTGCTCGTTTATCGTGTCCCTTAACTAACCTGGGGCCAGGGTGATATCACCCGAAGAGGTCTCCAAAAAAAATCAGCCACGTTATCTTTCATTCTCGCAAATTATGAATTGGGGGAAAATAAAAATATTTTTTCGGAGGTTATTTTCTCTCTGCAAAGTTATTCGCTGGTGCATTAATTTTTCCGTCTGGAATTTTCCGGGGATTTTTCTCACGTCGAAATTTTCCCGTCAAAAAAATTAATTTAATTTTTGTTTATCGAATTTTCAATTCAAGAATAATATTAGTTTCAAAGAAATGGAAATTTTCCGGTTTTTTTCCGGACTTCATTGATTTCTCCGTCTGAATTTCCCGGGGATTTTCCCGACATCAAAAAATTTCCCGTCCAAAAACTGAATTTGAATGCTTCAAAAAAGGTAAACGTCAAACTACTAATAACTCAATTAATACTGTCCCCAGAGATACAACAGCAGTGATTTTTCGAAGAATTCTCCAAAAAAATTGATGACCAAAACAAAAATGGGTGCACAAGTGAAAAGTAGAAATGGGTGTATGATAACGGTGGGATAAGCGGGGAAAAAGGTACAGTGAAAATGTGAAAAAGGTTTTCACGTCTGTTCTGGTCTGAATGTACTGTCGCGTCGATGGTTGAGCGCATAAACTCGACAAGTACAGGGGAGCGCGCGCTGCTCAAAGCGGTAATGGTTGTCACGCTGTGAGTATTCCATCGACAGTCCCTCTCTGCACATCGCGTCCATAAACAGCCCATCCTCCTTAACAACAGAGATAGAGAAAACCCCCGATGATAGTGGTGCGCGGGCTTTTCGTCCTGAGTTGAAAGTTGGGGGGTCAGAAGCCAGCGAAATGCCAGGAAAAGTCACCACTAGCCCGAGCTCAACCCTCGCCTCATCGTCGTCTGAGCAATCGAGGTACGACGATGAGGTGTTGGATTCTTTCGAACTTCTCAACAAAGTATCGAGAATTCGCCGGGTGTTACTGACCTCATCTTATCGGTAAACCAACACCAACCACAGCCCGTGACTGGCCCGAGATAAACTCAAATAACATTCTCCATAAATCAACATTAATCCCCTAAAAATAGAAAAAAAAACCAAAAAATATAGGAATAACTGAAACAATCAGAACTAATCGGCGAATTAATCTGAGCCCGGAATAATTCACCCGGAGAATCGAGAAAAGAGACAGTGATAAAGGAATAAACTCTGGACGTTATCCTAGAGGGGGGATTGAACTCCACGTGTGCCAGTGTTTATGGTTCTGGGGTTAATGAAAACACAGGAAATAGTGACGATAATCAGTGGAACAGTGCGATGAAATGATAAATCCACGTATAGATATTTACCCTGGTTACAATAACGGGGTTAACGTGGATGAAAAATCCATTGGACGTATGTTGACCTCGTCGCCCGCAGCATCCAGTCGCAAAGGAGGTGGTGGAAGGAGGTGTAGAGGATCGATTCCACGTCGAGACGTGACTTGGGGTCACGCGTCGATGCAAAAGGATTGTTAAATATTTCAATTAAAAAGCAGCTAGCTTAAAAAGAGATATTCCGTGAACTAATGAGGAATTCCAATGTCTTCTCCACCATCAAAAATCCTGACCCCCATACCCAACTCTAATTGCAATATCATACGACTTAGTCAGCCGTGATATACGAACCAAAACATTGAATATAAATTCACTCATGCGGCCAATTACCTCGTATTTCTTCCATTGATTAAAACTAGGTGAAAACTGACACTTCCGGTTAATGTGATTCATTGATATGGTTGATTCGTGGGGTAACGAGAGTAAATTAGTTTTATTTGTTGATTTTTAGTTTATATTTTGGGGATTTTTTATTTTTGAGAGATGGATTACTGCAACTATGTGCAACCTTATCCCGGACATGGGCATTTCTATCAGCAACACTTTTGTTATGACAACATGAATGGTTATGCTGGATATGGTGCGGCTCCAATTGCCGATACGATCGAAGTTAATGCGCGATATGCAAGGCTACATGCTGCTTATCCGACAGGTTATTCTATTTTCTATTTCAGTGAATTTCATGGCTAATACACTGGTGGAACATTCGTATTAATCATTCATACTTGATTATTTGTTTTTAATTTATTTATACCCGGTGTATATTTTTTTTTTTTGAGAATTTTTAATGGAACTGATGCTTTGGTGGATCTCTATTTTTTGGGGATTGATTTTTTTTCAGCAGTTGATTCAATCGCTTGTTTTATTTATTATCTATTTTTTTTTTTTTGGATTATTTTGTGCCGCAAGAAGTCCGGCAAATGTTACAACAGCTCAGGGCGAGAATGATGTTCACGTCTGGCACTTTGCCTACGATGAACGAGTTAGTGCTCGTCCAAAGCCAAAATCAATATGCCTCCGGGTCAAAGTATTTTTTTTTTCAGGTTTTATGAGACCTCGCAATGTTTTTCAGATTTTTTTTCTCTTTCCCGTTCAATTTGGAGGTCATCGAAACCCAAAACAATTCAAATTGTTCCACACATATTGTTAACCATTTTAAAATGTTTAACAAAATTAATTTTCTTTGATCATACAATTTTTTTCAGGGCAATTAAACATTAATAAACAATTGTACGTCATCAGCCGGGAATAATTATTCTGACGTTCGTCACGGAATTTTTCCAGGATTGAAATTTTCCTCAATTTTCCCGAATTATAATGATGATTGATAATTATTGGATTCTGCAGTGGGTTTTTTTTTTGGTGATTTTTATTTAATTTCTCTCTTCGTGTGAATTCGGGATTTTTTTGGTCAATCGGTTTTTTTCATTTCTCTGCATGCGATCGATTGGAGACTAATTAATTGTCTTTGGGTCAATTGGATGATTAACGCAATGATTTTGCATGTTTGTTCAGATTACGTATACAATCCGAAGGAAGCCCGATTGCGGAAGGCAATGCGCGAGCAGAACCGCGAATTATCGAGGCAGTCGGTTTTATCAGCGCCAATTTCAACCCCCGACAATTCAACAAGCAACACCGGCAGCAATTCTACACCAGTCTCAACGAATTTTGTTAATCTATCAATGACGTGTTCATCAACACCACCAACCGCCCAGAGTGGCTCATCATTGCCTGGAAATTCCTCGTACAATTCTGGAAGGATCAATCAATGGTTTCCCATCAGTCATTCAACACCTGCTGATCATGTTAAACAGATGATCCCTTACAGAGTGAGTTCCTTCAATCAAAATCACTTCCTCTAATTTTTCACCATCCGGAAATTAATTTCAAAAAATCAGATTTCCTCGTTTTTACCTCAAAAATTAATTGGGAACTCAATTTTGGAAAAAATTATAAAATTGAATAGTTCAGAGAAGAATCATGAAAATGTTATAAACATTTCATAAAATTTAAAAACTTCAAGAAATTCTAAGAAATTTGAATTTTTCTAAAAATCTTTTGGTAATAATCTAATATTGAGTTTTGCTGAGGAATAAATTTTGAAAAAAAAATTGCGCTTTCCGCTTCCGCAATTTATCGACCGGTTCAAGGAATATCTGAAGCAATCGAGTATTTAGCGTCCATATAATTTTAGATTATCGATTACAGATGATGCAGGCCCACCAGCGGACCTTCGACAAGACAAAAGAGATTTTGAGAAAGCAGTCGTCCCTGTCGGAGTGTGCAGGGGCTTTTCCCCCATCGACTTGTTATCCAGGTGATTTTTCTCTTCACGTGTCCACCCAGCCATCAAGAATTTCCCCGGTTGGCAGTGAAACACGTACCAATGGAACTGGCCTCGAGAGCAACGATTACTGCGGCATTGGGGAATTTACGGACGGCCAGAAGTGGCATCCTTACCAGGTGAGTTTACAATCGATCGCATTGACACGGTTTCACTCTGTCTTCGCACACCACTGATTCCTATTTTTACATTATCATTTTGCCTTTTCTCCATTGTCATTTTATTTTGTATCTAGAGCGCTCCGACAACCTACCACTCGCGCAGTGGACCAATGACGAAAATATCCACTCGTCATGCCATGCAAAATGTCAACACTGTTAATTCTCATGTACAGGGGCCATGGAATCAATTTTGCGGAGTGCCAATGTGTGAGTTACATTTATTTTCCTCCAAGACTCTGACAATTCAAATTCCTCTATTTCCTTCGTAATAAAAAATAAAAGAATTGAATAAATCTTGAGAATCGATGAAAAATCGATTGATCTATTTTGTTTATGCGTCTTGTTCCCCCCTTTTAGCTATATTAATTGTAAAATTAATTTTAATTGTTGAATTAGGTTGATATGGTAGTTGTGATGGGTTAATAATTAAATATATGATATTTAAGTTGAAAGAGGACTTTGGAATTCATATCGTCGATTGATTTTTTTTCAGCCCCAATGGCTGCGCAGAATCCTCTGATCCGTAGCCCAAGGCACATGGTACAGGTCCAAGACCAGGAACGACACTGTTTTCCCGATGAACTTCCTCTGCCCTACGTCACCAATAAAATGGATTTGCCGCCAAGAATGCCACCGAACTACCCCCAATCGACTTATCGGGTAATTTCCCTCTCAATCAATTCAAAGCGATCGTTAAAGATCAATACTCCAGGAGTAATTCAGCTGGAAAAATATTTATCCTCATGAATATTCATGCGATATTAATATTCGTACAGGAAAAATGCATTGACGACACCTCGAGGTGGCAGGGTGGAAATCCAGAGGCTCCAGTCAACCATTCAGTGATGCAGGGAGAGGCGCAGGTCGAGGAGGTGCAGAACGAACCGAAGACGGAGTCTAATGATTATGATGATGACGAAGGTGAGAAGCCGGAGATGCCATCGGTACAGCCTCTACCTGGTTTTCATCAGGCTTTTGGATCCACGGAAATCGGGAGATTCTCCAGATCCGAATTCTTTGCCAATATGGTCAGTGAGAATGGAAGTGTAAGTAGGAGTATTGATAGAAATTCAAGTAGTCATAGATCTTCTGGTTCATCGTGTGGCAACAGCGAAACACCCAGCAGTCTTCTTCATTCTCCTTGTGATTTCAATGGCCTCGGCTTGACTCTCCACTTTGATGGTGTCAGGAATTCTACACCTCGGTGGCACAGTCCCTATGTCAGTGCTATTAGCGGGGAGATTTAATTCAATTCCTTGGGATTTTAATCGGGGGACAAGTGCTTGAAGTCACTTGCGTTTTCGTAAATTTCTGGGGAACCTATGGGGACAGCGAAATTTTTTCCTGAAACCTTTTCGGAAGGGATCGCTGAGATTCACAAAACAGGTTATCAGCGATATTTCGATATTCTTGTTTGTTTCGAGGATATTTATGGAAAACTCCGGGACTGCGTTGAGATGCCTCTTTTTATCGATTGACTGCGGGAATATTTTTGGAATCGAGAATATTCGAGATTTTTTTATTGATTTTGGAAGTTGTTTTTAATCGCTGGGAAATCGGAAAGCTTCAGGGAAATCTTAATGTTCTCGTGGAAAGCGTGAGATATCGAGGGTACAATCTTCAGAATTTTCATATTCCTGCTGAAAAACGGTTTTTTTGTTTAAAAAATCTTTTAAAATTTAATTGCAACGCATGCGAGAATATTATGCTTTGAAAAATAACCAGGGGAATCCAAAATTTGTTGATATATTTTGGAATTCAGAATTACCAACGAATTCTTCCGCAAACAAATCTTCCAGTAAATGATAATCAAATAAATTTCGTAATTTGCGTCTCTTTGACTTTTTTTTTTTGCAATATTTCTCAAGTGAGCGGGCAATATTCAACAACAGAATAACCGAGGGATATGAAAATTCTCATTTCATGGATCAGTGACTGGAAAATCTCACCCCGCATTCTCATAATCCAATAATATTTTCCATGTATAAAGAAAAATTCAACAGAAATTGAAAAAGCAGTTCCAATTAATAGGTGATATATATAATACATATAGATATATGTTTCGTTGATAAAGTATATATATGTGGATAAAAGAAGGATTTATTAAGGAAATGCCACCACTGTTCTCTTTTCGTCCGCGTATGAAAGAAAAAAATGGAGTAAAACAAAAATTTCGAATTTGTTGTAATTGGTTATCAAAATTGTGCCTTTCGATGGACTGGATATATTAAGTAATTAACGATAATTAAGAATGAAAAGTGAATAGATATTGAAACTTCACTTGAATCAAATTAGAGGGAATATGTATCGTCTGTTCGATTATTTTAAAATATTTTCGATTGAATAAAAAACGGGGGGTAAAAAAAAAAATTAGTAAACAATTTACGCGGAAAGTGTAGGTACATTTCCATGTCCCAAATATTTATGTTTAGATAATAGAGAATTCTGAGTAAAACCCAAATTTAATATGTATAAAGTCTAAATTGAAAACTCTGGTAATTTCGAGAGTTTTTTTCTGGCAGGCAGTTGAAAATATATTGAGAAATAGGTTCGATAGATCGATATCTGAATAATTATTTAATCAAAGAGCGTTTCTCTGTCAAGTGGAAATTAATATCTAACTCCGAAAACAATTAGACCACGAAATTCCTATGAAGTTGAGAAAAAACAAAAATCCACAACGAATAAACTAATTATTTTGTTGATATTACCCGGAATAAATTATTGCAAAAAAGCGCATTTTGCAGAAAACGACAGGATCTGCAGACGCACTTCCGGTGTCTCTCCCCGAGTCGAATAATTTCGGAAATATTAACAAGATAATTTGTAAATAAATTTTCACCGTTTCACTACGAAATTCCGAGAAATTACGCCAATTATATCTCAATTATCATATCTACTACGATTGAATGAATTCGAGACCAAATTAATTAAATTCATAGCAAAATTTTCCTGGAGAGCTTGACACAGGGAATCCCCGAACCAAAACCAAAAAATGAGAAATATTAAAATGAAAAATGATACGTGTCTCGTTCATTAAGATAATCAAAAGATGATAAAACAATTAATAAATAAACAGAATGATGCATTCGACATATATGTATATGTTAACAATTTATTATTGTTAATAAGTTATTAATATTTATTATCAAAAGAATTAAATATGTGATACAATTATAGATATAAGTATACTTTAAAATGATATATATGATGAATATATCTATACAAAAATATTTAGCAAAAAAGAAACTTAGAATGAAAAAAATCGTAAATGTTACATACATAGAGTGCTAATAGTGGGAGTGAGGATTTCGAGATTTACTTACATTTTATGTAGGAAAATATCGTTCGCGTGAAATTATCGGGGAGATATATTATTAATTAATCGAGATAATTACGTTAAAACCCATCCTTTACCTATTATGGGACCAAACCTTTCATTTCCGTCTATCGCATTAGATAAAAGATTTTTTAAATCCAGAACTAGCATGAGGGCACGTACTTGATTCTATTTCATTGCCATTATCGTTTTTTTTTTTCAGTCTCGGATATTTCGAAATCATCGGTATCACATTTTGAAGATCTTTAAAGAGCTATTAACATTAATGTCGAGGGATAAATCTAATCTGATGGGCGTGGCAGTTAATTGAGTAATTAGGATATTATAATCCATTACTTATCAAAATATTACAAGAACCAGAAAAAAACATAATGAATTATCATATTTGGTATATAATTGTCAATTACTCTTGAACTTTTACTCGCTACAATTGTTCCTTAATATATATTATAATCCTTTAATTTGTAATAATTTAATTAAGTCTTGAATTGAGAATTCTGGTATTCTGAGAGCTAAATTCAATTTTTGGAAGGAACGTCAGATTTTTCTTTCAACTTATTCGGGCATAAACCGGTTTAATCTATTTTATCACCCTGACCCAGAATTGAAGATAGATTTGTTGATAAAAAATGAAATATTTAATATTATCTTTCGCCTGTTATTTTTTCCTGAACTCGTATCATCTCAATTACTCAATTATTTCGTCCTACATCAAGAAGTCCCCGAAAATGACAGCTGTTAACATAAAAAAGTAGAGAAAAACTTTAAACAATTAAAAATATTGTAGTCTCGTGTGATAACCATGCAGTTTCGAAATATCTTATGGTAAAAAGTACAAGTTGATTCCAATTGATTAGGTTTGCTTGTGAAAATAGGTAATTCTGTTTGTAAAGAGATTTGGCGAGAGACTTCACTGGAGATGACTAGATGAAAATTTTCTGAATGGCCCGAAATAATTCTCATTGAAGCAAAAAATAATCTATCCTCCCATATCATCAGACGCATAACTGAACAGCCAAAAGTACAATGCAAAACGTGATGTTTTGAGATAATAACAACAATTGTTCGAGACTTGAATATATTCAGAGCGTAGCCCGACGCAAAGTGCGAATTTTCAAAATGAAAATTAACGAATTATGAAGATTGTGAATAAAAATGAAAGAAAAATCATGAAAATCACGAAAAGTCATTTTTTTTCAAGACTGTGAGAACTAGTGAAGGAACGACGATGATGTGTCCCATAAATATCAAAAAAAAAAAAATGTGAACTGTACACTTAGAATTATTGCAAGCAGGTGCTGTTAGATCCTACAATTTCTCATTTTTTAATTTACTATTTGTTAATTCCCAGTTTTGGTGATAGAATTCGCGTAGACAAAACGAAAGTAATGATGAATCACGAGATTATCAATGATCTTCCATAGATGATAATGAATTAAAAAGAAAACGTCGTGAAACTGAAAATCGAGGTTTATTTAAAATTTTATCTAACAATATCGATGAGCACAATCGAATTTTAAAAATTTGGTGCCATAAAGTGAAACTAATGTCTTCAAAATTTAGCATCAATATAAAAATGCATTTTTCGAGGAGAAAAATTTGGATTATGTAAAGAAAAAAAAATCATTGCTTCCAGTTGATATGATTACTAATTAATTATTACGATTAAACGATGAGATTGGTATTTGTGAAGACGTGGAAATTCGAGGGAATTTCAAATTGAGCCAAAGTGCGAAGTGAGAGGCATTTTATCAGATATTTCCGTTTCGTCCCAAATTTAGAGAAATTGTGACGAACATTAACAAGACAGAATAAACGTTTATATAATATCAATGCATAATAATTGTTATCTTTTTTTCCCTCAGCTAATCCCTGAAGGTTATTTCTTCCCATCCATGATCCCTTACCCTCATAAAAAGCCGTCGGCGGAAGAAACTCCGGCGCCTAACGATTGCTACTGGATCGGACCCATCCTTGGATTTCCAATGGCTAACATAACAAATCCTTCGGTAATCACCAAACATTTATTTTTTTATAGCCACCACACAATTACTATCGATAACAATAGTTATTGATCATTTATTTACTCAGTAAAACTCTCCCTCAGACTCCCCATTAATTTTTTTTTAATCCGCCCCTTTACTTCTGCCATTTTTTCGTTTATCAAATTTTTATTATTTATTTACAAGTCATCAGGATTACAATAACCGGAATAATTGCGTAATTAATCAATTGCAGAATAATAATAAAGAGCCAGATAAATCATTTCAGAACTAATGATCTTGCCAATTTCCAGAAATGTCCCACGTACATGGAATTACCCCCTCGCATAAATCGCGATTGGATGTTCCCCACTAGGTTGATGCCCCAGGATCATGCCCCGATGATGGAGAGGCCCGATTTTCTATTTCACGAGGGCTATCCCCGTTTCAATATTCCCGAACGAGTGCACTTTAAGGAGCGACAAGTTCAATCAGAGATTCAAACGAGAACCAGAGCAAGTGAATCTGGTGAACGCCCGGAAACGGAAGATGACGATCAGTTAATTAATGTAGACGATGATTAATGAAGATTTCGATAAACAAAACGAAAGGGGAAGCCCATTCCATCGATTAACAAAATAATAAACCCCCAAGACTTGAAGGATTCATCCCTTACTCAAATGAAAAAAGAAAACAATTTTCCCATTTTTAATTACTCGAAGATATGACTGTGAGAATAATGAAGAATAATTTTTCCGGTGAGAAAAAATTGAAAGAATAATTAATTTTTTGACAAAAATATTTAATTGATATTGTTATCGATTCCAATGCAGTGTTTCAGTGTTATAATTGTTTCGTCTGATTGACAAGCTTTAATTATTCTGTTATAATGTTTTATTTTAATGAATTAATTGTCACAAGGTGTTGTGGACGATTTATTTTTCTTCTCTTGAATCACGAGAGGTGAATAGTTTAAAGTTTCTTTAAACTAATGACTGGAGGTACCTGAGACTATGGTTAATGCTCAAGATGTATTCGAATCGTCGGCGTCCCTCAAATATAATAGAAATGTGAAGCTGACCACCCATCATATTTGGACATTATCCAGGAGCCCAGGGCAGACCGCCAGGCGTCGGTCAGGTCGTTGTAAAATTTCTACTCCGTCGTAACATCAAACATTGATTAACCCAAGAATTTTTATTGCACGTCTATTGCACCCGACGGATATTCTTTGTTGTACACATTTACTCCGGTAAAAAATCAAACGCTTTTTTTGTATTCTCAGTTTTTCGACCGCCACTCGATCTTTCCATTAAAATAATTCACCGCACAATTAATTGTTACTATAAAAATTAACGGAATAACAAAAAAAGGGTAGACCATTAGAAATCATCGCAGGAATAAAAAATTCTATTGAAATATTTTTCTAGTCGAATTAAAATTTATTATTATTAGATAATTATTTCCTGTTGGATCTCGCGAATTTATCGGCGTTTTTTACAGAATTTTTATAGGGTGTTATGGGGAAATGGATCTAGGGGAAATCGAAATGTTTTTAATGATATTGTTATTTTTGCTGTAAACATTTTGAAGTATTTTTTTTTTAAGGGAATTTATCAGGAGATTTTAATGGAATTCGAGATTCAATGGCTACATTTCGAAATTTTTGTTAAACTTCTTGAGTAAACGGATCGAGTTGAAATTTAGAACGTTCGCAAACAACCGACGTGGTCAAACATCTTTTTTCTTATTTTCATGTGTTGATTTTTCTTATTTCCGACGGAATTTTATTTTGCTTGCTTGACGATTTCTACGAATGCTCAGGTCGTCCAACTCGAACTCGTCGATCGAAAAAACGAAAATTCATATTACAAATGATTTTGCAGTAAAATTTTTTCGAAAGATACGAAAGGTTTCACTCGATTCCCTCAACCGATCACTGGAATAATCACTGAAAAAAAATTCTTCAAGTTCTTCAAGCCCTCCCCGATCTACAAAAAACGAACGAAAAAATCTATTGAAAGAAAATTATCAAAAAACTAGTACTTACATGCGACAATCCACCACAAGCCTCAGAAGTGCATTACAAAAAATCGATTCCTCCAAAAACCAGGATGACCCGCATATCTCCAAACACCCCCAAAAAATTTTAAAGAAACATCTCGAAACGGATTTTTATGGGCCATAAAATTTGAAACCAAGTGGATTTCTTAATGAACATTCCAAAACCTTTTCCTCCGAAAAATATTTACAAACCATCAACGAATTGATTACGGCGCTATCTCGAAAGCCCGAACAGAGCACTAGACCCCGAAAAAACGACAACTAGAAAATGAAAAAAAAAGAAAAAAAAATGAAGAAGCCCGTCACAACGATCTCGATCAAAAAAAAATCATAGGAAAAATGCCGAGCCGATTCCATCCCCAGGAAAACCTCCGAATTATCAGCCGAAACTAATACCCCAAACCCTGTAATGGGCGTATGTACCATTGACTCGTTGACCGACATAACATTCACATTGCAGATTAAAAAGCCAAGTCTCCCATGACTCAAAGATTGGCCAGTGGTTGGTGACGAAGGCGTGCCCACTGCCAGAAGACACCAACAAGCCCAACCAATCACTCCTCTCCCCTGAATTACCTGAAATCTCCCCAACCAATGACAAACCATACCTGCCACACCTGCAACTCCTAACTAATCCTAATAGGCCCCAATTATCACCTCAACACCGGTGCAACAGTGGGCCGTCCAGGTTCCCAAACCTGATGCCTGATGCCTCATCTCCAGAATCTCCACCAGTCGAGTGGAATTGTTTCGTAGTCTAGTGTGAAATATCGCGCCCAAGTGCTACAATCGTTCATCCTCACCTCGCCTATCTCACCTATCTCCAAGACCCGTGCATCTCTTTTTTTTTTTTTAACATCGTCACTGTAATAACTTGCCACTCGGAATAAACCGGACAGTTGGAGGCGCGTAATTACTTTGTTTAGCCAAGTGTTAGTATCGATGCGTCAAAGTCCATCCCCACGGAAGCTTGAGGATTAAATCATTTCTAATTGATAAATTCATCAGGAATACGTCGAGGTCGTGTGGTGAGGGGTGTTGGGGAAAATAATATTGCGAAATTGGAATTTCGCTGATTCGTTGACGAGGATTGGGGTAGGATGCAATCCAGTGCCAATACACCTTTGGATCTTGATTCAGCGAGATCTGGGTGTTGTGATGCTGATCGCAGGAGTGGAGAGGATGAGCATGAGGACAGGGATAGGAGGCAGTTGAATGGTCAGCCCTTGTCACTTTCCCTGGAGGATCGCGAATTGTGGACGCGGTTTCAGAGCATCACTAATGAGATGATCGTCACCAAGAATGGAAGGTCCGGTGGTTATTTTTAGTCATTCAATCCTTTATCTCCAGTCAATTCACTTTTTATTGAGATAAATAAATTGGTCTGTCAGCTTTATGCACTGGAATCGAGGTGAATGGGTCCTAGAAATTTTTGAATAATTTTTTTCTTATCAGCAAGTCATTTAATTAATTACGCGAACCAGAAGAGGTCGGGAATCTAGTGGCTATTCACGAATTTTTCCCTCGTAAACGCGGAATCGGGGAATTCGGTGATTTTTTTTCGTGAGTTTTTGACGTCTTCAGCGAGAAGTGATGGGGTTTTTGGTGATGAATCATTTGTCGTGTGTTGGGAATTTTTTAGGAGGATGTTTCCAGTGGTTAAGGTTGTCGCTAGAGGATTGGAACCAGCGGCGATGTACACTCTGTTGTTGGAATTCGTTCAGATCGATCCCCACAGGTGAATATTTTCCTAATTGATAATTTAAAAATTAATCAGTTAAAATACCTCGGTAATTGTGTCAATTGATTTATTGACTCCCGGTGAATTATCAGGTGGAAATATGTGAATGGAGAGTGGGTGCCAGGGGGTAAAGCCGAAGTAGCTCCACCAAATCCAATCTACATTCACCCGGAGAGCCCCAATTTCGGTGCACACTGGATGAAGGAGGCAGTGTCATTTGCCAAAGTCAAATTGACCAATAAATCCAATGGAAATGGTCAGATTATGTTGAACTCTTTGCACAAATATGAACCGAGAGTGCATCTCGTACGCGTCGGGGCCGAAGAACAACGCACAGTGAGCTCTTCCATTTTTTATAATGATCTAATCCCAATAATTAATAATAATTTCCCATTCCCGTTGAAATAAACGTATATTTTGGACATGATAGGCATTTAAAAAAATTATAAATCAGTAATTATTTTTCCTGACGTAATGATTCAACTTGCGATATTTTTGTCGGGAAAAATAGGTACTCACTTACAGATTTCCCGAGACTCAATTTATCGCAGTGACTGCGTACCAGAATGAAGAAGTGACAGGTCTGAAAATAAAGTACAATCCATTTGCGAAAGCATTCCTCGACGCAAAAGAACGTCCCACGGACCAACAAACTTACCCACAATGTAGGTGATCTATTGATTCCATTAATGTTATCCAGTTGCTCTTGATTTATTAATTTTTTCGTCGCAAATAGATACGAGCGCGTGGTTTTTGCCACAACCGGCGATGGCCTACGATTACGGCTCGTCCTCGATATCCGTCGCACCGGCCCAGGTCTCAAATCCATCGAGTGACCTCACCACTACCTGTACAATATCCTCCGGAAGTCATAAAAGTTCGTGTAGAACAACCCCATATCCTGTCAGACATAAATACCATCAAGAAGGTAAAGTCACATTTTTTATATCTCCAGACACGATTTATCTCATCTTTTCACTCTCACCACCCAAAAAATTCCACTCCTCAATTACTTCCCCTCCAACCCCTCTATTTTTCCAACATTAATTATGTTTTTATCCATTAAAATTTCCTCTCCCTCTCCCCGACATTTTATTTTCATCTCATCAATTATTTAATAATAATAACCATTTGAATTTTTCCCGGACATTAATCACATGAAAAAATTTACGATTTATCTAGTAATATAATTTGATAATTTGACGGGAAGAATTTTCTGAATTTTTTTTTCAGATGAAAATGCAGATCCTTACAGTTCAGTTCCCCTCCTGCACTCAGCTTATGTGACAACGGGTTGGTCACGGAGTCCTGAGCCATTATCAATGAATCCCATCCCTCAAGAGTGGCCATCGTCACCCCTTCCCTCTCCCACGTCCCCCACAGGTCCACCCTACACCCTGGGCAGATCGCCATCGGCGACCCCAACGACCTGCACCTTCTACATCCCCTCAGCCCCCACCTGCAACACATCACCCCACGATCATCCCCACATCGTGGAGACGTCAACTTGGCTGCATCCCCCATCAGTCCCCGATCAAGTTCAACAGCAGCAGTCATACTTGAATCTCAATCTCCACCTGCATCACCAGATACCCACGTACTCACGAACACCTGCCCTCTCCGTACTTCAATCAAACGAGACAGAAGTCAATTCGAGTTCCATCCCCTCGGGCCACGATTATCCACAGAGTTATCATCAAAATCCGAATCAAGGAGAACATCAGAGTCAGTTATTGCAGTTGCACTCCCAGGGGGCATCCTCACCTCCTGGGGACTACGATCCATCAAAAAATCATCACTCCATTGGCTACCAGGAGCAGAGCCAAGAGGGTGAGACTGGTGAGGACGACAGGCGATACGTCACCACTGTTATTGATCATCGTCTCAGTCATCAGAGAAATTCTGGATCCAATGACAATCAGAGTGGCTGGACACCGCCTCCAACTGTCACTCAAAATACAGCTCTCTGACGCGAATCTCGTCGATTTCACGATGGAATTCGTTGTGAAGTGGATAAAACTAAACAGGAGAACAACTCGGAGCCAACGGACTTGCGAATTATTTCGCAAATATCGCAGGTGAAAGATTTCCCGTGAAATTTATTGAGGACTTTGTAGATAGCCTTGGGAGAGGGTAGGTCTTTTGAATTTTTTTGAAATTAAATCATCAAGTTTTTTCAATCAATCGTTGAAACTCCATAATCCTACAATAGACTGTGATTTTATAAATTGTTTGTTTATTGATATCACTGGCTTTGGATTATTGTTGCTCCTCCTGGAGTTTTCGGATCTATTCAATTATTGAATTTATATCCTGTTTTTCATAATTTCGGAATTTCGGAATTATGGAATTATTGTTTGTAATTCTAGATACTCAAGTTAGACGAATTTTCAAAGATTAAAAGTAATGTTAATATTTTGAATAATAAAATTGTCGCTAGATGTAATAGAAATTCCGTCCATTTTGTCACGAAGTAGGTGAAGTTACTGTGAATATACTGATGGCATTAACAAACTGTTTTTCATTTTTATTATTTACTGTTACCATTCAACTACAACTCTGTACATCTCGGAAAGATCGCGTTCTCGTTCTACAGATTCAATCGTTAGACGTTCTTCTGAAGACTCTGCCTCATCAGAGTTAAAAATGAGAATGCGGTGTTACAAATCTGGATAAATAAAAATGAACCGATTATATCAATAAATAATCCCGATTAAATAGCATGAGTACCGATGTGAATGTTTGCAGAGTAACCGGTGAAAATCCACCGACTGTCAGACTGCATGCCTTCTGAGACCTCATGATAACCATGGACAAGTCCTTCACCAAAAAATTTTTCGATCTTCCCGATTCCATCAGAAACCATCGGGCATCATATGCCGCATCAGATAAAGCCACACTGGCCTCTGTCAAATTGTCACACGTCATCGTATAAAAATATAATTGCGTCATACTTCCTCCGGCATATACGCAGTAATGAAACGTGTACATCGGATTATTGTCTGTGGACTGTAGTAAAAAATTAACTCTTTGCAATGATTGAAATTCTATTTTTCCTAATTACCACCATAATTTGAAACATTTCCAGACAAATCACAAGACTGAGAAGAATCACAACCCCAAGGGTTTCACTTCGATAGAGATCATTGATGTTCTCGATGCAGGATATCAGTTGCTGATGCTTCTGAACGCATCTTATCAACCTGATACGAGCGTTAGGTTCATTGGATACTGATGACACATTCTGGTCATCATCGCATATCTCTCGCATTTCTTTGTGCAGTATGATGAACAATCCCACTGCAGTTATGTTCATTTGACATAACAAATTGTCGAAACAAAAGTACGCAGCGCAATTGGGGTATGAGACAATAATCTACAGAGAAAAATATAAAATAACGAGAATAGTGAGCATTCGTGAGGAACGCAGTGACAACTCGCTGGATAAATATGAATAAATAAGTATTTCGATGTGTACATTAATATCTCGGTGAAAATAATATTAATTAATGTTTTAAATACTTACTTGAGTGGCAAATAGAATCTCAAACCAAGGGGACAGAGATATAGGTAAATCTGAATAAAATCTAAAGGGCAACTCTCTGTCACTTTCATTTCTCCCTCGATTTTCTGGGATCACATTTATCTCGTTATTCAACGCAATTGATTGGTTTTATTTAATTACCTATCAGCGGCTCGATGTAATGCAATAGCATCGTTAAATAACACATGAAAACTGCGAATGACACAATTCCTGTGCCCCGTAACATGCATTTTTTCATTACAGCCGAGCCGTAATCGTCGTAATCGACGTTCCAGAAGTAATCCTTCGCGTGAGAAATTACAGTCAATAACTGTTTACGTTTCACGTAAAAATATATGAGTTTGAAAAATCCAAATCCCGCTGTAAATATAATCAAACTGCAATAGAGAAATCTCTAAAAGACTTTGGTAATCATGAAAATCATAATTATAATTTTTCACCAGTAGATAAATCTCATTTGCCGTTCGTGAGAAATCAGAATCTTAATCAGAATTTTAATCTATCATTTGTAACAACTTGATAGAGAATTTGTCATTTATTCCACACGAAATCAATTATTCAATTATTTACGGACATTAAATGAGATTTTTCTGCGGGTGCAGGGGAATGCGGGGTATAATGGACATATTTTTAATTAATTAGTGCAATAGTAATTAATATTCTCAACTTGTTAACAATCATTTTATCATTATCAGATTTAACGTCGAATTAGCGATACCAAAAAAAATTGTTTAATAATCAAACAAGGCGATTAATTTAGTATTCAGTAATTAATTGAGTAGACCAATACCCTAGCATCCCCGGTAGTTAAAAATATTTAAAACTCACATCGAAATCGTCCGAATATGATTTGTAAACGTCAACAGCAACAACACCGATTGAACACAAAACTCCACTGATCGTATAAAACATGAGGAAATCCATAATTTTTTTTCCATATTCTGAATCTGCTGGCCAGAACCCACAAGACTTCAAGAAGAATGCCGTGAGAATAACCGCCCAAGAATCACCAGGACGTGGTGCCATTGCAGTTCGAAGAGTCAAGAATAGAACTAGAAATCCCTTCTATCATTTTGAATTCCACCTTTTTTTTTCTGTTTTTATTTTTCCCCCACATTTTTCAGTGTGAATACATAATGATCGCGTGCGTCGCGCTGAAATGATCTCTCTCAATTTTATATCGATTGAAACGAACTGTCAGGGATTTGTGACATGCCCCGGGGGGTGGGAATATCACAAGAAAATTTTATAGTCAGAGGTGTTCAATACTCGACGGCAGTATGTGATTTATCTGCTCAGCTGTATTTTTGTTCGACTGCAGTAATTATACCGATTAATATATTTCAATTGTATTGATTATACAGATTAATAAATTCAATTATATTAATTCGGCGATTCCAGAGTAATTATTTAACGTGAAAATATGATTACCAGAGTGACAGAAGGAAATTTAAAAGTGAAGTTTTAATATTCAAATTATTTAAACGAATGACACGTGTCGATTAAAATCAAACTGAAACAATAATTCAATTACTAAAATTACACACATGGCATAAATGGGAAATAAAATCGAAACTTCCATTATGTTACAAAATAATTGTATTCAATTGTGAATATACAGATGGCCTTGACAAACAGCTTTCATAAATTATTTAAAATATCACGTGATATTAATTATTAATATTTGAGTTATAATGAGATAACAATCCTAGCCGATAAATAATATACTATTCCATAATCAGGAACGAAAACACTTCCAAAATATTTGGAACACATATTTTTGAATATTTTTTTACGTTTTTTTTTAATAGAAAAGGAGAAACAATTGTTTAAAAATCAGCCAAACCAATGGCTCCCCATGCAATCCCTGGTCCAGGGGGTCTGACATACCCAACACCACTGGAACCCACAGCCTGCCCTAGTACAAACCATGTGCATGCACCCACCATCTCTCTCAGTGGGTGTTCTGCACTTGGGACAAGGTTTAGTGGATTTTTGAATAACCTTTTTACTGGCTTCATCCCACTTGGCGTCCTTTGCCCTATCAGGATCCACCGAGTATCCTCCACGTCCCTGAGCATTGGAATTAATTTTCTCAGCATGTCCACAGTCCCCTAAATGATAACCACTCAAACATCTCCTGCAGAAGACGTATCCACATCCCCCAATGCACTGAATCTTCCTGCACGCCTCTGCATCACCAGGATCTACGGGTTCTGGTGGAATAATTCCCATTCCACAGTCAGGCTGGGGGCACAGGAGACCCCCAACCCTCAGGACGTACTCCTCAGCGCCGAACCTCTGGTACTGCTCGTACTGATGCTGATCTAACAATCGAAAATGATGGACTTCTCTTATAAAAGAATTTTCACAACCTGCAGGACAAGGGAGTGTGTAGTATCCGTTGCTCCCATCGAATTCAAATCCCCGCTCTCCCAATTTCACATTGCAGTAATCTTTGAAACAATCGAGACATGTGACGTGCGCTGCTTCGCATGGAAATACGAGGACAACGTCTTTGGCATCGGTGCAAGCAAGACATGGAACTCTCCTCAGGTTTGGCCGAATATGGTACAGGGGTATGGCCTCATCGTTTTCTCCTCTACTCGGGTGGTTTCCACATTTGAAGAAAAAATGAGCGTAAGGAATTTGGGAATCCGGTGATAGGTCACAGCTGTCATTCTCGCAGTGGACGGTTATCCGATTTGAAAGCAGAACGTCAGGCCACGATTGGGGATCTCTGTCCACTGTCACTGCTCCTGAACCACACGAGGAACAACGAACTCGCAACTTTCCTGGCTCAATAGACTTGCAAGGGGCTGCACAGTATACGTAGAAGTGGGCACGTTTACCTCGGGGTTCTGAAAAAAAAGTCATTCATGAAAATAAAGAGGAAATAAATTCATTTACAGGTGTGAGTTTCTCCGGAATATTTTGAAAACTAATGGCTTTGATTTTTTATTTTTATTTTCAGTACCTGGAGATTCTACAACTTCAGTAGTTTCCCCTTCATTCAACGGTAAGTCCGTTAAAGTTTCATTTAAAGGCTTACTCCCACTTTCATTTAATTCCAACGACTCAGCGAGAGATTCGCTGATCCTCTGAGCATTCAGAGTTGATTTCAATCTTCTTGGGGGATTTTTCACGGCATGAAGGATGCTCTGTTGTCCCAAATCGCATTCCTGGGACGAAAAATTTTCCCACAGGAAATGAATGAATACAAAAAAATCCAAACGAGTCGTTTTATCCAAGACATTGTCAGATAATTACCTCAATAATTGTGGAATTGTGCAGCTCCTTCCCAGCGAATATTATCTTAATATCCTCAGGTGCAAGTCCAATTCTCCCTGAAATAACTTCCTTGACATTCTTTATATCCCATTTTGGATCTAAATCAACCGACAAAGTACTCCCAGTGTTCGTCTTGATGTAAATACTGAGGGTATTCGAAATCTTGCGTTTACCAAACCAAACAAATTGCAACATACTTGCAATTGCACTCCTTATAATCTCTATAAGATAATTCATTATTTATCCTTCACAATCTGACTTATCACATCGCCCTTCAGCTTGAAAAACCAGAAAATCCGCATTTCTCTCATAATTAACCTAAAATTGAAATATTCAGCGGCGATGAAATGTTTTTGAGAAAAATAAAAATAGTGGAGTAATTTTTTAATTCTCCATAAAGCGCCCTCACTTCTCAGTAGCAATAATTAAATTACGGATTCAGTGGTATTTAATCACTCTCTGGTGGTCAATTGTTCTGATCTATTCTGATCCGTCATTGACAACGACATTTGTTTACACAATGGCGTCTGGCAGTGGTGAGTGTTTCGCTCCTGGTTCCTCTTAAATTTCCACAAATATTCCATCCATAATTAATCATTTATTCGTGTTCCATGGTCATTCGACATTAAGGATTGTTTTTTAATAATATCGGGGAATTGTTTATCTAGAAAATGCCACAGAAGAGAGGATTGAACCGGCGCCAAGTCAGCCTGCTGCTAGTGTTTGTGATGGAGCGCACGTAAGTTAATTTAACCTCAAAATTAAATATAAATAATAAATTAAAATAGTCGTCAATTGAATTGATCGATGGAACTGCCTCCCAAGCAATTCATCCACATTTTTCTATTCATTTATTGATTAATTCCTCCGTGGTTGGGGTTTTTAAACATTTTCAAAACGAAATCGAGCAATCAGCATTTACTGATCAAATTTTACTCATTTATCATTATCGTTAATGATTTCCCTTTAACCAAATTCATTCATCAGATATTTGGAGTTGAAATTAGAGATTTTTTTATTCAATTGGTAAGATCATTCTGGCATTTGGTGGAGCATAACAAATGACTCCGATTTGACAGCTCAAGAAAAATATTTTGGATATGAGAGTATTATTTTTTATTACAGTGAGAATTGTTTTGAATGAATAATATTTTTTATTGCAGAAGACCATTGGTGTTGAGAAAGAGGCTGATGTCTCCGGTGTACCCTCGAAGAAATCCAGAGTAGAAATTCAGTCATTACCAACGAGACAGTACCTGGATCAAACTGTAGTCCCAATATTACTCCAAGCATTATCAAGTCTCGCTAAAGAACGACCAGCAGATCCAATTAGTTTCCTAGCAGCTTATCTATTGAAAAACAAAAATCAGTACGACAACGGTGGATCACCCCCAGTCAGCCAATAAGTATTATCCCAGTACGAGTAATATTATGGTGTACTTTGGAATGTACTGACGAAAAACGATGCAATACTTCCTCCGTCTCACTCTCACAACCAAAAATCATGATTTTTTTAATCGCATGGCTCATATCATTAGGTTTTTTTCGATGTAATGAGCATTTGATCATTGATGTAAAGAAGACTATTTGATTTTTCAATCCACAAAGAATAAATCCTATCGGTTATGCGAAATTCCATTTTGCCTCTCATTACGGCCTCTAAGTGCCAATAATTTTTCCTATAGCAATGAATATAAATATCTGGAGCAGTGAGGACACTCGAAAAAAAAACAACAAATTAATCCAGGAGACTTGTTCCCTTAATTAGCACAAACAACTGCTAAAATTGAACTACAACTTTGTACACGATGAAATCATGAAATTACATTGATGTTTGAAGTGATTCAGTTGTTACGTATCTTTCTGGAGACTCTGCCTAATCAGAGTTAAAAATGAGAAAGCAGTGTGACATATCTGTAAAAATGAATATAGTGTGATTGATCCCCTGCGATCACACAAATATTTTCTTATCGTAAATATAATAATCATACGACAGATTAATGACAGATTAAATGCATGACTCACTGATGTGAACGTCTGCAGAGTAACTGGTGAGAATTTGCCAACTGTTAGACTGCAAGCCTTTTGAGACCTAATAATAATCATCGACAAGTCCTTCACCAATTGATTTTTCGATCTCTCCGATTTAATTGAAAACCATCGGACATCATAGGCTGCATCGGACACCGCCAGACTCACTCCCGTCAAATTATCGCACGTCATTGTATAAAAATACAATTGTATCGCACTTCCTCCCGCATATATGAAGTAATGGAACGTAAACATTGTGTTCTTCCCCGCGAACTTTGATAGAAAACAAATAATCTCTCGTGAAAATCCACCGTATTAAAATTGCACAAGAATTCGATCTCCAAAAAATTAAACAATTTGACAAATCGGTATTACCAGCATTAGTTGCAACAGCTCCAGGCAAATTAAGATACTGAGGAGAATAACAACTCCAAGTGTTAGTCCTCGATAGATTTCGTTGAGCTCCTCTACCCAGGCTATCAGTTGTTGATGCCTTCGAACACATTCTATGAATTTAAGACGAACATTATCCTCTGACGATTGGCACAAGCTATTCGGGTCATCATCGCATATCTCTCGAATTTCTTTATGCAATATCATGAATAGCCCCACTGCAGTGAGATTCATTTGACATAAAAAATTGTCGAAACAAAAGTAACAACAGCAATTTGGGTACGAAGTTAATATCTACAGACAAATTTATAAAATATTACATCCATCGAGACGAAATAATATTCATAAGGAATTAAAAAAATTCTATAAATCAAAAATTTTGCAATCGGGATGATCAACTGGAGTGGATTAAATTGGAATCTATTACGGTGTAAATTAAGAACTAAATAAACGGATAGTAAAATGAAAAAAATTTCGAATTTTTGGTAAATGAATACTTACTTGTATAACAAATAGAATTTCAAACCAAGGTGACAGTGTGATCGGTAGATCCGAATAGAATTTAAAGGGCAACTCTCTCTCACTCTCGTTTCTCCATCGATTTTCTGTAATTACATTGATTATGTAATTTACTCCAAGGAAGTATTTCGTTTTAATTACCTATGAGTGGTTCGATATAATGTAAGAGAATGGTCAAATGACACATGAAAATAGCAAAAATTACGATTCCAGAGCACCTCAGCATGCACTCTCTCATCACAGCCGAGCCATAATTATCGTAATCGATATTCCAAAAGGCTTTATTTGTGTAAGATATCAAGTTAAGAAACTTTTCTCGTCTCTGATAGAAGTATGTCAGCTTGAACAATCCAAATCCTGATGTAAATATTATCAGACTGCAATAGAGAAATCTCTATAAAACATTGGAAGTTATGAAGATTATTTGGTTGTTCACCAGTAGATAAACCTCACTTGCAACAAAAAAATTGATTATTATTATAATAATAACAAAAATGAATTTGAATCGATTCCGTAAAATTTGTTCGTGGACAAAAGGGCAATATTAAATTGTTCAATTATTTAATTTAATTTCGTTATGAACGCTAAATGAAATTTTTCTACGGGTGTACATTAACGACTCACATCGAAATCAGTAAAATATGATTTGTAACTGTCAATAGTCACCACCAAAATAGAGACGACAATAGCAGTAATTGAGTAAAGAGTGAGAAAATTCATGGCTGTTCTTCCCCATTGTGAATCCAGAGGCCAGAAGCCGCAACATTTGAGAAAAAAAGCTGTCAATCTCACCGACCAGGAATCACCGGGACGTGACGCCATGTCTGGAAGAGAGGGTGTCAAGAATAGAAATCGAAGAAATCATTTCCATCATTTTTTATTCTCCGTTTTCCCTCACTCGAGATTTTTCCACCGTTTTCATTATGAATACATAATGATCGCGTGCTGGGGTAAATGATGTCTCTCTCAATTTTCTATCGATTAAATTGAACCGTCAGTTCGTCGTACCTCGCAACAGGGGATGATCATAAAAAAAATTTCTAGTCTTTCATGTTCATTACGTAATAAACTTTTTTACCGTCACCATCGAGCTCTCATTCTCCATTGTAATCGTATTAATTTTATAATTGAGTAATCGTTTTTGGGAGAATAATGAGAGAATAATGTGAAGTAAAATCCCCGAGATCTAATAATCAGACGGACTCCTTCATCTCAAAATAATTCATCACAGGTTTTTATTTCATTTTGTCTTATATGTTGTCTTCAGGTTTTATAAACATTGATGAAACATTGAAGATTGAGGGAATGGAATTCAAGTGATCTATAGACCCAATGGAAAGCTTTCGATACCACGGGAGCCTATGTAAAATCTATTAAATTCTGTTGTTGCAGGAGCTCGTTCTATTCGCACATCATCCACTGGATTAGACATCCGCTCGCAATACCTCGTTTTCTGAAATTCAACGTGAGTCGTGTGTGAACAATTGTGGAAAGAATATATCATTATCTATTGAAACCTCGTGGATGTTTTTATGATACTGAAATTTTCCATAATTTTTTATACATGTGTTTTTTGAAATTTTCTGATATCTTTGATAAATATCTTTCGACACAATCCAGTTATTTAAAAATAGAATAGTATGAATGAAAATTGGCGAACGAGAATTACGTAATCCCCAATTCGATAGATTACGATTTTAAGAATATGAGTTACAATTTAAAAGATTGTTAATTAATTTTAGTAATTGCTTTCCAGAATTAGGGATTGATCGCAGCGATTGCTGAATGCAGTTTTCGTATTGAGAAGAATCTTTTGACGATTTAACTTACTCGACATTTCTTTGCAGTTCTTAATGATTTACACCAGTAGATCTCGCCATCGTGGCAGTTAAGAGGACGTCCCTGGAGTGACGAGATTTAATAAATAAATAATGGAGTAAATATGTAATTTCAAATTTGAAATCAACAGTCGACTCACCAATGATGTACTGCAAATAATTGCGATAATCGCAATTACAATAAATTCTTTACAGAACATTCTGAGGAGCTGAAAGATTTTTGATGAACATTTATTTCCAAATGGATTTTTACTCCAGATTTCACCTATAAATCCCCTAAAAAATGTCGCTCGGACTATTGCCACAGGTGTAAATGTATCGATGAGTGCTCAATCAGAAAATTTCTCCATTGTACCATAATTATATCAAGAAAGGTCTGACGTCCATTAATCTAATTAAAATAATTATCACTCTAACTCCCCGATTAAGCAATTATAAAAGAATCCAAAAAGTCTCAACACCCTTAAACATTTTAATCATCTCCACTTATCTATCAGCCCCATGAATAATTTCCAAATAATTTATCGCACTCTCTGTCTTTTCTTTTTCATACAATTTTATTTTTCACATTTCATTATCTTCAATAAATATGCCATTCAAATATTTTCTAGGTCTGACAGAAATAAAAATTTCCATCATTCTTTTATACATGATTTATCGATCAAACATGTCACCTAATCGATAAAACGGATCAGTGGTGGAATATTGGTGATTTATTCCGATATATGTGACTTCTGGTGCGAGCATATCACTCGCTTCATTATCCCGGCAATATTCTTCTTTCTGAAATTCAAGTAAACAGTTTCAAAAATACAAATCTGATATTATCTATCAGCGATGATAACGGTTTTACATGAATCATTTAGCATCAATTAAATTGCTTTCGGTACATGTGTTGTACATTATTTATTTAACGTTGAACACGTGAACACTTTGATGGGAATTACTGATACTTTTTCTCCGATATTTATATATAGTTTTACTTCTCTTGAATTATTTCATTTTTTAATGATAATTCTAGATAATTTTAATCATGTATAAACAAAAGAAGTCATCTGTTAGAAAATTAATCAATTGTCTGTAACGATTGCGATTGAATTCTCAATGTCAATTATAATTATCAATTATTATTATTATTTATTATTATTTATAACAAACAGTACGTATTAATTTTGAACAGTCATCAATTAATGATTAATCATTTTTTAAGTTGTTTATAAGGATTCGGGTACATTTTTTATCGATATTCATCATCTGCTCGAGTAAAAGGTCAAATTGATAATTAAAGTTAAAGTTATAAATAACTTACCCCGCAAATCACTGCAGTATATTCTGATTGACACCAGTAATTCTCGCCGTCATTGCACCCCAGAACTCGTGCCTAAAATTTATAAGTACATTTATAATTTAATTTAATTTCTGTAATAAACGAATTTTTTGGTGTTTTATGCTTTTGTTAGTAATTATTGCAGATTAGTCTAATAAAAGCAACTCACTGATGATGAATTGCAGAAAATTCCGATCATCGTGATTACAATTAATATTTTGGAGAACATTTTAAGAGAGCGGAAGATGCTCAGTAAAGACTCACGCCTGAATGATCGTTTAAATTATGTCTGAACCGTAAAAATTCTAAAAATTATGACTGGCGAATTATTTTAACAGGTGTGCATGTACGTGAAGGGTTGAGTATTGTCAGGATCTTATCATGATTGAACGAGATACAACTGGTTTTTATCTTGGTTTATATAATTTTATGTAATGAAAATTAGAGCGATTACTCAGCTTAATTAATTATGATTAACCCACTTTTAAATTAAAAAAAAATAATTAAAAAATAAATATACCATTAAGAATTTATTAAGTCGTGCCTAAGATATTGATTGATTTGCAACAATTGAATAACAAATGTATTTTAACAGTATCACCCTCTCGTCTGTCTTACAATTTTCGATTTGAATTATTCAAAAAGGCGCACGATTACGCGCCCAACAAAATTGTTCGTATTTTCTCAATTCCATTACGCACCTTAGAGGTTATAAACGTCAAAGTGAAGTTTCACTGAAACGAACAGCGGACTGCATACAGTCATTATTGCACCAAGAAAAACATCAGAAAAATACAAAAAATATATTCCTGAACCCAGCATTGCACTTTTTCCACTTCACGTGTCGAAATTGGCACTAAAAAATTAACAAATTACGGAAACAGCGCAATATGTTTAATCTACTAATTTATTTATTGTTATTCTACAATAATGTGCACGGATACAGTGTTATGGGTAAGCAAACAGGTGTTTCATAATTTTTGCCTGGAATACGTAAAAGGAAGTGTTAAAATAGAATTATAAATAATAATTATTATTATTATAGACCAAGAAACACCAGAGGAACATCGTTTATTGGATTCTATGAGCAATCGCCTCAGTAATTTACACCAGGAAGTTCTCCAAGAGCAGGATTCATTCGAAAATGCATTGGAGGCCTGGACAGGTCGATGGATGCCAGATCACGATCCAAAACCAACAGCTGCACCAAAAATTAGCTCTGTCGAATCGTCTGGACATCATGTGATTCCAATGGGACCGTCTAATGACTGCGATGATGGAAATGTAATTCTCACGAGTAGTAAAACGACACGAATCAATTGCACGTTGAGATCATTCTTTGAAATTTGTAATGGCTCAAGAATCAATGAATGATGGATTTATTTCTGAGCAATGGATAGTCTTCAAGAATTTTTTGAATGAGTAATTATTGTTTTGCGATGTTTCAGAGTAATTTAGAGGTAGATTGGGATCATTCTCCAGTGAACTACACGTGTTATGGTCGAAAAATCACTCCGGATTTATCGATTGCTTCGAAATACTACTGCGAACATGTTCCTAAATATTATTCCGCCCTCCACATGTGCATGCCCGAGAGTATAAAATATGATGATGTCATTCCATTGTAGTAAGTACTTTTAGGATAATTATGGAAATTTATTGTAAAAAAATTCTGTAGAATTCATTCGTTTATCTGTGCTCCAGTGGAAATCATCGTCCTGTATGGCCGGTGTACGGAGAATATGTATTTCTTCCGAAACAACGGTGGTTGCACAGCATGGAGGTAACTTCAAGATTTATATTAATTTATATTTAACACTATTAAAAAAATATTCTCAAAGTCTCTTTCCTAAAGTGGATAAAAACTGCGAGATAAGTACATTGAATTCATAATTGTACCTGGGGATTATTTATTATGTATGGCCCAGGTCCGAATTAATTTTTCCATAATTTTGTTAACGGGGTCTTTTTGGGGATTAATGAATAATTTATTTTAACAGCACGGTGGAGTCGTCATGCTCTATCATCCATGTGCGAATCCCTTGCTAGTGAAACAATTGAAAGATCTAGTCAGAAATTGTCTGAGACGCCACATTATTACGCCCTACAGTCTCTTGAGTGAGGATCGGGTAAATATCCAATAAAATATTCACTGAGTGATTTCTCTCGTAAAAAAAATCACTCGTGGTAATTTTTTATTTGTTTATTCAACTTTTTTTTAGCCATTAGCACTGGTGACCTGGGGTTGCCGTCTGGAGATGTCTTACGTAAATCGGAATGTCGTGGAAAGTTTCATCCGGAAAAAAGCTCTCCGAGGGCCAGAAGCTATCAGTAAAGACGGTATTTTTACGGATGGACTAATCAGTAAATCTAGAATTGTAACCGATCAGGATGACACTACCCTATGCCCTCGGATTCACTTCCAATAGTCGGCGATTTTCACTGTTTCTTTTTAAAAATGTATTATTCGGAATTTCTCTAGATTTTTCCATCTTTGAATGAGTTACGATTTTTAAACATTTTTTTACGTTTGATTTTAATTTAAAATGATATACTTTAAATATATTCGTTAATAAGTTATCGAATTGTTTTATGGAAGTATAAGGAAAATTTCGTAATCGATGGACAGAATTGCGAGGGAAATTGTTTAAAAAAGAAAAACAATTGATTATACCTCATAGATTGTTGTTAACTGAAAGAATGATTCTATAGTATTTTAATTCTCCTCAGATCTCGATAATTGATCATGTCTTGAACGTAATAATTCATCTCTATTGACCTAGTGACCTGTAATTATCTGTATAATACTTTGCGTTCGTACATATGTATATAACCAATGATAAATAAATATGTACAACCTGTGAACGAATGAAGAAGCATTCCGTGAAGGAAAATGTGAATAATTCAAACAGGATAAAAGCCAAAAAAAAAACTAACTATAATTCGTAGATTGAAGTTTTATTCCCCTCAAATAACATTTTTCTTCCTCTTAAACACACTGAACACCATTTCGCATTAATTTTCTCATTATTTAATTATTAAATCTCATCTCGAAAATGTAACTCGGTGTGAATTGCATCTATAATGCCGATAACTTTACAAATTTATTCAGTGCTGGATATACTACACCATTGGAAATATATGCATTATCTCTTATCGTTTCGATTATATCTAAAATCAAGATAAAATAATTAATCGATGTTACTACTGTAATGTAAAATATACTGAACTACCTCCAATATAGTTGAGTGAGTCGTAACGTAAAAGAATATAATTATTTATAATTTTTTATCTGTTTTCTATGATTTTGGTGCATATTTGCGTCGATCTCTTGTTGTGCCCCGTAATTAACGATCAAACTGACGAGGTTCTTCAAGAAAGTTAATGCTGTGTATTTATTTAATTATCGCAAACAGCGAATACTCCACTCCGTTGATAAAAATCAAGCAAGCAAGTCTTGCCAATTTATGCGAATTCATTCAGGGGTTCAGCTTTTCTTAATTATGACAATGTGATTGACGAGAGGCATTAGTCATTTAATTAGTCATTGAATAGAGGAATCGATATGATTGTTAAATATGAGCAATAGATATCTCCAAAGATGGCCTGCCAGTTTGATACGCGTGAAATCATGTCTCTCAGTATTTCTATGACCTAATCTACGAGTGAATGATTTATTTCTCATTAATCAATGCTTTTGTTTAAATTATTTTTGTGCTGGTCACAGTGGGGCCTCTCTGGTGAATGTGAAAGGGCACATACACGCTTTTTATTGATTGTTTTCTTTATCATCTACTGTAATCACTGATTAAATACTCCTACCCGTTGAAAATTCAATGATGGCCAATTTTCACAGTCATTTTCTACGGTTAATCAGTAGTAGAGTTGAGTGATAAGTGCTAATCGAATTTCTAAATTATTTCGAAAGTTCATTTGAAATGGACGAGTCGAGGAAATTAATTGGAAGAAATTTCATAAAATTTTTAATGATTAATTCCTCGAAACATCTCGAGTTCACACGCATCTACGAAATAATCTGCACATCAGTTTTCGTGATGGATTTCCTTCTTTAGTGATCATCCCGATTTCAGGAGAAAAGCCACACTGGATATGCATTATTTCTCCTCTCCTTCAAAGCGAGTAATGATTATGGAAGGCTCTTAATATTATTGCCAGCTTTGTACAGTGTTCAATAATTTTTTTTTTCCGCAGTGCACAACCAAAATGATCTCCAAGACGTCACTCTTTAGTCAATCAACTAACCGTAATCACGAGATTATAGTTATTGTATATAATAGGCAGAAAACACCATGGATTTATTTAATAAGTAATTTCTTTAATACATTATCTTTATTTATGATTTTTGTTGTCTTCTCGTTTACTATGAAATACCTACAATAAAAAGTATTCGCCATATCTTTAAATGCATCCTCACGCTACATTTTCATTTGAAGTATTCTTTTTTTTTTTTCATTTTTCTGTAATTAAATATTATCAATAATCTCACTTTGTCGTATGAATGCCGAAGTGCCATGCAATTGCTTTCTGTTAACATTTCAGTGATTTATTATTATTATTTTTTCATTAATCTCATTATTTCAGTTGGGGTTTTTGCATCTCAAAATCATTTTTCACTTTTTTTTTTCCATTAATCATTTAAGTTGTCTTGTTTTACGTGTTCTTTAAGTTAAAAGTGGAATTGACACTTATAAAGGTTATTCGAATAGCCTTTCATAGTAATAATTGCACCGATGTGACACGACCCATATACATTTTTGATGTTTATATTAATTGTATTCTTATCACACTTTCGTTTTCTTTTAGTTTTCTTTTATAATTTTTTGTCACATTATTATAGTAGTTTTTTTTTTCTTAATGAGTTATCCGGAGGCCATTTTTCGCTCTCCCCATTGCAAAACGAATCGACATCATTAATTTTCATTATTTAATCTCATTTATATTTTTCATCTACAAAAATGCAGATGGATAGCGTTTCAGCAATGCCAATTAACGATCATAAAATTGCACTTCCCTCTCAGAAATAGTGCGCGCGCAGCAAAAATGCAATAATGAGAATGCAAAGTATATAATGTAATTAAATATTATGCAAGAAGTCGAGGTTGAGTGCTACGCTCTTAAGTCCGCAATATTTTTTTTCCATTTTTTTTTCACAGATGTTTTTTTTTTACCTTTTTATTTGTTTTTTTTTTGTTGAATTTCATTTTATCTTTGGCAATAGAGAATATTATAATGGTCGACACTCAAAGACTATGTACTTTTTAAATTTGGTGAGCCAAGTGCGCGTTATATTATTACGAAACTACTACGAGTAAAATTTGTGAGAAACTCGTAAAATTGATTTCATTTTTATTTTCTCTCTCTCACAGGACATAACGCACATATTGAGGAAGACGATAGTTGATCTTCCCACGTATAATCAAAGACACCAGTTAATTCAGAGCCGACAGAATATTGTTGATGATAGATAATTAGCGTTTGTTTTATTATTAATAATGACACCAAGAAAATTTAAATCTTGATTACAAACTAGAAGTTTATCATCGCCAATTCTCATTCTCTTCACCTCAGAAAGATGACATGTTCGTTTCAATGGTGCCAGGAATTAAATCACAATAAAACGCTTCATTATAATCTTAAGTCGTTTATCCTCTTTCAATTTGTTGTTAATTTTTTTTTTGGATTTTCCGTTATCTTTCAGTACTTGCCAGTGGTTTAATTGCGACACTGTAATCGCTCGCGTAATTACGATTACTTTTTAATCATGAGTGACAGAAGACTAGACGCAGCGTATGGCAAGAAATGAGGCACACGCACATTAACGCAATTTTTATTATATTTTTTCTTGTAATTGAGAATTTAAATATTGGGATAATAATTACTGGGGCTAGGATGAATTCTCGAAGGATTCTACCTGAGATGCGAAGTTAGAAGAAGAAATAAAAAAAATATAGAATTGTTTTTCATTAGTATCCCCACGTTTTTTTTCTCAATTTTCATTCAACTCCAACGATTCATTAGTTTAAGTGCCATTAGCTATGCCGTAGTCTGTGACGCTCATGTTAATTCAATATGATTTTCAAATTACAATAAAATGTCTTCAAGGTTTATAAAGGCGAATGGCACCTAGAGCATCAACCTCAACTTAACGAAGTTTAGGCCAAACTCGTTTAACACACACAGTCGATTGTGCACTAAAATTTATATAACATTACTCAATAAACTTTTTCATGCTCTCCCTCTCCCTCACATTTTTCTGGTAATTATTATCTTTTTTTATCTAATTGATAAGAAATTAACACTTTTTATTTTCATAATTATTTTAGTTTAAATTAATTTATTCTTTCAATTCCTAGGATGAAGGACGTTATACTAGTCTAGAATTTTGAGATTCAAGCTAAACTTCTACGCCCAACTATCTATATATTTATAATATTTATATAGTTGAGTCATGTTAGAAATTATCAGAGAAAATTGTTCGTCGAAATTCTTCATTCCCCAGTGGTTCGTCGGTGGAAGAGATTTTGAACAATTAATTATTCGATTTGGACAGAGGAGTTTTTCATAATTTCTATTTCATTTGAAAGATGTTTAGGATAATCACCGACTGTTAATGGTTAATGAAAAATTACTGGAGAATGAAGAATTTAAAGAAAACTCTGATATCAACTGACTTGGCCCTTTAATTCGTAATATTAATCTGTTTCACCGAGCTTTTGTGGTTGCTCTGACTAGAAGCGTGAATTTTTCATGAAAACAGTATCATCACTGGACTTGTGTTCACTCAGAAGATCAACACGGCAGTTATGGTATTTTTTAAAATCTCAATGTCAATCAACATCGGTACTTATCTAAAATTATGACTCGTTGCATTTCACTGGGAAATTGTATCTCATTATATCTCAAGCCCAGCAATGTACTTTTTCCCGCTCGATGTAAGCTCAAGAATTCCACGAGTTTAATTCAATGATTTTCTTCGATTTTAATTATATTATAAATTTACAGACTGATTGAGTAATCGTTAGAGATCTCGTCGCGACTTAATTAGCTATAAGTACTTTATTTCCTCAAGCACTTTCAACTAATGAAAAATAAATCATTAGTTTCAATGACGATAGAGGATGGTATGACTAGGACGAAAAATAATAAATTCAGGATAACAAGAAAGAGAAAAAGTACCATACGAATTTTCAATAAAAAATTTTACTTTGAACTTGAATTCAGTCAAGAAATGTCTGAATAATAATATCAAGAGAATTGTGGAAAAATTTCGTGACAATTCCCTCGACAATTAAAGAAACTACAACTAAAAACGATAAAAAATTATCTCCTCAGCTACCCGAGAGTAGAAATAAATAAAAACGTACGGTGGACATTTCCCCGGCCTTATCCTAACAGGATTCCCCGCAGATAATTAAAATTCTATTTGTTTATGAGGAACTCCTATACAGCTTTAAATATTTAAGACTTCTTTTTCCCATACTTAATTAACTCTTGAGGAAAAAGCGCTTTATTCAATGAACACCGAGAAAGCTTATGCAATGGCTCGCTTCCCAGCAGTGAATATCACTGCGAATGTTTTAATAATTTCCCCTCATAATTCTCACAACTTTAATTCACTTCAAAGTTCATTTATATGTATCACGCCCGCACTGCCATATTCGTCAGATTAAAACTCATGATTTGCAATGGTGACTGCTTGCCAAATCGACATTATCCACGTTAATCATATTTTTTTATCTTTTTTTTTTCATCATTTTTCATTTTAGTCGTAATCATAGTACATGATAAATAGATAATAATAACATAGCTACCTAATCTAACAATTACATATTTCTGTACAGTGTGAGGTGATGGCTGCAATCTCAAATGCTTTTATTCATCCTCATTATAATGATAATTATTGTTATATTATTTTTTTACCTTTTTCCCTCTCAATAAAACAGTTTAATGCATAATATCATCTGAATGGTATTTCTCTCAACTTTCGTATGATATATTCAACAGAACATTGTAACATTAATTGGTTATTGTTTACCAGTTAAGTAGGCAATGCCAATTCATCATTTTTCTCGTAATCGTGTCACAATCGTTATCTCATTATTGATATCCCTTAGCGCTTTTCCATTTTTTTTTTCAGCGCACCTTCACTTCCATTCATCTTCCCAGCATTTATATACATACATATACGTACATATACTGTGGCCAAATGAGTTTATGTGATTCATTAGATCGATGGAAAGATAATCGACATATTAGGTTTTTTTTTATATCTCATCTCTTATAGGTCTTGACGTAACATCTATGTTAGAATATTAATTGCTGCAGCTGAAATTTCTAATGTTTTCTGATTATTTTCATTATTCTCTCGTCATCTCGATTTTCCTTGTCGTTTTATTCCCTCAATCTTACGCCTGTCTCTACTGATGATTCAATTTCCCGTAGTACTGAAACTTTCATATAGTATTAACTAATTATGTTTATTACTCGGCGCGTTATGAATTATTTATTTCCCCGTCTTTTGTCCGTGTATTTTCACAAATTCAAGATGGTAAATGATTTTTTTTTCGTTTCTTTGGTATTCACTGGGAATTTTTACGGGTTTTCTTACATTTTTGGGAGAAGTGCGAGGATGGAGAGACAGATTTGGTGGATACGCGACCGGTGGGGCACCGAGACATAATTTATTTGAGTTTTTTGGGACAAATTGAGGATGACGATGATCACCTCGTGGGCTGATGGGTTGTGGATTGTGGTCGGTGATTTTTTAGGTGAATTATGCTGAGTTATGGAGAACCAAGTGCGTTTTATCCACCAGGTGATTTGGGCGAGCGGTGGGTAACCATTGCCCTTCGAGTCGCCTTAAAACAGAGGTACAATATTCATGTAATTAATTACTGGAATGAGATGGATTTTAATTAAGAACTATGAATTCAGGCGGAAAGGGGCGAGAAGAGTGTAAATAATTTCTCAGCTAATGGAGATAAGGAAATTCCTCCAAATACCCTTCTCGTTTCGCTTTATAATTTAATTCCACCAATTTATCATTCACGAACAAGTTCTCGAACTCTCAAACGCGAACTGTCTAATAATTAATAATTGTTCTCATGATTAATTTGTCGTAATATTTTCTATTGAATATTTTACCTGGATTGGATGTTCAAAGTCCAAAGTAACTGCCGATGGTGGTGGCCACAATGACCGCAAGAATGGCGAGGCAGATCATGATCATAATCTTCTTCTACACTCCCCCAGAACAGAATAATTTATCCAATTAATAAATTCAACACGAGTAATTGTAAAAAAAAATTCACACGTGATCCATCTGAGTGTCACAACGGGACAATAAACTCTGTCTCTTTCATTTAATTCATCAGACGTATATCATCGATTCAAATATCTGAAGACTATGCTCTGTCCATTACTCCCATGATATTCACCAATACCCCATAATCATATAAACCCTCAATAATTAATAACATAATTCCATTAAAATTGCGTTAAAAAAAATAAAACAGACTACAAATGAAAAAATACAATAAAAACATTTATTTACATTAATGATACTGAACATAATGAATTAAAACCAATCAAAATAAAACGAACAATTAAATCATCAAAATTATCGGTATCAAATACTCCAGCATTGAAAACAAAATGTATCGATATATTTAAATACATTTGTCAGAAGTGAATCGATAAGTGTTCCTCCTGTCCATCAAAAATCATTCCGACAATCTCATGATCTTGTCATCAATTAATTAACCGATTAAATTATTGGGCAGTGATATAAATGCAAATGCTACCCACATAATTGGCAAATTATCGCGACATTAAATGCAGATTTATCGGATTAATGGAATTGTTGGGGGGAAAAGTCAATGCACGAAACAGAATAACCAAGAGCGTGATCCAGGAAATTCCAGGAATACTACTCTACCTTTTTCCCCTCCTTCTAAATCCAGAAAAGAACAAGATGTGCTTTCATATCGATCGGTGTTTGCGTGTTTTCTAAATTAAATGTACCAGGTATGTGTTATCACACGTGTAAATCTGTATCTCGACCTTTCCATCTAAAAATCATGCGCCTTACAAATAATTTCGCTCTTTCTCGTACATAATAAAAGTAATTAATTAAAGTTGACATGCACTTTGTATGGAGTACAGCAGATGAAATTATTGAACATGAAATGGATGGAGTGATTCAAGTGCAACATCAAGTCTTTGGTAATTAAAAATCTTCACAATAAATAATAAGATTTTAAATTAAAAGTGATATCTCCACTGAAATCCTCCATCCCTTCGTATTCACAAGTGGCCGGGACTACAGTACGCAAAATCCATAAATAAATTGAATAAAAAAAAAAGGGCAGGCAGATGTTTCCATTGAATAAAATGTCGAATTAACGGATAACAGTTATCACACGGATAACACTTAATTAATTAGCGTATCGATACTTACTCAGACTGAGTCTTGAACCCATTTAGTACGCAATGACAATACGAATGTAATCATCGGTTTCCTCCTCCCATCAGTCTTGCCCCAAATCGATTGAAACAATCACTCAATCGTTCATCACAACTCTCATTATTTCTTTGTCATTATTTCTCCATGAATTTCCATCTGTCCGCGGTGTTACGCGCATTAACATCTAGTGGATTAACAATATTCACCGACGCATACATACGCATAATTATGCATTGAAATAATAAGTATTCGTATAAACCATACAATATCATTGTCAACCATTATTATTGCATTCAGCTCATCACGTTCTCTATCATCTTTAGTTCTATATAAATTATTTCAATAATTAATTGTTTATGATTAATTCATAATTTATTAGTCACTTCAAGGTGTGGAGTATTGCTCGACAAGTAATCATGAATTTTTCTGGTTTAATCGCCATTTTTCGATTATAATCCCTTTTATTTATTTTTTTTTTAATTCGTGTACTCGAAGGCTATCCTACAAGCGCACTCTTCCTCATTATTATTAACCTTATAAGTACCTATACAGTAATTGTCTACCTCGCGTCTACTGTTATAATTGCATTATCTGAATTTAATTATTTTTTTTTTTTGTGAGAAAATCGGTACTAGCGGTAATAATTATTTACATTGTTACATGTGTAGAGTGACAGCGGATTCGAAGGGTGACAAATACGACCCGAATTATTATATCTTGCATAACATATTTATTTCACTAACAAGAATCTTCATCATACTGCGATTTTCCGTCTTCACGTTGATGATGGAAAGAGATATTTAATTAATCTAATTAATTTTATCCACCTCTCGTTATTTTCAATTTCCGACTGCCAGGATACGTAATTCATGCTTATTTTCATTTCAATAACAAATTCGAAAATTTAATGATGAAATAAAACACGTATGAGTGCTCCCCATTCATGACTATTTTTTTTATTTCAACTCGAGGACTAGATACATTGAACTAGTTTTGTGACCCACAATGTGATGTTATCCCTTTATTTTTATTTTTTTATTTTTAGAATGATGCGGGTATCACTGGATATAACTAGTTCGAGAACTGGGAACAATGGCAGACACGTTAACAACTATCAGATAAAAGCGTTAAATCAATTCTAGATTGAATATCCATTTTAGTTAACAAATAATTAGGAAACTGTTATATTTATAGAGAACTACGGACTCTTTCCGGAGTACACGAATTTTCAACGACGAAAATCGCTCATCACTTCCCACTGGAAATTCAACTTGAAATATGAATACTGTATCACTTGGCAGTCATCAGTGAATGAAAAAAAAAATGCCTAAGTACACACGCTTCACTCATTCACTTTTTTTTATCTAAAAACGTTTGTTACCCGCAACCCACTTGTTCTCCATTCGTTACAACGAATGTTCCATTGTAATTAATAAGCTATGTAATTTAGTGAATTACCTAATTTCACCTTCATTTTAAATCGTATGTGTAATTAATGCAATTATAATTTCCTGCCAAACTTCAATCATCAATTAACGACATGACGTTCACCTCAATGTGACAACAAGAATAATAATTAAAATGATGACAGCTACCGTCAGACAGACTACGATGAAAATCAGTTTCTGTGAACAAAATTAATAATTCTTTAGACATACCCATAGCTGGATTGATTCATTAAAACCCAATCACCGATAGCGGAGTTACCTCACATCGAGATTAATATTCACTGGTAAATCTTTTAAATAAACAAACTAATGATTCTTCCCGTAATTTTATTATTAATTAATGCGTTAAGCCACGACAAGTGTCTTGACGTCTAATTGACAATGTAATCAGCTGTATCTCGATGTGGGTAGCTACGATTCTAGAGGAAAGCTGTTTTGTTAATTTTCAGCATCGAGATGTGGAGTTTATGAAGCAAATTTGTTACTTTATGACGATTGCGTGAAGGGAATGAGGATCGATCGTTCGTGGCCTCGCCCGTTGCACCAGTGGTGTACATACCCTAATCTATACCATCATGACTCTAATGGTTCGACTATCGGTTATGAATTTTTCATTCCACATTGAAATTCTCAAACTTAATGACTCAACTCATGCCCTTAATCGCTCAATTATTCAGATAACGGATGCATCAGGATGAAATGAATTTTCCATCGATATTATCTCCTTAATTTATAAGAATTCAGGATTATCGGATAATCGACAATTATTCCATTTCCATTTCCATTTCCATTTTCAATTTAATTATTTTTTTCATATTTCATTTGAATGGCTCTCGAGGTTATCAGGACGAGGCTACGAGATTTTTCAAAATCTCCAGTTGTTCGCTCTCTCAAAATTCTTCATCAACTTCAATTGTTAATTAACAATCGTTATGAGTGGGTAATTATCACTGAACATACATGTAATTGGGAAGCACGTATCTTACAAATACAACAAGCGTTATTCTTTCCCTCCAACACTCCCTGCGACGACGAATTTCTACTCAATCTGGGCAGTCGATGATTTTCATTGAATGCTAAATTGTAATCAACTATTCACTGGGTTATAATTTTGAGTCGCCATTCGAGGGCGGAGAGAGTGTTGATTTATTGACTAGCAAAATCATTGCCAGAGATTCTCTTCGATTTTAAATTTCTGTTAAACATCAACTCAAATCATGCTGTGGAAATTAAACCGTCAGTTTCAGATACTTCTCTCTATTTATCGTTAATTGTTTGGTTAATCTACGAGGAATATTAAGGATCAAAATTCATTCGATATACTCAAAGCTAGTAGCGAGTGACAATCCAAGTGAATAGGATGTTCATGTTGAAAGGATCAGAGTCGATGAATCTGATCAGATTATTCCGTGAACAACAAAAAAACATCACGAGATGTGATTAACAAAATAATCTGTCATTCCACTTCAAAGCTGATGATCTCTCTACCCATAAATTTAATATAATTATTCAATGACGACCTAGTATTCCAAAAGGGAATTCTCAATCCTTTCCAACATCATCATCCACTTGACAATTAATACACCTCCATCGACCCTAATTCGAGAACATATTCTTTCTTCTCAATGAAAATCGAAATGAAAATCGAGAGTGAAAGAACCGGTGTGTATAATACTGATATTCTCTCCCAAATTCTCTCTAGACTCATTAATGCTTGGTTAACATGAGATAACGCAGTATTAAACTATGTTATTAGTATTGTTAATCGGTGATTTAACTTGACGCATTGATGATTATTTCCCCATCTCAAAATTTTCGTGTGAATAGATGTTCATCGTGCATTGGCAACGATTGACAATTAAATCATTTCGTCTCGTAAACTCGCCACTCGTCATCACAAGTTATTATTTATTTTCCCTCTCACTCGCCTATTAATATAACTATTACAATTACTAGTATTAGTATTATTATTCTCTTTACACTCCATTCGGTCGTTTAGGACATTGATGGAAGGCACCCTATCACAATGCAGATTAGTATGATGGCGCTTATTATGACGCAGATCATAATGAAGATCATTTTCTGTGGACAAAAAATGACAGAGGAATATTTCCATGAACCATCATTCAAAATCAACCACCAATTGTCTAATTAATTAATCAGTGACTCCAATGCAGTTTAATTCTGTCACTAATTACTCGGATAAATTGATAGCGTTGTAAGCTATAACGAAATAAAAATGATGAATCGATTGAGGTAGATAACGAGAAGAATAGATAAATGTCTGAGAGGTAAATAATCGTAATGTCAAATGAGAAAAGCAGAAGTTCATTGAGAAATTCGTGTTTTCATGGGATTTTTCTCTCTACACTATTCCACATGCCAGCAATTATTGATATAGATTTTTTTTTTTGCATTTTGTGTGTATGTGAATGTATAGACAATAGAGATTAATTACTCAGGTAAAAGTGTCTGTTTTTTTTATTTTACTTGAGATGAAAATTTGGAAAATTTCAAAGTGAGAGACACTTGTACCGAGTGATGTATGTTATACGTACCTGAGGGTACAGAGGGCCTATCTTAAGTACATATATGTATATATAGTGCTATGAATTCTGTTCTGTTGTTTACATGATAGTGTGTGTGTGTTTTCATCTGTATATCTTCATGGGAGTGTTTGCGATTGGACATTGTTGTCTTATTTAAATCCCCAGAATCTCTGTGTACATTATATATTTTGTCTCTGTGTGCCATTCGTGTACTTATCAGTGTCTGTGATTGCAAATGAGCCTTTCAGCGCTAGGTGATACAATTAAACAATCTACTGTGAATAATTATATTTATTTCGATCAAGCGGAATAATTTATCGTCCCTAATTTCATGGGTGGACTCTAATTCATGCCGTACACTGGTAGAATATTTTGGATTGAAATTAAAATATTTTTGATAGTAATAATTCATAATGGGACTGCAGAACGATTGAAGAGATATCCTATTTTTTTTTCTCGTTATTTTCATTAAAGACTCATCGATTATTTATAGGTTGAACTCCTAAAGAGAGAAGAGCTTTAATAATTAATGTCTTTCATTCTCAAAATAATTTGTTAATTAGAATTAAATGTGGATTGAGAATAATAACGGAAGAATAATCCATCGATTTGATTTTCTATCACAGATTACCACCCCGAGGATTATCAAAAAATGTAAAAAATAAAATGTGCAATCCACTTGAATAAAAAATGATCAAAAGAAAAAAAAAATTCTACCAGTGTTGAAATAAATCTGTCGTGCGTTGATCATCTATATACTAGTCTGTGCATTCGATATTTCATGATTACTACTTACTTCGATATTATTCATATTTATTACCAACAAATAATCATCGTAATCTCTCTAATACGAGACTGAATGAATTCTACACATCACTTGTACCCCTCTAACAAAGTAACACTTGTCTACCATAGAGCGTTAATAAATAATCCTATCCCTTAATCACACACTTGAACCTCAACATTGAATGGAAATATTGAAAGGATTATCGGGGACACTTGGTACCATATATCAATCGATTAAGCGTATATCGTTAATAGCACCGTTGGATAACGTTAATGGAGGAATGAGGATTGGGATATTTCCACTGCACTTGCCCTTCAATTATCGTCATATTACCTTTCGTGCTTTTATTTGATATTCCTGGGCCTTCTTGAGTTCACCCCTTGCTGAGCCAACGTGATCACTAGTTTGGGTGACGCAGTATTCTATGTTGTCTACTCTATCACCCTGCCACATTGCGCAAGTGGATTGGGAAAAGATCAGGGAAAAGATCAGGGAAAGGATCAGGGAAAAGATCAGGGAAAAGATCAGGGAAAAGATCAGGGAAAAGATCAGGGAAAAGATCAGGGAAAAGATCAGGGAATAGATGAGGGAAAAGATCAGGGGAAATCATGGGAAAATCAGGGAAATCGGAGAAATCGGAGAAATCGGGAGTGAAGAGGATTGGAAGAGACGCGACGAGACGCAACGAAATTTATCCCAAAAGTCAAAAGATGCAACATCAAACATTTAACCGTTTCGTTCCGATATCGAAATATCAAGATAGAAGACAGGGATTTTGTGGATGAATTTGGAGAGAGGCGTATGTCCGGTAAAAATGATGTTAACAGACAATTGTACACAGATAACAATCACAGTACGTGTTTCAGTGGCGATTATTTTTGTTAGAATTTTTTTACAGCACCAATCAAATGGCCATTGGTAGAGTTAGTTGAGGTTGTTATTTGAGAATTAAAAAAATAGTATCACAGAGCAGTAGTGGACAGAGGCGAGACACACATCAGCACAATCATGTTAACAGGAAAGAGACACATAGTTTTTTTTTTTTTCGTTAATACGTGCATATAAACATATTTACATTCGTCGGATGTATATATGTTTATAAGCGTCAGTTATTTTGTTGATAAATTGTAGTTTTGTTAGATTTGTTACATAAAGCATTTTACACACGCACATGGATACAATTTAATTGAATATCACAGGAGTCATTATATTCACGTTGTGAGAGTGAAAATTATGGGAGAAGAATTGCAGCGATGGGTTTGAAAAAGAAATGATAATGTGTAGTTGAAAAAATAGATGAGATTAATTTTCAATGAGACAATATTGATAAAGATTTTGGTGAATGAAAAAAATGTGGAGGAATTTTTGGAGGGGCCAGGGTTGGTGGTGCAGGGGACAGGCGAGGGGAAAAAAAAACGTGACCAATTAGATGTGAATGAACTCAATAATTGTTTATAAATTTGGGGTGGACTCACCCGTCGGGCTTTGCTTTGATACTTGAGGGCTTTCTTGGTGTCCTGAGTGGCTGTCTGAACATAATCGACTGCGTGCTCCACGTGGTATTCAATGCGATCAATCATCTCGCCCTGATTTTGAGTTTTTTTTTTTTTCGTTGGTACGCGGCGCAACCCAACCAGTACAGAAGCAAATTTGTTAGTTCAGAGATAAATAGTAGATATTAAAATAATCATGCAAGAGACTTCATTATTTATTCCATAGTATCGTGCTATTTGATTAATTTCGATTATCGAGAGTTCCTCAGAGAAAGTTAATTCTTTCATTATTTTATTTTCTTTATTCATGCGTGCGTTTTTATTTCTGGAAATTACTGTAATACATCGAGAGAATTGGAGAGACTGATTTAAGGATTATTCAGTAAGTGTCAGAGATTTAATTTCGACTGGCAGAATATTTCTGCTTTTATCTCGACACTCTGACGGGTACATTTGGAGTGAAAAAAATTTATCTCTCTTTCTCTCTTTGTATACACTGAAAATTTTTAGACACAAATGGTTAGCATCACCCACAGAGCAGCGCCGCGACCTATTCTCGTAATTACGAGATGAAAATAAATAGCGAAATAAATGAAAAAATTAAATACTAGTGCCACGGGTTCACGCTGTTGACTTTGAAAATAAACTGCAGATATCGTGGGCAGCGAAAGGTCATTTCAATATATCAAATTTACAAATTGGCGAGTTTATTTCTGTTCCGAAAGGACACTGAAGTTTCTAAGAATTAATGGTAATCAATAAAATCTATAAATTCCACTTCAGTATCTCGCTAATTCATACAATTACAGATTATAATTCAATAAATATTCTCCAATTATTTTTTTCAATTGACTGATTGACTTCTCGCGATTTTTCGTCGAGTCAAAATTTTGGTAATAATCCTGAAATTTTTCTATTATTCAAAAATTCACGACAAGCTAAATTAATTAATCAAATTCATAATTGATAATTCGATTATTACGAGCTGTTTAATTCATCTACTCATCATTTGTTTTAAAATTCCAAAGACGAACCACGACGTCAATTTTTTTTCTCGTATTGTTGTCGATTGATTGAGTTGACACGAACAAATGCACTCAGCATAATAAATAATCAATGATAACGGTTAAACTAATTAAAATAGTGATTGAATGGTGAGCTTACCTGACTTTCAACCAGCATAGCCATATCCATGAACATGTCGTGCAGTTCCCTGATGGAGTTCTCTAATTTTATGATATCTGCGTGACGCGCCTCGATGTCAGCAAGAGTCTGTTTGGCTTGTTGCGTTTCCATAATAATCTAATAACCAACAAATAATTATTATCACTAAAAAATGTTGTATCGTAAAAAAAGAATGAATGAGTTCTGCAGCCGGTCGTCAAATTGGCCAGATTTACTATCTCAATTTGACTCTCGTTTGCAGATTTTTTGAAGTTATATCTTTTTTTTTTAAACTCAATACTCACCCCCTGCGTGAATACTGCGGGATTCCCCTGCTCAAGCATTTCCTCGAGCTCTTCATTAGTCGTAGTTCTCCCCGCTGTGAATGGAAAATATAATGAGTGCAGGATAGAAATAACGAGAATTAAATTTTTTCAATTGAAATGATTCTCGATTCAAGATTTTTCATTTTTCAAATTTAAGGCAGTCTAACTGAAAACTCTTGGATTTAAATTCTCTTGATTAGTGGGAATAATGAGGATTTTAGTTCACAACAGCTTTACGCAAAGTTCTGTGAAAATTGAATACATTCGGGGTGAGGAGTTGAGTTTAAAATTCAGTTCATTGAAAATTACGAGTGTTTGAATTTGAAGTTATGAATCTGCTACCGAGAAAGTTGGATAATTCATTCGAAAAACTAAAATCGTTGGGATTCCATTTTTTAAATTCAGGAGAGTTCCGAAGTTTCTTCGGTGAAGACTCCAGTGAGAAAATACTTCAAATCTAAGGAATGAATACTAACAAGAAGATAAAAATGAATTCGAGTTGAACGATTTTCAATGCAGAATTCGTTTGTGGCGAACAAGAGAAATTATTCAACGTAATGCAATTGTCAAATGAGTGGGAGTTCTTTTTAATGAATAAATTAATTTAATAAATAAATTCAAATTCATGGGAATTAAGAAGAATGATTGAGGAAATAAATACATAAATACTCACTGATTTCAAGCTGTCGTTTTATCCTTCCCTTACACCTTTCCCTATAATCGGTTTGCGTTCGATTATATTCCGTCATCACTTCAACAAACTTCCTGGATAATGTAGAATGCTGAGTTTTGCGTATCCTTAGATCCGCGGATGATTTGTTCGTGTGCTCCTCTTGTTCAATATTTTGTTCTATAACTGAAAATCAAAGCAGAATAATTTAGCACGCGATCTCAAAGTTGTACCGTTAACAAATAAATCGATTATTCAACTAACCCTTTAACTTGGCTCGAACTTTGTTAGCAGATTTCTTGATGTCGGCCATGAGATCCTCAAGTTCCATTTTGACTTCTGGAAATAATAGCAGGTGTGAGTACATAATGCAGGATTGTCACATAAATTACATAAATAATAATGAATATTCATCGAGTTGTCGCGGGGTGCAGGCGTTTATATTTCTTAATTGAGAGAGTAATTGTTTGGAATTATTTTGGATGAAGTCTTGTGATGAAGTCTTGTAATTCGAATTTTCTTCACGTTTTTGGTGGAATTTCGAGCGAGCGAACTGGAATTCTGCGTGATCGATGAAGTATTTCTGCAGTGAAGTCTGAAATTCAGCTTGAATTTTCAACTTCAGAAATTCAGTTCAAACCGCTTGACATTTTACCGTGATAAAGAGGCGTTGTACTCAACAACACTGGGATTAAATATGAATCCACCATTTCCAAGTTTAAATAAACCGGTGAAATTTCAGGACAGCCGTGGGACAAGTTGCCGTAACAATAATTTCATTCTTGTTAATTTGTTGAGGAGAATGCAAGATTTGGTCGGGAATTTGAATAAAAAATCTCTTCATGGTTGAGAAGTTTTGAAATTCAAGAAGAATTATTCTTATTAAATTCCTCCTCTTCTCATTATTATGATTATTAAACCTCCCTAGGACGGAGAAGAAGCGATGATTCAACGAAATTTATTCTTCAAATAGTTTCTAGACTCGAGAACTTTTTCTCACATCACCAAGTCAATCGCCCACTGAAAATTTCAAGTGAAATTTACCCTAGTTATCAAATTAATTCCGAACTCAAAAAGTTTCTTGAAACTGGAACACATCAAATACGTCGATGGTACCATAATTTACAAATAAAAAATAAATAAAAGATAACCCACCCAAAATATTTATTTTCCATCTGATTTTCCAACCGATAAAAAATATCCATAAATATCGAAGAAATATAAATATAATAAATAAAATGATAGCGTTATCATGACTAGTCCCAGAATGCTGGATGACGAATGGTATAAAATGGAAATATTGTCAGAGAATAATGGAATTTTCCTAATGATGGAGTGACGCATGAAAAAAGAAAATGTCCGAGAGGGAGAATAATATTTGGCGTACGTCCCTTGAAAGGTTTTCCGTCAGATACGCAAACGCAATGTTGATAGTGTTGGGGTTCTGATACCAGGGAATACAAGTAGCTGCTGTGGGTGGAAGAATGGAGGTTTCATAAGAAATTGCCTGGTGTGGTCTTCCAACTCTATCCTCGCTTCATCTTCGTGAAAACCAGGGGATCAGTTTTCCTCAATTACATCCGGATATTGAAACATTTAATCATTCAGATTTTTCCCATCTCCAAATAACAATATTATTACTATTTATTATTATTTATTAATTTATATAGTTATTGTTATTCGAGTTATTGATTGACTGGAGAGATGAATATTTAGGAAAATTACTGAAGTGAAGGTGAGGAAATTTATGGACTTAGAATTTTCACTCTGTATCAGCTTTTCTGTCTGAGCACTAGAATTTCTCCAAACATTTTCTCTCCGTGAAAAAAAAAATCACGAGGGAATTGCGTTGTCTCTTGACAAAAGGAAGTCGACGCTATTTGTTGATAAGAAAAATGAGCCCATTCCAGTGTTCATTTTTATCGTCATCACGGCAAAATAGCCTATAAAAATGTTGGAAATTCATGGAAATTCTGGATTTATTGGGAAATTGTTTCTCTAAAGGGGCCAGGGCGTCGCTGAATGTCCATAAAATATTGTCATAATTTTTGCAATAAGAGAACAGCAGTAAAAAGTTTTTTTACTGGTACAATCCCCTGTGTCGATCAGTATTGATCAAACGGTAAATAAAAACTACAAACTGTCAGAAAATTTGGAAATTTACCGGACAATCGACTGGACTCTGAAAAAATTGTAATTAACACAAAAATTTCGTCATTTCGCATTTTGGGAATTAATTATATTCTCCCAGGTCTATTTATTATGATTTTTTTTTGCAATAGCTATCTCAACGCATCTGTCACCAGCAAAATTCCACTCTAAAAACTTTTCCAAAGTTTCCCTTAAAAAAAATCGCACATCAAAGTTAAAAGAGCACTAGAATAAAACTGAAACATGCCTTAAAAGTTGAATGGATAAAGCAACTTAGAGAATTGCATAAAAAAGTTTTTCCTGTTCCACTCACTGTACCTGAAAAATTATCGCAACAATGAACGGTAAAAAAATCGTACGATCAACCATACGAATAATGCACAAATAAAACTACTCGCGAATTGCTAATGAGTTCTTGATTTAATTAACCGACTCAACTCGTAGTATTTAAATAGCAATTCTTTGTTCTCAATCTCTACCGATTCTGAAATAAAAGAGAACATCATAAACGGTTTTTCACGAAAGATTTCCTTCAGGTTCATTGAGAAAAAATTAGTGCTCCGTAAATTTACCTGCAGTAAATTCCATTCGCAATTGGCAATTTCAGATTTGTTAATTTATTTATAACGAGATAAAAAATCCACGAAATCTAAAAATCGATAAATAATATCAATCGATTTAATAATTTAAATTGATACAATTGAAAATTGAGAGATAATTGGGGTTGAAATTAGAAATAAATTGTATATCTCAAATATATAATATATTATATATCAAATGTGAAATATACGTGGAATATAATTGAATATATGTGACATATATATTTTGATATATATTATATATGAAATATGAAATATACGAGACGAATATTTTTTCGCGTATTCTTCTCCCTTTTCAATTTCAATCCCTCGAAGACTAGAATTCCCTCCACATGCCCTAAATTTCCGATAGATCCCCAATTTGTTTCGACGTCCGAAAAAGCCAAATAGACGTTCACCTAAACGAATGCTGTGATCAAAGAAATTCGAATGGATGGAGAAAAGAGAGAGTGAAAATATCCGGATTTATTCACAACGAGAGAAATGAGAGATGGGAGTGTCAGTTAATGTTATTTTTATTGTTTCCTGGATGACATGAATAAACTGGTCAAGATGTAGCGATTTCCCAGGGCAAAAGTGGCATGAAATGTGAGGAAGGACGGGTGATAGTATCAGGGATAAAAAAAGAATAAAAAAAGGGACTAGGGAGGACGATCGATGTCACGAGGAGGAAGGGTTTGTTTGCCAATCACAAAGTCCCTTTCTCCTCCAGAACCTCCAGTCGAAAAAGCAACGAAAAAAAATCGAAATATTCGAAATTTCAATACTTGAAGAGCAATATTCATGAAAAATAAAAATAAAATTACGGAACAATTCGCAAATCGTTATACACAATTGGCAATCGTCTCTAATTTTTGTATTAATACAAGGAAAGAAATGATGCATTGATTGATTTATTGGAATATTATCGATTCATCCTGGAGATCCTGGAGATCCTGGAGATCGAAAATTTTCCCCGAATTTATGACAGCGATAATTTCTATCCCTGAAGGTGTCTATTCATCAACTGTACGTGAAGAGAATTCCATTTCGGTGAAAAAAAAATGATAAAAGAAAGAGAAAAGGTGAAACAAGACCTTTTGAATAGAAAACGGAAGTGGATGCATGGGTTTTGTGTGGATGTGTACCATGGGTTGACTCGGTGGAGAAATGGTTGGTGCCAGAGGGGCTTAATCCTCATTCCACCAGGTCAATCCGTTCAACTGGAACTTTGCGAGAACTCGACCTCGTGGCTGAGGATCAATGCTCGTGGCAACGGAAAAGCAATTAGGGTGAATGGGTTGTGTCGTTTAATGGTTATTCTGGATCATAAAAAAATTATTCTTTACAAGGATTGATTTACTCGAGGGATGTATTTTACTTCAAATTTTTATCGTGCACTCATTCTGTTTAATTCTGGGGGTGCAATAAATATTTATATTATCTCAAATAAAATATTATGAAATATTAAACATATGCCATATTTAATTATTTATTTGACACATAATTAATATTTATTAATTGTTATTAATTTTTAAATCATAATTAATATGTCTGAGTTCTTAATGAGATTTGAATTATTGGAAAATATAATTATTGATAATTAGAGGATTTCGGATTTAGATGAGGAATAATAAATTTTTGGGTTTGGGAAAAAGTTTTTCCAATTTCCCAGAGAATTTTTCATGGCAACCGGAAACTCGATGTTCACGTGTGCAAATGATCGGTTGTACAAGTACACGGGGGAGTAAGAAACAGGTGACGTACAAGTGTATACCCAGAGGATATCGACAGACAGGATTTACTAATCACGTCTCTCTCTGGTCTGACAGTACCATGAGGAAAATTGGGTTAATGGTAGGTGGAAATGTGCCAGAACCCGTTCCACCGGTGCAACTGCACTTGCACTTGGTACTCCAATAAAGAGTTCCGTTTAGCGAACCGGTGGCGGGAAATTGGAAGGAAGAATTCTCATGCCAATGTCCGTAATAACATTTCAACAACTTTTTCTCTACATCATTTCAACAATTCAATAATTACCCCTAATTACCACTGGATATTTTTTCCTACGTCCTCTGTACTGTTTAATAAATCCTCCAAACATTTTTGTTTTTTTTTTTTATAAATTGGAAATTAATTTATCAATCAGAAATTATGGAAAAGAAAAATCGCCGATAACGCACAAAAATAAATTCACTAACAATCCCAGAACAATTCCCAAAAATTCAATTTTCCTCTGAACCAATAAACAAATACGAGTAAAAAAAATACTTTAGATCGGGGCACGGATAAATATTAAAGTAGTTCTGATAAAACTGCAGTAAAAACCCAACGAAATAAAAAAAAAAGCGAGAGGTAGTGTAAAATAATCTGATATAGAACAATCGATTCTAGTTACCGCGAACATATTGAAAAATAAAAACGGAAATAAGAACTCGTGAAAAACTCACTGCTCTAGATGATCCGATATGGCAGGATGGGGGAGGGTGGCAAAGGGTGGTGGAGGGTGGTGGAGGGTGGTGGTGGGTGGTGGAGGGTAAAGAGGGTAAAAATCGATTTCTGGTTACGTCCCATGACCTATCGGAGGCAGGTGGACACTCGAGGCTCGAA